CTCCGGCCTTTTTTAAGGCATTAAGTGGTGGACATTGTTCACGAGGAGGCCAAGGGGCATGATGGATGAAGACTGACACCAAAAGAACATGGGTAGCGAATGGATATTGGCCTCATCAAATAAGGACGTTAGGGGGACTAGATACGCGTTTTCCCCTCTATTTTCCATGGATGTTAGCATTCGAGGAGTGTTTTCGTCGCTGACAGGTGGTCTGAGTCTGGGAGGGCTTGTGGAGGCAGAGAAAAACAAGCCAATGTTGGCCCCGATCTATCGCATCTACTCTGATAAGCTTAAATCGAAGCCCCACAAGCCGACCATATGGGATGCCGATGCCGACAGTCAGATCCCTCAATTTCGCAGATTTAAGGTTGTGATGAAAATAGAATGAAGGCTGGTTTGTCTTTCGCAAATGATTCTTCTATTTTACGAAGTCGTTGCTTCCTCTCATATATTTGTCTTGGCTGTCTACAACGTACACACAGACCCAATTGATCTCATCGTTGAGTTTATGGCGTGCGAGCTTCTCCACTTGTTCCTGACCCTTCCAACCCTTTCAAACGCTACGAGTACGTACGAGTACTCGCACAAATCTCTAAATACACTGCCAACCACGACGTCTCTCCCCCAGACTCATATTTTTATTCCCGTTCAATTTTCGCAAGATCCACGGGTAACCACACCAGCAGCGCACAACCGAAGGCAATTCAAATCCACCACAATCCACAATGTCAATCCACCGCCCACAATAAACGCTGCGCGACCGTGGCCCATCACGACATTTTCAGCAAATGAACGCAGCCCACATTCAGATGTCACCACACACAGTCACAAGCATGGTGGATCGGAGAGCACCGTCGGCCCCGCAGTCTCGTGTTGATCAAAATGGTTGACCTGCAGCTTTTTTCTCCCTTCATCGCATCCCTTGCGCAGCTTCGCATTTCTCGGGTTTTCGCATTTGAACGAGCAAGCTTCGATGCGCCGAGCCCATGGCGGACAAAAATAACATCGATGCGGTCGCATACCGCACGACGGATACTGAGAATAGCATTAAGAAGACGAGTAGTCCAATCGATGGGGTAAAGGATCCATTTGAGGCGCCGTTGAAGCGCCAGCTCAAGTCGAGGCATTTGCAGATGATTGCGATCGGGGGTGAGTTTGACTCTACTCTGTTGCTGGGTATATGGATTCGGAGACTAACTGAGTAGGTATCATTGGACCTGGACTGTTGGTTAGCTCTGGAAACGCGCTTCATGAAGGAGGTCCTGCTGGTGCTTTGATCAGTTTCCTCCTGGTTGGATTCAGTGTCTTTTTTGTCATGTGGGTCAATCTACTGCGATGCAATGCGATCCGACGAAAGACTTGCTGATCATTATAGGCAATCTTTGGGCGAAATGGCTACCCTTATTCCTGTCACCGGTTCTTTCATCGAATATGCCGAGCGTTTCATCGACGATAGTCTCGCATTTGCGCTGGGTTGGGCATACTGGTGGTTATGGGTGACGGTGAGTACGGCGGCAGCTAGGAAATTTGCTCCATTTCCCAGGCATTCTGCTTGGCCACAAATAGCTAATGGGGGATTCAATTCAGGTCCTCGCCAACGAGTACAACTCCATTTCTCTCGTTATTGGATATTGGACCGAAGCCGTACCGCAATGGGGTTGGATCCTCATTTTCTGGGCACTCTTCCTCGGACTTTCGAATCTCGGAATTCTAGCATACGGAGAGATGGAATTCTGGCTTTCGTTGTGAGTAACAATAATGTTTCGAGATACCCGCAAGCTACTAACAATTCCCAGGATCAAGGTGATAGCACTAATAGTGTTTTTCATTCTCGCTATTATCATCAGTTCCGGCGGCATTGGCCCTGAGCCTATTGGGTTTAAGTACTGGCATCAACCGGGTGCTTTTGCGGATTCGATTAACGGTGTTGCGAAGACATTTGTCGTTGCCGGAACACTCTACGCTGGAACCGAGATGTATGTTTTTGCAGAACCCTTTTCTTAGTTTGATTTAAGGCTGATCGGATTTCAGGGTCGGAATCACCGCCGGAGAGTCAGCGAATCCTCGCAAGGCTGTTCCGCGGGCCATCCAGCAAGTTTTCTGGCGAATTTTAATCTTCTACATTGGTTGGTTGACCATTTCTGTTGGATGAAGTCATTTCTAACTCCTCTCAGGCACCATCTTTTTCATCGGAATCCTCATGCCATACAATGACAAGAGGCTTCTCGGCGATACCTCGAAGACCGCCAGTTCGCCTTTGACGATCGCCCTTGCAGACGCAGGAATTCTCCCCGCTGCACACCTAATCAACGCTCTCATCGTCATCAGTGTGATATCGGCGGGTAACAGTTCCTTATATGTCGCGTCGCGAACGCTCCTCTATATGTCCCGCAACGAAAAGGCCCCTCAGTTCATTGGACGTGCGAACAAGGCAGGAGTTCCTTGGGTCGGTCTCATCTTCACCAATGTCTTCGCCTGTATTGTCTTCTTGGGCCAGTCATCCAGTGCCGGCAAGGTCTATTCCGCCCTCATCACTCTGTCTGGAGGTATGTCACCACACATCTCTAAATTGTCTGCAATTCATTAACAACGCCTAGTCGCGACATTTTTGGTCTGGTCTGTCATTGGAATCTGTCACATCCGCTTCCGCAAAGCGCTCGTTGCACAGGGCGAGGATCCTGCGAATCTCCCTTTCCGAGCTGCATTTTACCCCTGGGGAACTTATTTCTCTCTGGGCCTGAATATATTCCTCGTCTTTTTCCAAGGGTATACTTGCTTTCTCAAGCCGTTCAGCCCAGACGACTTTGTGATTAACTACATCCTATTACCGGTGTTCGCTTTGTTCATTATCATCTACAAATTCTGGAAGAAGACAAAGTGGGTCAAATTGGAGGAAATGGATATTCAGACCGGCAGAAGGGAATTTGCCGAGGAGGAAGAACCGGCCAAGGAAACAGGACATTGGTGGACGCGTCTTCGCGATGTTGTTATCGGCTAGCCTTCAGTTACCTTATTTATGCTAAAAGGACTTACACTTTCTATTTTCAATGGCGCTCGGCATTTCTCCAAGGTTCTCAAGCCAAAGTTATCCCTAAGCGAACTCGCGGACCCACGCCGATCGCACCCCCAAGCCCATCATTGCGATCGATCGAGCACTCGCCGCCTCCCATCGACAGCTTGGCGCCACTTGGCGTGGTCGAGATGACGCCGCTGACCAGCCGATTCATTACTGATTCAAGTTTGGGCAGCTTAGCTTCTTCACTAGTCGAAATACATAAGTCAGGCACGTCGCCATGATGGTTCCAAAAATTCCGAATCAGGGGATCCCCACAACTTAATATTTGCGCCTTGTCTCGCGCGGCCTTTAAAATGGGCGCAAACGCGATCGCTGGTCCGTCTTCAGAACATTCAGCCTAACCTCGATTACTCATATTCTAATGACATTATTAGAACGCTCATTCGGCTACATCGACCCTCATTTTCCGATTCCCCACGGGGAAAATGACACCAGCATAATTATCTATGGCTACACGCCATCCATCGCAGTCGCTGCTTTCGCCGCCGCGTGGTTTTTCCTTCATCTCATCATCCATACAGTGCAGAACATCACGACTCGCAGCTGGTGGTGGATGACCTTTTCCGTCGGGTTGGTCTTCGAAATTATCGGATACATCGCCAGATCTCTTTCGGCCAAGCAGAACCCCTACAATCTCATCTACTTCGTTCTGAATTACTTCTTCATCGTGACGGCTCCGGTATTTCTCGCTGCGGGCATCTATACCATTCTCTCTGCACTTATTCCAAGACTGGGCAGCCGATACTCGTTCCTCAGTCCGAAAGTCATCTTGGCTTTCTTCATCACCTCCGATGTTATCTCGACGGTTGTACAAATTGCGGGCGCGGTACTGGTCGGTGTGAAAGAATCACGCCAGGAAGATCCAACTACGGCAAATCATATACTTCTAGGTGGTCTGTCGTATCAAGTCTTTGCTATGAGCATTTTCGTCATTCTTATGTCGACTTTCCAATTTCGAGCTCGCCATGCTATCAAGCAAAATGGCCTTCGTCTCTTCTGTCTCTCGTTCTCGGTTGCTACGATCATGGTCTACTTGCGAACTATCTTTCGCCTGGCGGAGACAGCGGAGGGTCTGGGTGGAAAATTGTCGACTCATGAGGTTTACTTTGCTTGTCTTGAATTCGCACCCATCGCTCTTGTTGTCCTTCTGCTTGCTATCTGGCATCCGGGTCGCTGTATTGGAGCGCGGGTGCGGACTGAGGTGCCCAAGTATTAGGGGAAAGGCTCCCGGAGTCCACTGGAGTGCTTCGACTTGAAGTTCCAAGTTGTTAACACCCGGGCAAATTTTCAAATTGAGTTGAACGCCAGGTTCAAGGGGCTGGAATGTACTATATTTGCCAACTTAATTATTCATATCCCGGCATTTAATAATGTTACTACTTCAAGTTCAAAATTCAATGCCCACCTGGGTGTTCGAGCATGCACGAGCGCTTAATTATGACATTTTCTTCCGAGACTTCTGATCTCGGAGATGATTGCCCTTCTCTACTTGGCGGACCGAATTGTTGCAGGTCGCATATGTTCCCAGTGCCAGTGTGAGAACCAAGCAACCCAACTGGTGCAAGAATTTGATGTATTACCTCTACCAATGATATCCCTGTCTGAATGTATAATATATTGGCTAGATATACTACCTTGCAGATTAATAAATCAGTATAGAATCTATGCTGTGGAGGTATGCAATCGCCCTCCTCAAACTCGGACTCCGTCGGAGCGCCAAAATGCATCGGAGTCCTCCGTCTGCGATAAGCAACAACCAAACACATTGCGATCGAGTTCTTATTGTTTATCCATAAAATTCAGTTCATTTTGCTTTCTCCGAAGGAAGATTCTTTTGTTTAGGACGAGCTAGGAATATGCATCTCAACAAGCGACTTCTTAGCTATGCAAATTGGATCCCCACATCAAACTCACATCGTGGCCGTCAGCAAGTCCACCCATTGGTCCGATAGCAACCTGCAGAAACATTCGCTTCGGCACGCAAAGGGTCCACGCCAGATTCAGCCCAGTGCCGACAAATAGGGCACATGGCCAAATTCCGAGCGCCAGTCACTTCCTCACGCTGCTGGTTCGCCCAATCATCTCTGCGTTGTACCTCATCCCCAAACCATTGCAGATCGGCGGACATTCCTGTTGTGGTATGGCTGCTCTCGAGAAGAAAGTAGTTCTTGGACTTGCAGTTCACACGGCCAATTGGATTGTTGTGTTGACGGGAAGGTCAAATGTAACATCACTTGGCGGTGTTTCGGCTGAAGATGAGGGGGTGCCAGGATGAGATTTGGGGGATATTGTTATGTTTATGCAATGAGAGAAGAAGTATATAAGGTCATGAAGATCCAACAGCTATTAGTATTGATCAACAAGATATCGACGATCGTCCATACAATCCAGCTGATCTCCCGTTGATCTCAACCAAACCTTGAAGATGCAGTTCACCAAGGTACAAGCACTCACTTTCTACCCCCGAAGCATTCCATACTGATATAAGATATAAAGATCATCACCGTTGCCACCCTCTTCCTGACTGGCGCCGCTGCTGTCGCCATTCCCACCGATCTCCAAACCCGCGCCTGCGCCTTCACCTGCGGCAGCAACTGCTACACCAGCAGTGCTGTGAGCACTGCCCAATCTGCCGGTTACAAGCTTTACTCCGCGGGTTCGACCGCGAACTCCTATCCTCACGTCTACCACAACTACGAGGGTTTCGATTTCTCTGTCAGCGGCACCTACTATGAATTCCCCATCCTGAGCTCGGGCAGCGCTTACAGCGGTGGTTCTCCTGGCGCAGACCGTGTTATATTCAACACTGGCAACCAGCTTGCTGGTGTGATCACTCACACTGGTGCGAGCGGTAACAACTTTGTCGCTTGTACTTAAGTCTCCTAAAGATATGAGATACCTTATGATACAGATCAATTTATGACGGGATCTTCTATCCACTCGATGCAACTATTTGCCGACATTACTATGCTCGTACATAATGTAGAAGACGATCTTTCACGTAAACACAAATGGGAATCATGTCAACCTGCTGTGTTGTCTTCCTTACATGTTCTTACCCAGAGGCAAACGGCAACCGAAACCCGCACAATGCGAAAATGTGGGAGCTTGTCGTCGCCGGGGTTTGGTACCGCCCGCCTATGGAGTATAGCCAGTTGAGATGGCGTCCAGAGTGGATCTTGACACCACAATTACTCTCTTCTCGTCTCAACCAGACTTCCTAATTATCCAAGCGCCATTGGATTCTCTCCAAGATGCCATGTGATGTCGACGTATTTGTTGTAGAGAGCACATCAGCTCATTGGGGTTCGTGTTTATCCATGGATGTTGTCGAATAGAGGAGGCTGGGATGGGAGGTCAACGTGTTATTTTGCGGGATATTTGACGATTGATGTAAAGCATGAGAGCCGAACATGCAAGGAGAGCAGTCCAGGCAACTCCTAACTCCGAGAAAAAGAAAAATCAAAAATGAGGCTAGGCAAGTCGGGGTATTTAAATGGACTAGGGCGAAAACGGGAAATGTGGAAATCCGGGGATGCGGGGTGTATGGGGTGGCCTGAGCGACGCGAGATGTGCCCAATTCGCATCCAGACAAATAAATTACATTCTGCTTGCGGTGAGGATTACCAGGTTACTCAATACTGCATCAGAAAGACGCACGAAGAAGCTATTGAATATTCGAACTTGAATATCGAAGCAATCAGTGGTTTTTCATTTCGGCAAGAGGGCAAATGTCAGCTCATTTGGTACAGAGTATCTACCCTGTGAACAAAGGAGTTCTGCTCCGACTTCCAATGTCCATGATATCTGAGTACACTCTCCGCTTTCCCTCTCCGATAACACACAAGGCAAAGACCAATTTCAATTCTCATATCCTTTATCAGATCCTCCAAAAGAGTCGCAGACCGTCGGCAGGATTCCCTCCGGGCAGGTCCGACATCGCATGTGCATACTGACGCACTTTTGGGACTGAGTAAATTGGCACTAACTGCCTTCTGTTCTATCGGTTGACAGACAGACACAATCAAAGACCTTTGGTCAGGGAGTTTGATCTTGGAGTAGTCTTATGCAGGAATATGCCCCGACGCTCCACCACTCACAACAGGCGTGACCTAGGTGACGGCAAGGCCCTTCCGGAGCGGTCGCTCTGTTAACTGTGTGTATAGCGAAAAGTCTTTTCTGTGAAAGTGTGCGTGGTTCATTGAATTAGCACTCTGAGAGGCAGTCGATATAATATCCGATTTTTAATTGAATAGTAGTCCCCAATTCACTGTATGTTCAATACCTTCGGTGACAAGAGACATGTACGAGCCACTGAAGTTAAGCTGGAGCCATGTGGTAAGGTCTCTGAAGGCTCGGCCTAGTACTATAACAAACAAACGGTACCTCTCGTTGCTAGATACCGCTCCGAGGCCACCAAAACCACCTCCATCATGCAAGATGGAGTTTCTCCATGAACTTCCCGAACATTTGGCTGTTCAGAGGCTTTATCAAGCCGTCCGCTGTGCTATCGGCGCTGTTGATCAGCGTTAATTCGACGATGTTGCGAATGACAACCTCTCGGGCGTTGTAGTAGGCAAGGTCAACCGCTTTGACAGATGGGTTGTATCCAATACGTCTGACGATAATGGTTGGCGTTGTTGAGAATATAAGCAGCTGCGGTGAGAATCATGACCTCACCTGACTCCTTCTCGCCGGCCTGGAGCCAGCTCTCGCTTTTCGATGACAAAGCCTCCATAAAGTCATACTTACCAGCCATGATGGCGATGTCGAGAACTTCGTCCGTGGTGAGCTCTTCAGGTACCATGTCTTCCTGATAATAGATAGCGGCGCATATGTACTCGAAGGCAATATCATTGTCCACGGGGAGAGGTTTTCGATAGGCGCATCTCCACGTCGAAGAGCGCGGCATTCTTTCCAACTTCATTTGAATATGGCCGCGAAAACTATCGATAATCTTTCGAGGACGCACGAATCGACAAGCAATTTTCGCTTTTGCGGACCGATAACTATAATAACATGACCCTCTGGAGAGAACTCTCCAATGCCATCGGCATTATTTGTAGTCTCCATCATTGCAAGGGTTTGGGTAATTTTTGATCGTCGACAATTCCCATGTCTTGAAGGTATCAGGAAAGTCTTTGCAATGGATAAGACAAAGATTTGGGAACAATGATAGCGCTGGAAATGTGACGAGGAAGGACGAAAGTGTTGTGAATGAGGAAGAAGAGTGGGCGAGGATGTCTACATGGCAGGCACAGCAACCTGCCAGTGAATGCCTGAGGCATCAACTCCACAACAGAATCCAAAACTGGCATTTCAGGATTTGACTATCAAATTCGAAGGATAGCTTTATATATAAGAAACGAGTAATAATGTGGAATATTCTGAGACTCAATAAGCTCTTCACACAGAGCCACAAACGAAGTCGGCCCATTTAACCCGTGTATCTAGGATTTCCGAATATCGATTCCACGAGGTAAGCAACACCTGGGAATTGCAATGGGCCTTGGAACTTGAATTACCGGCCAAGGTCATTTAGTAGAAACTTCAGGTTGAATCAATTAAGTTAAAACGTGGGCATTCCTCCCGGGTGAAATATTGAAAGCACCGGCTCACTGGCAGGTGATTTCCAGGGTTTGCAAGCCTTGGCTTGGGTGGGAGCCTCCAGCAATATACTACTTGTATTCTCTTATACAAAAATTCAACTGTCGCAATGGGCCGACATTTTTCAACCCATATATTTTAGAACTTAGAGTCCACTACAAAGACAAAATGTTCCTGAATGTGGTCTGGATTATATGCAAAGGCATGTTTTCTTAGTATCTTTCTCGTGCTCTTACTCCTAGTAGTAGTCGACGACTAGCAAACCACATACCTAGGTAGTGCTCATACAGTAGCAAACTTCCTAGCCCTCTGGGTCCCACTTGGCATCGCAGCATGCCAGTGGTCTGGGCCCTTTGTCTCCACTAACCATGCACTAGGCTAGGCGAAGGGGAAATATATTTTGACCTGGTAAATATTCAATATTGCACCGGATTATCGAATTACAAAGTTTTCTCGTCCCACCATTCAACTAGCAGTAGTTACTGCTACCTAGGAACCATGAGAATTCTAAGATGATAAAAGTAGTTGGTTGGTGGTAGTGGAATCTTCACGAATGTTTCCAATGTAATGCTCGCTTGGTAACGTTGCTTTTTTGCGAGTATGTGGTAGAAGCGCTTCGCCGAAGGCAGCCGAATTCATGTTAGATATGAGACAGAGTTCCATAATTCACACCTAGGCAGCATGTATGTATATCCAGAGCCTTGGAATTATGGGTCAAATTTCGTGACTTGACGCATCCTATGTATCAGCTTGAACCGTTCGAACTACCTTCCGTGAGAGCATATAATCCTAACATGGACAAAATATGTAAAACAAATGGCTTCCGATTTTTGTTGACCCATCTTTCTTCACATTGGACCTGAAGTGGTATCTCTCGATTCCTTCATGCTGAAACTTGGATCCACTCGCAATCACTGAAGCCTACCTAGTTTCGGCATTCGGGATGTTGATACTCCCGCCGAAAGCAGATGTGTCTGTCAACTAGTAACTAAAAGGCATGTACAACAGGCTAGGGTCTGAAAAGTGGGCCATCAACATGCCTCGCCGAGAACACCCATCGAAAATGCATATGCTTCCGTTCTTTATTGACCAAGCGATAACATCCCACCGTCAACGTTAAAGCAACTTCGGCATGCCTTGTCTCGGTCGCCACACCGAGCGCCTTTTGGCTTCTCCGAATCGCACCGGCCGTCGGCCTCTATTCGGGGCGGCAAATCATCGGAGTAAGGTGGCGTCTATCTCTACATCATTCACGCCGAGTCTGGACTCGCACATTATACTATTTTCTGATTGCTGGGGCGGTGGAGGGTCGTGTTGAGGCTTTTCGCAGTGACGACAGATGCTACAAGGCCCCCATTCACCCCGGAGTGCATAATCAAATCCTCATGCGGGGATCCTCGGATTCGTGCATATACTATGTATCACTGCGACAGCAGCTGTTTGCAATCGTTAATTGACGTCACCCCTCGGAATACTTACCTGTGGGGCATCGAGCGTGCAGGGGATTCGTGAGCAGCATCGAGTGGGTCACCGTGAAAACCGGTATGACCCAAAATCTTTTCGCAGTAATCAGTACCAGATTCGCAAATCTTCTAACGAAAGAAAGCGCACGTACCTGGAGTTTGTGAGATTTCGTTTGCCTTCCCGCCTAACCGACTTTTGTACCCGAATTTTCGTTTTCGTGTAACCTTCCCAAGGGATGCGATGCTATCAAGTACCCGTGCGGCCCCCGTCGATCATCCATGTCGCCATTGGCCTCGGATGCATTCCTCAACCCTTCCCGAGGTATTCCCGTAAGTGCGATTGGCTAGTTTTCCAATGATCCTCTGGGCGCTGTTCCACTTTTGAGGATCTGGCTGCTTCTTCAGACCTTGCTTTCAACGAGGCTGGACATGACTTGGGAGAAGGAAATTGAGAAGGTTCCAACGAAAATATTGGGTTGAATGAGTCTCTGTATCTGTCCCACGGGCTGCCTTATAAAGTAGACAACATTAAATAGGCGTTATCAAAATTGGCGCGCAAAAATTTGCAAACATAGCCGCATCCACCTCGGCTGACCCACACACCACCCAAATATACTCCACACGACCCTCTTTTAATCAGGTTTCTAGAGCTATGACGATTGAAGGGCAATGTCAACATCAAAGTTTTACTCAGTGTACATAAGAAAAGGGATGGCAGTCCACAGAATTCCAGCTGACAACAATCCCCAGTCTCGACCATCCCACGATTACCCCGGATGGCGACCGACTCCTCAATTTCATCCGCTGAAAAGCGCGATGATCTCACTCCCCCGACCGAGAAGCACGAGGATTTGATTCCTTCGACCGAAAAGCGCGAACTCAAGGAGGAAGACGCGTACGATGTGCTAGGCTACTGCTGGCCTCGCTGGAAGAAATGGTCCTACCTCGCTGCTGTCGCATTCGTGCAGGTGTCCATGAACTTCAACACCTCGGTCTATCCCAATGCTGTCAAGCCCCTCGCGGCAGCATTCGATATTAGCGAACAACATGCCCGGACTGGTCAAATGGCCTACCTGGTCACCTACTCCATTGGTTGCGAGTTGTGGGCACCATGGAGTGAAGAATTCGGTCGCTGGCCCATTCTCCAGCTCTCCATGTTCCTGATCAACATCTGGCAAATTCCTGCCGGTTTAGCACCCAATTGGGGTACTATTGTCGTGGCGCGTGCATTGGTATGTCATTCTCAGTCTTCAACATTCATGTCACTTTCATATGCTAACCAGTCGCAGGGTGGAATCTCTACCGCTGGTGGTAGTGTGACTCTTGGTCTCATTGCCGATATCTACGAACCCGATAATCAACAGTTCCCACTGGCCTTCATCGTCCTTTCTTCGTGCATTGGTACCAGTATTGGCGGTGTGATTGGTGGCCCAATCGAACGATGTGAGTATTCTCCTGTTTCTAGTCCGGAACTAGACTAACCTATCGCGATCAGTCCTCACCTGGGAATGGTTCTTCTGGATCCAGCTCATCTTCGGCGGTGTCACTCAGGCAATTATCTTCTTCATGCCCGAAAGTCGATCGACCATCCTCCTGGATAAGGAGGCTAAGCGTCGTCGTGAAAGTGGCGAAGACCCGAACGTATACGGACCGAACGAACTCAAGAACCCCCGTATATCCCTCAAGGAGGCCGGCAAGATTTGGATGCGACCCTTCCGCATGCTTCTTACTGAGCCCATTGTCTTCTGTCTGTCCCTGCTGTCTGGATTCTCCGATGCTCTGATCTTCACATTCCTGGAGAGCTTTGCTATCGTGTACGAGCAGGGATGGGGCTTCGGTATTCTGGCACAGGCTTGGGCTGTCATTCCCATCAACCTTGCCTACTTCATCACGTACTTCACATACTTCCCTTGGTTCTGGCGAGATGAGAAAATCAGACAGACCAAGGGCAATGATGCGCTGGTACCTGAGCGTCGGATGAAATGGCTCCTGTTCCTGGCACCGTTCGAGCCGATCGGACTGTTCGGTTTTGCCTGGACTTCTTTCGGTAAGGAGCGTGGAATTCCCTGGATTGCATCCATGATCTTCTCTACCATGGTCGGTATCGCAAACTACGCGATTTACTTGTCTTCGGTCGACTACATGATCGCTGCCTACGGTCCCTACTCGGCGTCTGCTTGCGGTGGTAACGCCTTCGCTCGTGATCTTCTCGCTGGTATCTCGGCCATGTATGCGACACCTATGTACAACAATATCGGAAACAAGTGGCACGTCGAGTATGCCAGTACCGTCCTGGCCTGTCTGTCTTGTGTCGTCGTTGCTCCCATCTACGTCTTCTACTGGAAGGGTCCTCAGATTCGCGCAAAGAGCAAGTTCGCTTCTGCCCTTGCTGAGGATCGCAAGCAGAATGAGGGTCGCAGAGTTAGCAAGGCTCCTTCCCAGCAGCTGCCAGAGAATGCCTAATCTACTATTCTCCAAGGCTGTCAAACAGGTCCGGTGGAGAGGACCGAATTGTATGTGCTTGCTTTTATTAAATGCAGGCTCGGAGTTGGTAATCTGATGAATTAGATGTAAATACCACGCATTATATGTTACGACCGCGAGCCACCTGGGCATGATTATATATACCAATTCAAGTTCTTGTACCTAGAGGTACTTAGTCAAATTCGAAGTGTTAAACGCGTATCCAAGAATTAATTATGGTTAGCATCATAAGATTAAGAAGAATCAAGCAACCCTCACCGGGCAGTGATTACGACTTACGCTTGATCTTGGAGATGAAGCAGCGAAGAACTTGAAATGGCAGACCTCGGGAGTGGAACAAAAGCACTGGACAAGGAGCGATCGGAGTTATTTCTGGGGGCTGGTGGGTCAATGTTTTGTCGCGGTCACTCACTCCACTCGCCGTCTCCCTAGCAGCAGTGACCAACAACTAACGATTGAAACCCAAGCAAAGGTGACACCATGAAGCGATCAATATCAAGGATGGGGAATATTTCCTCGTTCCACGCGAGGAGACAAGCCGTCAGAGCCCCTGGAGCCACATGCCGAGGTTACGCGACCGCCGCGGGTCCATCACGATCGCTGACTTCCTTCGCATATGGAGCCGTAGGCGTGGCTGTTGGAGTTATAGCTACAGCTGGAATCTTGCGATCGAATGATGTAGAATCGAGAGAGAATGTGGGCACACCGTATTATGCTAATAAGTCGACTATGCTCAAGGTCAGATTCTCCCAACCGCGTGAGAGAGCCTCAGGCTGATAAATGACAGGCCGCGAGGGAGATCCAGAGTCTTCTGGGCGAAGATGCAGTGAGCATGGATGTAGATGACCTTGAATCTCATGGGTATTCCGAGGCATCTACAACAAACATCGACACTCGCCCGGTCGCGGCCATCATGCCTACTTCCACTGAGGAGGTGTCTTTGATTGCAAAGATATGCAACAAATATCGAATCCCCATGATTCCATTTGGCGCGGGATCGAGCGTGGAAGGTAACTTTACTGCGCCTTATTCCGGATTCAGTATCGACTTGTCTCGCATGGACAAGATCCTTGCCTTCCATGAGGAAGATCTTGATGTCGTTGTTCAGCCAGGCGTGAATTGGGTGAATCTCAACGATACTCTCAAGCCGGCGGGTCTTTTCCTTCCTCTGGATCCCAGTCCTACGGCTCATATTGGTGGAATGGTGGCAACAAACTGCAGTGGGACAAACGCTCTTCGCTACGGAACCATGAAAGACTGGGTGGTGAACCTCACCGTCGTTCTTGCAGATGGTTCTGTCATTAAAACGCGTCGCCGACCGCGCAAAACTTCCGCTGGATATAACCTCAATTCTCTATTTGTCGGATCTGAGGGAACTCTCGGTATTATCACCGAGGCAACCTTGAAGTTGGCAAATGTGCCTTCGCATTTTGGTGTTGCCACTGTCGCCTTTCCAACTGTCAAGGAAGCATCTAACGCGGCGACCGCGATGATTCGCAGCGGAGTATCTCTAGCTGCCCTAGAGCTGATGGACGACGTTCAAATGCGCGTTTTGAACCAAGTTGGAGGCACTGCTGGAAAACTCTGGCAAGAGAAACCTACCTTGTTCATCAAATTCTCAGGATCGCAGCGGACCGTTGAAGATAGCACGGGGGCTTCAAAGAGTATCAGTTCCGCCCATGGAGGTTCGGAATTTGTTTCTGCCACAGACGAGAAGACGATGGAAGCTCTTTGGTCAGCACGAAAGTCCGCCCTTTGGGCCATGCTTGCGATCAGACCAGAAGGCACGCAGATTTGGTCAACCGATGTTGCTGTCCCACTATCCCACCTCGCTGAGATCGTCGAACAGTCCAAAGAGAACTCTTCTAAGCTTGGTCTTTTCTCAACTGTATTGGGGCACGTTGGCGATGGCAATTTTCACCAAACTGTTATGTATAATCCGGAGAAGCCCGACCAAGTGGAGGGTGTGAAGCGCTGTGTTGATACTATGATCACACAGGCCTTGAAGATGGATGGTACAGTATCCGGTGAACATGGTATTGGCCTCGGAAAAAAGGAATGCCTGGAGAAGGAGCTGGGTCCGGCCACTATCGCTGTAATGAAGACTTTGAAGAGGAGCCTGGACCCTTATTGGTTACTGAACCCAGGAAAGGTCATAGATTTCTAGCTTACAGCTGGGCTGGGAGTACATATTGTGATTCTGTAAATAGGAATGCAGGAAAGCCTAAGAATACATAGTGCTACCCACAACTCCGAACACACTTCAGGGCTCAGTTGTACAAGGCTGCCATTCAACCCAATTCATGTTAGCACGCGATGGGTGTTGATACCCGAGAGTACTCCAGAAGCCCTAGTGGCCTTACTAGCCAATACTGGACTCAAAAGTGCGAAAGTAGCGCTGCGGGGTTCGGAAGAGAAGACCCTGTCTGACTTAAGTGGAGAAGAGAAGGAGGAAGAAAAGAAAAAAATAGAGCCGCAAATGGGGGCCATTTCAGTTAAAAAAAAAACACAATAAAAAGCCCGCCACCTTCGGGTTAAACGAATCTCAAATTCTTCACTTCATTTTTTCAAAATATCCCAAAAGAAATCAAAATGGCATCACCCTCGCCTCCTTTCGGCTCGCGTGTTTACACGTCTATCTCCATTGCCCTTTTGACTGGGTGGACTCTTACGGCGTTGGGATTTTCGGCTCTAGACCTCCTCAACCAGAGCCGCAAGTATATCGAGCCGATCGCGTCGATCAGTCTGCTCACTTTCCTTGCTTGCCGCCTGTTGGTCTTTTTGGATCCCAGCCAAAGGGCCCCTGATGGCGACCAAGATTCCAATTCTATCGCGCATCGTCTCACAACTGGATACCGACAATCGCGTCAACATGCACTCGCCATGCTGCTTTTTTCCGCTGCTTGGCTGTATGAGATTGCTTCCAAAGCTGTCATCATGTTTTTCACAACGGTTTTCGGTGGAGTGATGGCTGCAGCTATATACAACGACGCATTTCAAAGGGTCGAGGAAACCGTTGATGATCCAGTTGCGAATGCGAGTGCCTCTGACCTGGACGAAACTTCTCTCGCCCAAATTGAGGATTTCAAAGACATGGCGGGTTTTGATCCAGTGGCACTTTTTAAGATGATCCCGCCGCAGGTTTTCATCTATTGTGCTGCTCTCGCCTGGGTGAATCTTGCCGCCCTGACGATTTATGTGCTCCGAATCTCTTGGAGGTCCATCAAAGTCGTATTTGGGTCGGTGCCTGTTGCTGAGGCAAAGAAATGATTATTTGTGGCGACCAGAAGGGTAGATGTCAATGCAGATTCAATGGCGACTTTTGCACCTTTATTCCTCCTTTCGGGAACTCGAGGGGAAACAAGTGCAGCCCCAATCCTTGTCAAATGGAAACTCCATGTGTAATCAGGAAACTGGAAGATTTCAATAGCTCCAAGATACCCTGAATTTTGTACTATCATTGTTCTTTACCGGTGGGAATGTAGCTTTCTGTTTGCGTTCGCTTTGCCTTCTGTCTATCCTTCACGATGTCTTCCACAAGATAGAATACAATCAACGGGCTGAGCAAAATACCCAACGGAATTTTGGCCCCAGAGAGGAAGACGTTGCCTCCGACTAGTCATGCTTATAGTCGTCATCACGGGAAACTCGGTGTGTTGAGGTGGTTCTAGAATTGAAGGGCCGACTCTGGTAGCCCGACCAGTCTGACAAGTTGCCTTCAAATGACTGACAGTTCGAGGATATCCAATAATTTGGCTTGTGAAAACTAATCCACCTGCGTATCCTAATCCGACACGTAATTCGATGCACTATTTGCGATGGTGCCTGGTCGATATTCGAGAGGGGTAAATAAGGGGAAGTGAGTGGCTCGGAGATGTTCGATAACCGAGTGCATCCCCGCGTCTTCTCCGGCAAACTCCGAGCTATCTTTAACATCTCCGCGCGCCGGCTTCCATCTCGGTATTATTGATTTTGTTTCATTGCACCCCAGCCGGATATATGCGATATGCAGTCTCCCAAGGAAAATACCGCTATTTCTTCTCCGCAAGTTGCACCAAAGCGCAAAAGACGAACATTGTCTTGCTTACAATGCCGGCGCCGGAAGTTGAGATGTGATCGATGCTACCCTTCTTGCAGTCGATGCCAAGGTCAAGGGATTGAATGCATCTTTGAAAATCCACCGATAAACCAGAAAAGGAAGATTTCCGACAATAATCACACCCATTTGGAGTCTCGGACTGACACGCTAGCTTCGCCAATCGCGATATTTACACCGCCACAGGGCCAATATGCCCATTCAGCAACAATCAGAAATCCTACATTGGAAGCCCCGCAGAGTCAAGGAACTTGGGGGCTTTTAGGAGAACAAGCGATGAACCCCTTGGTAAGGGAAAGACCAGCTATAATGTCAGATTCGCTACATCTATTGGAGCCCCCAAAGCCTAGGAAGAAGGAGAATGTCATCTTTAGAGGCAAGAATTTCAAAACGCAGTTCTACGGGGGAAGTAATCCTACAAGCTTGATTGGTGATGTAAGACACATGCCTGCCTTTATATTTGGATATCTTAGGGGCTTAATCTGATTATTGCTAGTTTCCCGAACTCCGCTCATTTATGCAGGACAGCATTAAACAACATCCATCCCTTCCACGTGTCCAACGCGAGCTAAAGTCTCTCCAAATTAAATGGAAGGCAGAGAAGCAAACAGCTTTCCCTGCAATTAAAATGGAGTTTCTCCATTTATTCCCGAATGAAGAAACATCCAATCGCTTGATCCATGCCTACCTTGACACCGTCGAGACAACATATCGCATCGTCCACGTCCCAAGCTTCTGGAAAGAGTATCAAACCTTCCTAGTAGATAGAAAGGCGGCCAGGCCCGCATTCATTATTCTTATGCTTCTGATGATGTCCACCGCGAGCTGTCTGGCGGAAGAAAAAAGCACCCATGTCGGTGACAGCGCCGTGGTACGTGAACGTGCGGCGTTGTGGATTGAAGTATCCGAACGCTGGCTTCAAAATCAAAGCCATAAGCAGATTTATCTAGCTATATGGCAGATTCGCTGTCTCATATTACTCTCCAAACAGGTCAATGTGATCAAGAAGAAACGCATCTGGACGGAAGCAGGCACTCTTCTTAGGCAGGCCATGGCTGCAGGATTCCACCGAGATCCGGGAAATTTGGGCCAAAAGTGCACTGGCTTCGACCATGAGATGCGACGACGACTATGGGCTACCATCACAGAGTTAGAGCTTCAGGCATCCATCGACCGAGGGATGCCTTCGGCCCTTGCTGGTGTCTCCTCGGACTGTGCGACGGTTCAGAATATTGATGATAATAATCTCACAGATGAGGCCGACGACACATCTCGCTCGAAGAACTGGGACCTGTACACAGACAGCTCTTATCTACATGTTTCAAAATCTAGCTTCGCCCTTCGTGCTACGCTAAACTCGCTGGTCAATAACCTCGGCCTCCCGTTGCAATGGGAGCAAGTTGTGGATTATGAAGAGCTAGTAAAGGCCGAGCTCGAAAGTCTGCCGGCTTGGATGCGGTCGGATCCTAGTGATCGTGGCGGGGCGCTATCTGGGGCAATTTTGCAGATCCAGCTCCAACAGCTTTTAATACTTCTGCATATGCCATTTGCCAGAAAAATGGATTCCAATTCCCGATGCTCTGTCTCCCGGATGATATGCTTTCAAGCTGCGCAGAGGATCTTAGACCAGGTCCGGAAATTATCACAGCATCAATACTCATTCATTCTGCTATTTCGACAAGATTATTTTCGAGCAGCTTTGGCGGTTTGCCACTGTGCATACATATCCCATAATATCCCAGGTATTACTCGGAAGTTCTTCTCTAGGGCAACGGGCAGCTAACTCCAACAATCTAGGTGATCTATTCGGCATAAATATTAGACCGTCCATAGAGTATCTTGACGATTCCTTGCTTTTGTTTGAAGATAGAATTACACGCCTCGGCACAGATTTCACACGATATTGGTATATTTCTGCTGGTCGATCTTTACTCAACTCAGCTATGGATCCATCAAATGAGACCAGACAAAAGCAGCAGGCAATCGAGCACGTTGCGAGACAATACCACCGAATACGTGGCTCTCAAGAGGATTTGATATCCGTGAAGATGATGGTATGCATTTAGGAGATTTTTCCCAAAGACAAACGTTAACTTGGACATACACAGCTCAACTTGACAGAATCACCAGCGGCCGGGGACCCCAATGCCCTGACAGCGCTTTACCACCCATCATATGATTATGACACAGTTAACCCGGTAAGTCTTGGAGAAATCGATCTAGTAATAGTACCGTTGAATTTTTGATATCTAACGTCGGTCAGGTTGATTTCCCTTTGGAGTCTCTGGAGGAAGAGTTCTTTTTTGGTGATCCAGCTGCCTGGACATTCTCGAATTTCGAATTCATTTAGCCCAATGTCATTTAAAGTATTGCAGAAACAATAAAAGAACATATATACCAAGATTCAGCCATCTACAATCCCAAATATTTCATCTGAGTAATTTCCGAAACTAGGCAGCTGGTATGAGGTCACTCGGAGACGTGGTTTCCGAGAGCTAAAAGGCGAAAGTGGTCAATCACGTCTTACAATGCACATGTTTTGCGTTATCAGATCTCGGGAATATCGGAATATACTAGTACAACTGGAAAGCTAAAATCCTAGGCCTTTCCTTGGCAGGTTGCATTCCTTGCTCGGAGATTGTTGAAGGCCCAAGATCTAAAGCCGAGACACTAATTAATACAGATCAAAGCTTTATTATAAGAACAACCTAAATCCAGCAGAGAATGAGATTTCTAGCAACACACTCCATTCGAATCAATAATACTCTGCCTTCCAAATAGTCAAGACATCTAGTCATCAAAATGTCCTCCAAATCAACCGATCAGACAAAAGTCGTTGACGCCTACATCAAAAAACATCTCATCGGCGTTGACGAGGGCCTCGAGCATGCCTATACAAACAGCACCGAGAAGGGTCTTCCAATGATCGCGGTCTCTCCAGCTCAAGGAAAATTCGCGTCGCTGCTCACAACCATCGGCTCCGCCCGCAACGTACTGGAGATAGGCACTCTTGGAGGTTACTCTACTATCTGGTTCGCGAAAGCCGTCAAAGGGCGCGGAAAGGTTACCAGTATTGAAGTTTCTCCCCATCACCGAGATGTTGCCATCGAAAATCTGCGCGCCGCTGATGTCCAAGTGCCTGAAGAGGTGGACGTTCTCCTCGGAGCAGGTCTTGACGTTCTCCCTAAGCTGGTAGCGGAGATAGAAAAGGGAGTCAGAGAACCCTTCGACTTTGTGTTCATAGATGCGGACTGGCCTAATCAGTGGAACTATTTTGATTTTGGCGTAAAAGTGTCGAAGGGGCAAGGTGCTGTTATCTACATCGACAACGTTGTTCAAAACATGTTGGAGAGTGGAATTGTGGGAGAAAAACATCGAGACGGGGATGCTGTTGATGTCGTTGCTAAGGCTGGAGCAGATGATCGGGTCGACGCTGTTGTGATGCAAACAGTCGGATCGAAGACTCATGACGGATTTCTGCTAGCAGTTGTGAAATAGTCTTCTGGGAGAGGACAACCAATAGATCACAATTCAAGGCAGCCGTGTTTCATTTCTATAAACATTGTTAGCACGCACCGATAGGAAAATGCATTATACTGGAGAGGCTGGTCTGCCATTCTTTGTTTCATCATCGAACTCGTCATGTTCATCGTCATCCTCATCATCGGAAACAGCTTTCTCATATTCCAGTTCTTCAACCTGATTACCAAGCAAATAGAAGAATTCAGGGACCTCTTCAAGCTCAGTTGGCTCGAGAAATATTCCAAGATCTCTTGTCTGGAAGATATGTTCTTCGTCGTAAGAATCTCGACTTGAGAGAACTCCAGTTATGTATTTATGCCAGGGGCCGCTCATGAAATCCATGATGGGCAATCCAAGCTCGTAAAACCAAGAATGAAACTTCGTGAAAAGTTGCTCAAGCTGTCGGTAGCAAAATTGGTCTTCATCCTGGATGCTTTGTATCTCCTCTTCATCCATAATATCATCTGCATAACGTAGTCCGAGAATGGCTGCGCTCAGCTCACGACAACACGTATGACTTAATCTCAGTGCTTCGAATGTAAAAAGCCGAATGATGCTGCAGTCTCTCTCTTTAGTGGTATCTGTCAAATGAAGGAGAGAATTGAGCAACAGGGAATATCTAGACTTTCCGAACAGCACTGGAATGCTCCGATGAGACTCAAACATCCTATTACATTTTCGAAGGGCCACAAGAAGTGTAGTACAGCCTCCTTCACAACATGCACAAAATACAGGAATCCTGCATCGAGGGAATTAGAAAGATAGTTTTTTTTTCTCTCGTTGATAGTTTCTTTCAGCTGATGGAGGCGTCTTGTGTTAAAATTGTCATGGAAAATGGCCTTTTTGAGCTTTGTGGCAACACGAGAGCTCAACATATGGGCGATGGTTGCCTTCGAAAATGGTAGCCTTCTTGATAAGGTGGCCCCTTTATCAACAAGCCATATTGCGGCTTTCTCGTTGAACGAGTGATATTTCAAACAGCAGACCATGAGGGGCGTCAAGCCACGCGAATCCGGTACATCAATATCTTGAAAGCCAGCTCGATAAAGACCATCCCAGGGATTCAGATCACAAATTGATTCATGGTAGACTGGCCTATCCTTTTCTAAAGAATTCGCCAAGGTAGAATCAACCGGCCACCCGTTTTTGATGAGCTCTGTGAATACTCGAAAGGTATCGACGTCAAGAATTGACTCAGAACTTCCAAGAGTAGGAATCTCAACAAAGGCCCCCGGCATTAAACAGGCTTGGGCAAAAGTATGTAGCTTTCTGCGTCGCTTCACGTATTCGTCAATCAATAGAGATCGGACCTTTTCGGATTTACACTGCGTTATGCTGCAGCTCCTGAAAATGCATCCACCTTGCAGCAGCGGCGTTATTGGATCACCGTATGTAGGAAAGTCGGAATCATCTGCCTCTTGAGGCCTATATGAACAATCATTCAAGTTCACTGTCGAAGCATCCGCCCCGAACTCCAGGAGGATACGGACCCCCTCTGGCCATCCAACCGCTAGTTCGAGCAATGATCGGTTCTGTATGTGGTCATTGGCATTGGCAACGCCAGATTGTAACGCTTCTCGCAGATCCAGCTCGGACTCTCCCAGAATGACTTTTGCAATTTCCTCTAGGTCCACAACTTGCAAAGAATATTTATCAGATATAGCAATAACTCCAGTCAGAACTCGAACTTACAGTCACTATCCATGCGAAGAACGCCAGTGAGATAATGCCGACCGTACCGCTTGCGATTGAGAAGGGATCTGACATGATCAAATCAGTTCATGTGTTTTTCTTGAATCTAAAGTGACATTATCAGTTGCAGCAAGATCGAAAATATTTGCAAGTGTGGAAGACGTCTGAGATAGCTTCTGAGATCGCAAAGCCAACACACCCACATGAACACAGCCATACAACTCAGCCATACAACTCAGCCTCATAGACTAGGCCTAGCCCGTAGCTTGGGGCTGGCGCTAACTTCAAACATGTCGAGATCGCGTGGCTCCAATCAACCCCAGAATATATGCAGGGCAGATGCATCCAAGCCTCATCATGATAGGCTGAAACAGCACATGCGACGCGCCAATGCTTTGCTGGCGAGATCTAGATGGAGGGGCTTCTGCTTTCTCGTCGCAGTAGTCATTGGTCTGGGCAAGGGATGTTGAAAATTTCGAACCTTCCCAGTCCAATTTCTATAAGGCTGAATTCAGTTCATCTGAACTACAGGGCTGTAGGGCTGAATTCAGCCACTCCCGCGTGGATCTACACGGAATACAACATCTACATCAAGATCATGATATTTGTAAAAGTTCAAATTGAACTGCACAAGAGGAATTTCCGGGCTGATGTATTGCATTGCAGTTAAAATAACAGAGCTAATAATCCCGAATGATGGTCCGAGAAATCTCCTAATCGTAATAATCCTCATCATACTCAGCCTGATCCTCACGACCATCCTCATACGCCTCACGACGCATTTCATTCTCGCGCTCTTCCTGTTCTTCCTTATCAGACGAGTCGTCGGAGTCTGCAAAAAATCTGTTAGCAACACGTCTCTATCCACCGACCTCAATTGAGGCTTAGGTTTAGATCTGAGTGTCCGGAAATACGTACTAACTTCATGCTCAATAACAGCACCCGCAATACCACCAAGAGCTAAACCAGCCGCACCAGCCGCAAGGTATTTGCCCGCATTACTAGACTTCTTCTCCTGCGGGGGATAACCACCACCGCCATAGCCACGCTCATCATATCCAGACGGGGGAGGACCGGGAGGCGGTGCATAATATCCACCACCTTCGGGGGGAGGAACACTGCGCGAACCATCATAGTATCCGCTTGGAGGACCCTGAGGCGCGGCGGATGGGAAGGGTGATTCCCATTGCGAGCGACCGGTTGCTTCTTCAACCCAGAATGCCCGCCGGGTTGAGGGCTCCCATTCTTGGTGCCAGCCTGGTGGTGCGGGTGGGGGTGGGTTTGGCGGGGGGCGGGCGCCGGGGGGAGGGGCGCTGTAGGGGCTTCGTTCGTAGGGGGGTCGGTTGTCGTATGGTGCTGGTGGGGGTGGTTGTTGGCCGTAGCCTTCGTAGGGTGGGGCTTGGTAGGGACTGCCCTGTGGGGGGCGGTTGTAGTCCTGGTAGTAGGACATTGTGGGTGGTGAGGAGGAGGGAGATGGATGGATGAGGGAGGAGGAGAGGAGAGAGAAGAGAGAGGAGATGGAAAGAGAGGGAGGAGGGAGGGTTTATAAGAGGTGGTGGAGAGGTGGAGTGGGGTGTAGATGTTGGTGCTAGTGTTTTGTTGGTAACTGTCGACTAGACAATATCAATATACAGTACATAAAAGACTAGACTAGGCTAGACTGGGACAGAATAGAACACTGGCACTAAGGGGACTTTCATCCGGACCACTCCGTTGACTCCACCCGTTCTTAGCGCCAGGAAAATGGTGGAGGGTGAGAGTGGAGGTTTGGAATGGAGGTTCAGGGCCAGGCAGATCCATTCGTGAGACAACCGCTGCTGCATGAGAGAAAGAAAAACAAACAGCTGAACAGATGGGATGAAATCAAGTAAAACGCCAAGGGCTGCGTGTTACCGTCGGCTGATATTGTCCTGTCAATTATAGATGTAGCCTGTAGGTGCTCCGTACATACATATGTACTAGTATAGATCAGATGGATGCGGGTATACAGAGTAGCAAGTCGTAGATACATACTCCGTACAAACAAACCCTTAATTTCAATCCATGGTTGGCTCAAAGCTTGACGGCGGCTAATAAAGTGGCAGCCTGGAGATGGAACAAACCCTAACTCACCCCTATACAATATGGATCCCCGAGCCACACTGCCACAGTTCACCTTCACCCCTATTTCTCGTATTATAAACAAAGAGGCATCCTGTTGAGGGTAGAATAGGCACTCTGTACTCCGTACTCCGTATCCCCTATGACAGAATAAACCCTGCCGATGCGGAAATCCCGCAGCTCCACACCGGCTGTCAGGAGAGAATTCGGTCGAATCATTTCATGCCATGCCCCCCTATACATGCGTAGGGCGGACCAGTCAGGGCTGCTAGCGTGTGTGCACAGCCACTCGGAGTGGCACACGTGGCGCAGTTACATTCGGGGATGGTTGGCATTGGCTTGGCTGGGTGTAGGTTGAGTCGTTGGGCGTGGAAGTGGATTGTTTTGTGGGTTTAGTGGAGAGCAGGTGTAGAGTGGAGGTGGAGACGGAGACGGATGTTAAAGGGTGAGGGTGACAGATAAAGATGAGGGGGTTGTTACGAGTAGAGGAGAGGAAGGAGAGGGTATTCCGGGGATATCGTATGCATTGTAAAGCTATCAGCTATCCTACTAAAGAGCAACCCAGATTCAGCCAAGGAGCTATCATCTGCACACTGCAAATGGCCTGCAGCTCGGCTCAGCTCAGCTCAGCTCAAGTCAACTGGGATCAAGCCCCCGCCCACACGCTGGCCTTGCTGTTATCGGGGTAGAAGAAGGCCCCCAGTGCGATGATCACGTAGGCAGCAATCAACAAGGCACCTTCAAGGTAATTACTGCGGCCATCCAGGACAAGGAAATTAACCACGAAAGCTGTGACAAACAGACACACTGTTTCGAAAAGGGTGAAATATAGCGACATGTCCTTGTCCATGCACCATCCGAGGATGACAACAAGCGGGGTGACAAATATAGCTGCAAAATGATTAGCACATGTCCAAAGGAGGCTCTCACATGATAAAGAGGGATGTCAAACTCACCAATTTGAATACTACTTCCAACAGAAACACCTATTGACAAATCCATCTTGTTCTTCGTCGCGACAGTGACCGCCGTCACGTGCTCCGCAGCATTTCCGACAATGGGGAGAATGATCAATCCAATAAACGCCTCGCTAACAGGCGAGCTGGCGATCATGTCCGGAATCGCGTCAACCAGGAACTCAGCGCACACTGCGACTGAGACCAGTAGAAAGAAGAAGCATGACCACGGCCGCCGTGCGCGACATTTCGGGCTCGATCTCCTGCGGCGGTACGGTAGGAGCGACGGGGTCCAAAGGATCCGTGAGACGAGATGCACCCCTGGCAAACTGCACCGCGTTTCCGACCGGCGGCTGTCGAGTGACCCGCGCGGGGAGAGAGTTACTTCGGGCCATGGTCGGGCGCGCAGCGGCACTACCCAAGTGAGGGGAATTGCCCGGGCTCTGCGAGCTGAATACTGTGTTCGAAAGCAGCGAAGGGATTGGTCCAAACGGTGACCATTTGCGTTGGGCCTCGCTCTCGCCTGCACCCTCCATTCCAGTGAAGTTCGGGGCAGACTGGGCGACCGCCATCGAAGGACGCGGGGCCTGAACGTGCGTCGGTAGGATCTGCGGGTGTGCCTGAGCTTGAGCTTGAGCCGTTGCCACAGCCTTCTCGGCGCGTTTTGAGCGGCGTTTCTTTCGTTCGCGACGACGAGCCTTTTCGCTCTGCGCCGTGCCAATCTTGCTAAGGGCTTGACCAAAGTCGCGAGAGCGGAATTCAGACGAACCCTGGGCGTCGGCATCGGCATCATAGTTGATTTCATCATCAACAGCAACACTGTTCGCACTGCCAATGGAGTTGTCGATGGAACCCTGATTATCATTCACCATGACCTGCTTTTGGGTCGATTGGCGCGACACAGTACCCTTGCCGGACGTGGTGCTGGTACTGGACTTACGACGACGACGATTCCCAATGGCCTTCTTGATGCGCTTAGCGGTGGACCATGAGGTGGTGGTATCGACAGACTCGTCGCTAGAGCTGGATGACGAGTCGGAGCTGTTCAAGAACTCGGCGAGAACACCGGGATGGGACTCCTCGTCAATGATGCGCTGGGGCACACTGGCGTAGAGGTAGGAGTGCGATTTCAACTGGAACAAAATGTACAAGATGTAGACCAGCAGGAGAACCACACTGGTACCACGGCTCACTTTGAGTGTTTGGCTGTCGGCGAATGTGCTGTCGCTGAACGACGCGTGGAAGGCGGTTGGCAAGAGCAGCGACATGACGGACAGACTCAACATACAAGCACTCATCTGGGTGACGGTGCTATTATACATCTGTTCCTGGAAGCGGAGACCACCAAAGAGGAAGGCCATTCCCATGATCAGCAGCAGATTGGCCAGGATGGATCCGAGCAGGGAGGCCTGCACGATCCGGATCTCATTCTTGACGAGTGCAATAATGAAGATGATCAGCTCGACGGCATTACCGAAGGTGACATTGATCAAGGCGCCAATGGTATCACCGAGGCGACTGGCGACGCTCTCCGTCGCGTGGCTCAACAGACCAGCCAAGGGGATGATTGCGACGGCATTCATGGCGAAGACAATGGCCGGGCTGAGACCTGCAGCCTTACAGGCGATGCCGATGGGCACAAAGACCAACAGGACATTGACCCAGCTGTGAATGAGGGCATCCTTGGTGTGGTGGTAGAATCGGATGCTACCATTGCGCATGCGACGCAGCATGCTTAATTGTTTCTTTTCATCGTCGGGCTCGGTGGGGCTCTCGCCCTCGGCCTTGGCGACGGGGGGAGTCACTTCAGCATCGCGGGAGGTCGAAGAGGAAGAAATGGTATCGAGCTTGGGTTTGCTGGGGGTCCTGGTGATGGTAGGACCACGAGACGATGCGTGAGCTTTCGCCCACGAGCTAATCCGGTCTGGAGGTGGAGGTGGCAAGTTAGTCAAGCTGATCATGATGAGATAAGGGTGGAGGTGGAGATGGAGATGGATAACTCACGCATGTATTTCTAGAACCAGTCACTGATTCAGGGTAGGCAGAAGCCTTGTAGTTGGAGGATGAGGAGGTGAAGATGGAGAGAAGAAGAGAAGAGAAGAAGAAGAAGAAGAAGAAGAAGAAACGGAGGAAGCTAAAGAGAAAGACAAGGAAGGAACGAGTCTTGGCAACTGGACCAAAAGATGAGGAAGGATCGACCTGACAGGCGCCTTCCCTCTTTTGTACTTTGTCCAGTCGCTCCTTCCCTCCAATTCCCTCCACATTCCTGCCTCGTCAGCCATTCCCACCTGACGAGTTCAGCCCTAACTGTAACTCTACTGTAACTCTATTGTATACATCTACGAACAATCCTGATGTCACTCGGCTAGAATGTACACGTACTCCCCAAACATCCCAATGATCGTTGTTTATCCCGAAACCTTGCACCTCCTATTCGATGATCGCCACGCCTCGCAGGGCGGCTCCACTCATCTCTCATCATCCTCCATGATTGGTTCTCACCAGGATCGACCTGGCGAGAACAAATAAGACACCTGTCTAGCGATGTACGAGTACGCCATATGGGAGTAACCTGTAAGTGTACATTACACTCATATGTACAAAGTACAAGTACAACAGACTAGATCAGATACGCTGCGCTACTCTCTTCATGATGTCATTGTCATACAAGTTTCGGGTGAGATCAACTGCGAAGCCATTACCTGATTCGTGCGGTATTCGTTCTATTTCCAGACATCCGTGCGAGCGAATCGAATCAAATCACATCGCCTCGCTTCGCCTCACTACGGGACACACCTTCGTATAAGTTGCCCCAATCGGTACTACTGTGGCGGTGACGATGACGGCGACTGAGGCTTGCACTGCCACGCCTTCTCCTCTTTCGCCAAGCCGAGCGGAGTATTCCCACCAATTTCGGCGAATCTCCGTGCCGTTCCAAGTCAAGCAAGTCAAGCAAATCAAGCCAAGCTAAGCCTAGGCCAAGGCCAAGTCAATGACTCAATTCTATTCCGCGATACCGATTCTCTCCTCCCACCGTCTAACCTTCCAATTCATATACCCTTTCGCCCCGCTAATTGCCAAGATTCGCGACACGCTCCGGTGCAAGCTCAAGAATTGACGAGACGGCGCAGGAATGCCTTCGCGAGGCTCTAATTTCACTACTGTCTCTTTCTCAGTCCGTCGCCCGACACCATCCTCGAGTGGTGACCATAAACAATACTCGCATGGATGAGATGTCGCCTCCAAATAGATCAGAGAGGATGCGAACAGCTCGTGCTGCACTTTATCCAGTGTGAACATGTTGGCAGAGCTTCGTAGTGTGGCCTTGTCGAGCATATCTCGAATATTTGGCTCGAACATTTCCATCATCAAGATAGTCGCGCTGCGCATATCTTGGAAGTAGTTCTAAAAGTAGTCGTACATTGTTAGCTGGTCAGTGACTACCAACTGCGAGAGAAAGAGACTCACTTCTTCCTCGCCATTTGGTGGAGCTTGATCTGGGTTGGCGGGGGTAACAACTTCGGAGGAATAATATAAACACCCCGGAGTTGGCTATGATTTGCACCAGTAGCGGGTACTTTTTGACCATCGTAAGATATTGTCGCGGTCTTCAAGTTCCCATTCAACTCCCTCCACCCATCACTCCCAGTGATCACACATCGAGCGTGATCCCGCAGAACCAAGGGCTTAAGTAGCCACCCAGATGCACTCTCGGAGTCGGCCTGCTTCAAATAATTTGCAGACCACACAGTAACTGTCAAAATAGTTAGCTACCAATATTTCCCATCCAATCGATCGATCTGAATGAACAAGATACATACACCGAAGAAGAATGCGATCTGCCAAGAACCCTGCAAAATCCTGCAGAGCCGCTTCATACCACTGCTTGTTACCTTGCAACTGGATGAAGCGACGCTTATTAAGCCTGTTTGTGGTTGTGTAGTAGTGACAAATGAATCGGTAGATATACAACTGGAAGAATCTATGAAAGTGCCCCTTCAATGTGACGTGGTCGCAAAATGCTTGTACCAGTCCGGGGGTACTGTATCCCATCTGCACTATTTCTGAAAAGCGTGCCAACATCTTCTCCATGAATAATTTTGGGTCCGGATCATGTAAGCTGGGGGTCGCGTGTTGTGTTGTCCCTTGTTGGGTGGTCTGTAGCATCTCGTTTATGATTGATATACTCAGTTTATGCATATTGTTCCGTGGTGTGGGCCAAATTGTGGCCGTGATAATACTGTGATCTAAATTTTTCTACTAGGTATACTTGTTCTCTTGCAAAGGAAAGGAGACAGAGCACAAATATGTCGATATTTATTTACTTTCCGTTATGGATTGTTTCTTCGTTCATGCCAGTGTTCATTGTATCACTATTGCATTGTGTATCGTAGCAAACAAGTCCATTTTCTTTCATGGACAAAGGACGCCTGTCAATCTACAAACCTAGGCAACGTGTCGCAGTATGTTTCTCATCATCGACCGATGATGAATACCATTCACATTCAATTCTTCTACTTTTCCGCCAGGTACTAGTGACAACCCTGCAGGATACAACTTGCCTCCCAGGGCCTCTGGGTCAATAAGTGTATGATAAGCTTAAATGGAAAGGACTATCTATGAATATCATTGGTCGAATGTGCAACTTGGCTGAATAATTTCAATATTTTGGGGTAAATGTCCAGATGTTCAAATTTGAAGGTGGAAAGCGGGAAATATATCTTATATTCCTAGACATCGTGATAGTGGTCGGTACCTAGGTACTTGGAGGTACTTTGTGTACGGCAGACTTCAACTTTTAAATGAACCTTGGAATCTGGCAAATTCGAAATCTTTATCATTTTCAGATAGGAAATATATCGACTTGCTACAGACTAGTGGATAATCATCCTAATTTTTTACTTTCTGAAAAGGAAGTTGATACAAAGCATCATCTTTTCCACGTGACCGGAATCATTTACCGACATTTTCTCATTTCTCGTATCGCCGCCTCCCTTCCCCAAAGGTCGACAAGTGAGCAAATGGCGAAGTTTGGAGCTACAAGGACTCGGAGTGGCTATGAATAAATCCACATCTCGAAGCTTGACGTGATCCACCCTCCACTAGCCCCATCGGCATTTCGCTCGGCACAATCGCGGAACCCTTCTCGGCAACCCGATCTCCGCCGCATGCAGTTTGCGACCGCAACTTCGACTTTTCTTTATTTTTTACAGCAGTGAAATCTCATTCTCGCAATCTCGCAAACCTGTCGTCTTACCCCCCATCAATTGATTCATCTGAATGTCTTGATGCATAGCGCACCGATGAGTGTGCGCGAACTTCGGAATGACGTCGAAAGAATCCCGGTCTGAGACCGGAAAAGAGAGGTACGCATACGACATCCGATCCGATGCATGTATGCCGCTACTTACACTCTGGAATAGATGGTTAAGTCCCGCACGGTTGTGGGAATATCTCGATCTAGACTCGCATAGCTTCCTCATGATGCTGAAGGGAGCATTGGCGCCGACCATCACAATTGCAATGTATGCTTACCACTCCAGGCTTCCAATAAAGCAGTCGCTGAGACAATTGTATATACAGATACCAGAGTACTGCGATTTCAAATATCACTACAACTATCGGTTACCTCTCGGCCCTGATTTCCGTCCTTTCACAGGGCCTCATGCCGCGAGCAAAGTTCATGAAGATCATGTTCTTCGACCTTTTATCCACATGCGTCTCGGCATCTATCTGCTGTCTCGCTGTATTTTGCGCCGTCAAGGCACGCCAGCATAACATACCCCCCGACGCTAGCGAGGCAGTTCGAAATGGCTTCAGCAGTGATGCCTGCGCTGTCTCTGCCATCTGGCTAATCTTCATGATCTGGTAACTCCCCGTTCATTATTTTTGCTCCCTTCAATATCTGCTAAGAATTCCTGCAGGGCGGCAAACTCACTACGCGCTCTCAAGCCCATGGAACTACAGGATCCAATGGTTGCGTTTTCTATCTTCGCTTCCGTAACCGTCACCCGCGCTGGCATGTTTACCTCCCTTTCCGAAGGATTGGAGTTTATATCTCGGCTTCTGAAAGGTTTCATGATCGGCTTCGCCATCGCGACTGGCGTATCACTATTGATACTCCTATCACTAGCCGGGGTAATGTCTTCCAAGACATGAAGCGGTACGTTGCTGCCGTGGAGGGGGTGCTTGATGCGCAGATCGCCTTCGACGACGGTGGTGCGACGGGCGGGATCTTCGGAAGGGGCTTTCTTCGTCGGGCACGGACCGCAATGGGTCGTGATGGGGAGGAAGAAGAGAGCGAGAGCGACACAGATCTGCAGTCTAGTATTAAGGATCTGCAAGTTTCAATGGCTAAATTGAACGCGGTGCATAATACGCTGCATGCTGATCTGTTCTATTCGAAGGATGAGATCGCATGGGGAAAGCTGTCAGCGGACGATCTGAGTGGAATTGCCTCGTTGTTCCGGAGTCTTTTGCTTCCACTTGCTGGAATGTCGATGATGCCGGAGATCCTGGAGTCGATCATTAAGAATGAAGGCGCTGGGACGGCTGAGCGTGACGATCTAGGAGACTCGGAATCGAGACAGGGGATATCCTGAGGGTAGTGGAGACGCATCATGCGCGGCTTGTTGAGGCGGCTGATTTGGTTCGCTGTGGATTGGCACATTTTCTCTTTGCCTTGGAGCTTATTTCAGCTAAGCATTTGGATCGCTTGAAAAAGACGCACCTTGTCAGGTACCACCATGACGAGGAAGCAAGGGGGGAAAGCTTGAATCCGGGTGATCAGGACTTTACGTCACGGTTTGAGAATCAGCTACACGTTTATTACTCGCGAAGGAAAGACCTACCTGAGGCGCTTACGAGTCTTGAGGCATTTTCTGAAAAATATGATCGTGATGCTCATGGAGGTGGTCGTGGACATGATGGCGTCGCTGCAGATCCGCCTATCTGCCAGGAGTTTTTCCTCATTCTCTACATGGCTCATCTTCAGGACGATCTCTTGACGGCAACCATGAAACTAGTGAATTTTGCCGACAGCAAGGTCGTGGATGGAACAATGACGCGGGGGAGATTGATTTTTCCCAGGCAAAAGTCTATTCGCGACTGGTTGTCCTTGAGTCACGGCAAAGACAGTCAATCCTTGCCGGAAAGTAGGAGGTCCTCCGTGGACCCTGCGGATATTAATCGCACAGAGCGAGACACCCGATTTCCGGATCCAGAACACCTTCCGCCTGAAAATATTTGGGAGAAAGGTAGTGCGATATTGCGTGTGATTTCTCATGCATTGAAATCCGACGAAAGCACCTTTGGCTTTCGTGTAGCAGCCGCCTCTTTCTCGGTCGGCATTCTCGCGTATCTGCATCAGACGCAAGACTTTTTCATTCGTCAGCGATGTATTTGGGCGATGATTGTCATTGTCATTGGCATGAACCCGACAAGTGGGCAGACCATGTTTGGATTCGTAGCGCGCATTGTCGCAACGGTGATTTCGCTCGTATTAAGCTTGATAGTATGGTATATCGTTGATGGGAAGACGGCGGGTGTGATAGTTTTTCTCTACTTGGCAAATGTCTTCGAGGTAAGCTGTCGATCTAAATCTCTGACATCGTGCCATACTAACGGGTGCAGTACTACTTCTACGTCAAAGTCCCGCAGTACTTTGGTCCGTCGGTTATTTCAATCGTCACCTTGAATGTCATCATTGGCTATGAGCTACAGGTCCGTAAACTCGGCATACAAGCTGCAGAGTCGAACGGCCAGCCATACTATCCCATTTACCTTTTTGGACCATACAAATTGGCGGCGGTTGCAGCCGGTTGTGCGATATCATTTTTCTGGGTTATATTCCCATACCCCATCACAGCCAAGTCTCAGCTCCGCCATCTCCTCGGTCGAAGCATGTTCGTCTTGGCCAAATTTTACAGCTGCATGCATACGACCATTGAACTTTGGTTTGGTGGTGGACTAGGCAGTGCCGATGATGAGAGCTCGCCAGGTTATCAGCTTCAAGCATCCCGACACAAAATATTCAAAGAGGAGATGATGCTACTGAATAGTCTCCGGATGCACAGCCATTTTAGTACATTCGAGCCCCCGATCGGAGGCAAATTCCCGAAGAAAGTCTACGATGATATAATTTCCGAGATCCAGCGCATATTGACCAGCATGTCCCTTATGGCACACACGACGCAATGTTTGGACTTGCTTTCTGTCGAATCTGAACACGCTGGTCATAAAGGCGATGATCAGTGGATGGCGCGATTGGCAGAAATCGCTTTGAAATCGGCTGATTTCAACTCACACCGGATTACCTCATTATTGTGCCTTCTTTCTGCTGCTATCATGAATTCCCAGCCCTTACCGCCATATCTTTCGACGCCGGACTCGTTCCCTCTTGCACGGCAAATGCAGAAGATTGATGATGAGCTGTTGAGTATTCGACACATCGGAGATCCATCGTTCTCGGCATTTGTGGCCTTGGAGGTATTGAGGTCTGTTGTGAGCTTCAGCTTGCAGGAATTGATTGAGTGAGTATAATCAACCCTGATTGACTTTGTGGCATGCTAACCTATTCAGTAACGTCCGAAAACTGGTCGGGGAGCTCGATTTTGATTTTCATATTCCTCAGACTCACCACGACACAGAGTCATCGGGACTACTACAGCCCAACCATGCGAACACCAACGCCACATGATATACATAGAAACTATCCATTACTTGCACTATGATGGAACTAAAACTTCAAGTTTCAATAAAGGTAGTGGTGTTGAAAGTAAGCCAAAATGGTCTATAACGTCGCACTTCAAGCTCGAAAGCACATCTATCCACTGGCATCTACAACAACTTAAACCTAGCAGCAACCCCTAAGCAAATAACCATAAACGCAACAAAGCACCCTACAATTCCAAAAAACCACCCCAACCCACTATCTTCCTGACCAGGAACCTCAACATTCATCCCCCACAACCCCGTAACAAGATGACACGGCACAAAAATCGTTGCGATAACCGTAACCTTACTCAGCGCCGAATTGATAGTCAAACTAACCCTCAAACTCGACGCACTAAGCTGCGCCAAACAATTTCCCTGACTTCGACCGATAATCTCATCAATGTGGCCCAGTGTCGACAACGTCGTGACGAGATGGTCCTGTACATCCCCGAAATAGAGGAGTAACTCGCCGCCCGGAAAGACGGGGAGCGGTCGGGTGCTTCGCAGCGTTTCACGAAGCCGTTAAGGACGTCCACTTTGCTGTGTAGACAGCGGATTATGTGGGTGATTTTCTTCCGGAGGATGTCGACGGTTGGGATCAGAGATTTTACGTCGTCGATTCGCGCGATGAAGACCTGATCTTCTATTGCTTCGGATTCCTGTTCTACAGAACTGGTGTATGGTTCAAAACTGTCGACTATGTCGTCGCTGTGGGCGTCGTTAGCCTTGCATTCTGCGCCGTCGTGTGGGGCTCGGCTTGAGTTGACTTACATCAGAGCGTAGCAGATCCAGTCACTGGACAGAATCAACGGATCGTGCATTTTGCGGATTCGCGAGCGAACGCGCTTGATATGATGACATCCACTGGGCGAGAAAGTCACAACACCATACTGGAAGACAAGGATGTACATCTCGGCTGGATGCGGGAATCCAGGTCTTTCCTCTTCTTCCTTGGGATTATCGACCAGCGTTTGGAAGGACATGAGGTAGTAATTCTTAAACACCTCTACCTTCTCTCTCGGTTCACGGATAACGATATCCTCCACCGTGAGTGGGTGGATTGACAGTGCCTGCGCTAGCTGTGATACATCTTCTTCCGATGCATCGCACACATCGATCCACCAGGTTGGTCGAGATGGGTCGGGGCGCTGTTTGGTCTTCTCTTGAATGATATGGTCGATGTCACCACCAGGGAAGAGTTCATCCCATGACGACCCTGTGCTGGTGCCCAGCGTGTCCGAGGAGAAGAAACTGAAACGGTCGATTTGGCGTGGCTTTTCGATTTGCACCAGTTTTTCATGGACGGAGGTGCTGTTTGCTGACATTTTGGCAGTTTTGCTGCTCGGCCATCGGTGGGCTTTTTTCGGCGCTGATTAAGGCGCTGTTCCTCATGAGAGAGCTTAACCCATAGTAGTATGATGGGAATATCTGGTTGTCGTGTCGTGCCAGTGTGAATGCTGTGCACGTCTTCATCGGTATGTACAGAGGAGTGTGGCTCTGACTGAGATGTGATGATCTGGGATGTGATGCAACGAAGCAGGGTGAAATGAAATGAAATGCAGCAAAATGAGTAATAAGTAGTTCGGGTGAAAACTCGGCCAAGTCTTGGCCCCTTTCGCTCTTTGATTTCCCCTTCTCCATTTCTCCACGACCCATGTGCCCTCAGCCCTACCCGTCGACCCACTATGATGACGGTGGATTGTGGTGGCCAATTGTGTCTGGGTATGGCACACTTTGGATCGGATGGTCGGCACTGAAAAGTTTTCCGTAGACTTGGCACTAGGCAGATGGATTCTGAGGTAGTAAACGAGAACGAAGTGGAAGGACCTTGTGGACAGCAGAGAGAGAGCGCGCGTAGAAATAGCAGAAAGAGCAGTGTTGGAAATTTGTCTAGTTGGAACGAATGAAATGCGTTGTGATTAAGCTGGCGCGGTATTAATTGTACTCGTATATAGCAACGTTCGACATGCCGTTATCCATATGTTCCAACGCGGCCGTTGACCCATCTCGGATCAGTATTGGGTCCATCCAAGGAGAAGTGCACTGATCTGATGGTGCGTGGTGGTTTCCGGAGTCCGCCGGCTCTAGCAAGGGATGAGATCCTCACGACGAGGACAAGTTGATACTAACCCCACAGTATAGGTACATGATAATCTAACAAGCAGGTAGAGATCGCGAGCTACTTGCCAATTTCCATTGTTGATAATATCCAAAATTGAAATGATGGAGTAATAATGAATGGTCCCGAATCATCCATCAAAATGGGAGCAGTCATGAGAGACTGGAGAAAGTCGCACCCAGCACGAAGCTTGGGATTTTGAAAGAGAAGAGCAGAATCTTTGATAGAATAAGCATTGATTGAACGTGATTGAAGGTTTGCATTGGGTATATACATACGATGACTTGCTAGATTGTTAGTACTAATTCTCAATGGTATCCCCCCGAATGGCAGACAAGGACCTGCGGATCCGGGGATAAGCTAGGGCGAAAAAGACGATGACACCCAAGAGGATGAGAAAAGTGGGTAAAAACATGAACGTAAAGAGGAGCACGCTGAGGCCGAGGGTGGCATGCGTGCCGCGAAAAGGTGGGCGAGCCATGGTGAGATACTGGTGAATCGGAAGAAAATCAGACTAGTAGTAACTTCTGTGTGGGGTGGGGTGGTAAATGGAAGGACTTGGCGGAATGCGATCGAAGGAAATGGGGAATTTGGGTGAATATTGGGGATAATGCCCAAGTGCCAGGCGATTGGAATTGAAGATGTCACCCCGGTCGCCGATCTGAGATCGCCCTATATACGGGGGTGGCTGCAGGGGAAAAGAAAGGAGAAGGGGAAGACGAATGAATGTGGGTGCCTACGTTGATGAGTGGGCCGTTTGTCTTGGCTGAGGTCGTAGTGACGAGGAGAGTTAAAATACTCGTAGTCTGGTGAGTATCTACCATTGCAATTGGCATATGGGGGTGCTTGGGTATTGTTTAAAGATTAGCCTGCGTGTATCCGTATGTGATTCTCTTTCAATTGCAATTGCTGTACCAGAGATCCCCCATTTTTCTACGTGGACAGAATACCCGACAGGCAGATGCGAGATTCTGGATTAGGCTTGGCGCAGGCAGCAACTTTTTGTTGCAGTTTGATTCCTTTTTGTTGTGTTTCTTGTTTTCGAGACATTCCGGCTGGGACCCGAGTGTACTTCAAGTTCGGTCTATGTTACATATTCCACCATTTAGACCAGGCTGCGCTTTATGAAAATTCTAATTTCGATGCAGCAGCAATTGCAGTGCCTAGTTCACCGCTGCCAGGTGTTCTTCCTCCTTTTCTGCCACTCAGGAGGGCTCTCCACGGTGGGGCGAGAGGGAGCTTGTTCCACAATGATGCAAGCGAGAGAACAGGAGGGAGACGGAAATAGGAGTGTGAATGATGAATATAGATGTTATAAAGGACTACAGGATTTGAAGGCAGTGTCATTTTATCAAAGTATCTTCCCCGAGGAGTCACAAAAATGTCTCATGCAATGCAGCCGATGCTTCTTCGCCTTGTAGGGCTGAGGTGGATCTATGAGACACCACAACAAAGTACAGTGTAGACAGTGTAGGCAGAATAGAGCAGAATAGAGGGCAAATAGTATTCTAGAATAATAATCTGACTATTCCTATTGTAATTATAGAAATTATAATAATAGTAATCCCGCAGTACCCCGTAAAATGTAATAATAATCCTCTTCCCCTTAAGCGCTGATCGATCGCTAGCGTCTCCCCCCGCCGCCTTTTTCTTTCTTCCACGCCCGCCTTTCTTTTCCAACCTCACCTCTTCTCCCACCTCCCCCACACCGTCTTTTCTTAACTTTTTCTCCGCATGTCTAGATGTCTTGGCTCGCTGGGATCTCCCTTGAAAGTACTGAAAATGATAACCTCGGCGTCGATTGGGTCTTACAATATGAATTCGGCGATTTAGGTATGTCCGATAGCTATAGCTATCCCCGCGGAGTTAAAGCTCATATGCTAACCACCCACCCCAGACCAATCCCATGCCATCGCAGAGTTTCGCACTCTTATGGCCGATCTGACCGAAGCTGGTCTTCGTGTTCAGGTTCGCCATGGCCATGGAAAAGCCCTCCTCGTCTGTCTTCGTGTTCCGAGGGACCACCTCGGAAAAATGGTTCAGAAGTCAAGGTATACACCCAGAAGAGCCTCACGCTGCATACTCCCAATACTATTTCATGTAATTTATACTGATATAATGTAAAGAGTAAAGGATTGGATGTACGCCATCACCCATACCCTCCCATCAGCCACCGAGATCTCCGCAACCGCCGAAACCCCCGCCGAGGAGATCCGCTCCATTTACCATGCCGTCACCTGGTCGAAAGAACTGGGTGGTGCCGGAATAACACCTGAATTCGGCAAATGGGAGCGTGTCACAGCTTCATTCCCGCTACATGATAAAGATGCCTGCACAGAGTTGATGAGGGCGTGGAGTAGGAAGACCGTCCTCACCATCAGGGATCTCGATACCATTCGCGCGCTCTTCGGCGAGAAGGTCGCCTTTTATTTTGCCTTCATTCAATGCTATTCCATCGCCTTGGTTATACCTGCTGCGCTGGGTATTGTGGGATGGCTTTATTTCGGTCCTTATTCGATTATATATGGGTCTTTGCTGTGTTTGTGGTGTATCTGTTTTGTCGAATACTGGAAGGTCCGCGAATTCGATCTTGCGCATCGGTGGGGTGTGCGTGGGGTGGGTGCCCTTAAGGTGAATCGCCCACAGTATAGATGGGAGAAGGAGGTCAAGGATCCGATTACTGGCCAAGTGACGCGTGTCTTCCCTGGATGGAAGCAGTTTCTGCGACAACTTTTGCTCATCCCGTTTGCTTCGGTCGCGGCATTTGCGCTGGGAGGCTTGATCATCGTGACGTTTGCTTCGGAGGTATTTATCTCCGAGGTTTATGATGGGAAATTCCAAGGGTTTCTGGAATTTGCGCCTACAATTATTTTCTCGCTATCGTTGCCATTTATCACATCGCTGCTGACGCGCATCGCGACCCGCTTGACGGACTACGAGAACTATCGCACGAGAGATCTTTATGATCTGGCCCAGACGCAGAAGACCTTCGTCATGAATTTTATAACTTCTTTCCTGCCGACCATTCTGACGGCCTACGTATATGTTCCCTTCGGCAAGACAATCGTGCCCCAGCTGGATATTATCAAGCGAGCGGGTCTGAACATCGAGATGGCGCACAAGGACTTTCAGGTCGACGGATCGCGCTTCCAGCAAGAGGTCATCTACCTCTCCATGACAGCGCAGATCTTCAGTTTCTGCGAGGAGATCATCCTCCCTTACGTCAAACAAAAGCTCTATCAAAAATGGCGCAATTACCAAGATCACAAGGCCGGATTGACTCGCCAACGCAGTTTCTCCAAAGCCACCGATCTTCTGCTCCTGGACCCACCCGGCGAGACACCATTTTTGCAACGACTCCGTGAGGAAGCCGACTCGGACGGCTACGAGGTAGAAGAGGACATCCTAGAGATGTGCGTGCAATTCGGATACCTTGCCCTATTCGGTGTGGCGTGGCCGCTCGTTCCACTCGGTTTCTTGCTAAACAACTGGCTCGAACTACGTGGTGACTTTTTCAAACTCGCTCGCGAGAATCAACGGCCACCGCCCATCCGTGCGGACTCAATCGGTCCATGTTTGCTGGGACTGGATTTCCTGGCCTGGATGGGAACGCTCTCCACCGCTGCTATTGTCCACATCTACCGCGGTAATATGGAAGAGGTACACCTCTCCTCCCTTCTTCTCACCGTTTTCATCGCCGAACAAGCCTACCTGGCCATCCGCTTCACTGCCGCTACAGCTATGCAGAAAATTTTCGCGGAAACCTTGTACCAAGAAGAAAGCTGCCGCCACGCCGTGCGGAAGAATTTCTTCGAAATGAGTATGGGCATTGCGTCGGGTCGAGCTGTCTCACCGGGTGATTCACCTGGTCGTGTGCGACAACGTGTTCGCTTCCATGAGCGGGTCAATGTGTACGAGTCTGGGACTGATACGGCGCACTCGGATGGGTCTCCGTCTCCGACGACCGAGAAGGTCCAGGATGACGTTCTCAAGGGGTCGGATCGGGAGGCGGCGTTCTGGAATGCTCATTCTTACGATACGGCTGATGCCGGGGCGAAACTTATCCGGGCGCTGAGTGAGAATCCCGCTGAGGAGAAGAGTGCGAAGAGGGCTTAAGTTGCATTTTCGGTTGTCTTTGCATATAGCGTGAATTATCAAATCATAGATTGCTTTTTCAAGTTCATTTCTGTGACTTTTTCCTGTAATCAGTCCTTTTGCCTTCCATACAGGAACATTCGGCTTGGAGTGATCATTGCACCACTTGGAATACAAGCACTTCAATAAACTTCATTCGAACATCAACAGATTTCTTTTCACATTCCAGCCGTTAACAGTACGGTTGCCCGTGGTAAGACAATCTATAACACAAATTGAAATATAGCAGCCAGAGTCAAATATGGGATGGAGGTGACAAACTGTCAGAAGTCAACCTTGGTAAAAGGACATCTAAATACACAAAGGATTGAAAGTATTCCTATTGATGATCCATCCACAGAGAAAGCCTATCGTGGTTTCCAACCAGCCGGTCCCTTTTCTTCGGACAAACGATAGAGAGAGCCAAAAGGTAGAACCCTCAGTCTGTACCAGAATGTCGTGTTCTTATGCCTCCATTTTAGTTGCAGGCAGGGTCGCTCTTGCAGTCAAGCTGGGAAAATGTCAGTGATACTAGTAGCTTGCAGCTTATTTTCCCTTACCACGCAGCAGACTGCCTTCCGGGCAGAGTTCTGGTGGGATGCTGCCGGGGCTGCGCTGAAACAGCAGCGACTAGCAAAGTGAAAGTGAAGAGGAGCTTCATGGTGAGGAGGCAAATATAGGAAGTAGAGAGCAGAGGATTATTTGTAGACTTGATTGATCACAGCAAAAAGAGATTAAAGTGCCAATTTATATCAAATTTCTTAGACGATCTTCATCGAAACTGACGGAGGTAATCCTAGGATCGGACCTATCGATGTTACCGTGATATGGATCTGCAGAGTGCGCATAAGTTTATGCTTAAAATTACATCGGGTATAGTCCGGCGTGTATCTTGGTCATGCCACGCTTTCAGATGGCTTAGTATATGACATCCAACCAAAAATCTCAATCAAATCAGATAAGACATTAGAAGATGATCAGAGCCGATCATCGCCTTGTTGGGATAATCCGCCGCTTCAAATTCAGGGTCCGTTTGGTCACGGTGGATTGACTGGCTGAGCAATTGTTCTTGGCACCGGATAGAAAACTATTTTGGGGGTTTGCACCGGACGGAAGATGTCAATCGCTGCAGGCTCGGGAGGCCTCCCAATGCCATGGCCCTGATATTGCCAAGATCCCATTTGCAAGATTCAGTCCACCGTGACCCTGAAAGGGCTTCAACCCCGAATCTACGATTTGGAGATGTTTTGAATTGCGATTGCCCTCATGCTTTTAGTCATTGTTGTAATAGCGATCCCGTTTCAGTTGAAAAGGCAGCAAGTTTTTCAAAGCACATCACTCGGCTAGAACGGCGCAGGATGGGCCGGACCATGTGTTAGATGTTAAAATTTAGCTAAATATGCAATTCATCCGGCAATATTGACGAATTTCTGAGCAAAATACCGTTGGTAATATCATCAGGTATATCATCAGCTTATAGCCTTCATTTCCCTCCCACTTGCATGGCCCAGTGGAATAAGTCAGTGGAAATAAAACTCAATCGGGGTGTCGACGCCGAAACCCCATGGCTACACTGAGCAGCCTGTGCTCTACTATATAGCGGGATATCTTTTATCCATGGATGGTCATAGCCCTGACGAAAGCTCTATAATTAAGAGCTTTTCTACTTTTGTTGTGAAATAAATGTAGCGATTCTGATCAGTCTCAAGATATAAACTTCCTGGTCATATCAAAGTCAATGGCTTTAAGTTCTCCGAACTAAGACGCGCAAAGAGCTGTTATAGTGAAAACAGTATAACCCAATTCTTAGATATTTTATGACAAGTCACGGATAAGAGACAATGATTTCAAAGAGAGCTTATTTCTAAGGTTCAAGTAATTAAGCTCCAAAGATCATTAGAATCTCCATTAAGAACTGGAATTTGTCATTGACCTCTACTATAAGAGACCCATTAATTCCTACAGCCTCCGAGCAGAAGGTAAAATGACAACTAGCGCGAAAAGATGACTTGAGATTCAAAGCTCGGACTATCTCTTGATTCGCTTCGAATAAAGGTGATCACGAGCAGCATGTGCACACTCTCTAATCAAGCATGTTCTATTCAGATTTAGAATTGTCGATTTATTACATTTCAAGATAAGAGTATAGATTTCCCGATTGGCAATAAGGATCAAGCGGTCTAGATCTACAGAAATCCTGGCGGTGCCGGTCTTGCCTCGAGTGCTCGGCTTTTCTTAATTTTGTAGCCCTACATAATTTAGCTACATCCGACTAGATTGCATTTCCAGTTGCTCGTTGCTTCAACTAACCTCAATCATGAAAATGATGGATTCATTTGGAGGGTGATTTCTCCGAATATTTGCTGCAGTTGCTTCTTTCCCCTTCCATGCAGTAAGCATGCGTCGTAGTGGCTGTTTGGCCCCCATCCAGCTGATCCGTATACCAAGACGCTAAACTAGATACGACTAGCGTGAATCACCAAAACATGAGGCTGAGTGACCGCATCCCCGCCTTCTCTCTTACAAGTTCGATACAGGACGCCGAACCATGGGTCCTACCGTGTCCTTCGGTGACAATAACTTCGGCCCGCAGGTCGGGATCAATAACGGGACCATCAACAATGCTTTCAATTATTCTCCTAGTAAGTTCAATATCGCTTATTGAAGGAGGCGACGCGCTGACTTGGTAAAAGCTATTGAGACTCAGCTCCCAATCGTACCGGAGGCTCTCTTCAACCCATCCACTGACCAACATGAAAATGAATGCCTTGAAGGAACGCGTGTCGACCTTCTTCGCCAGATCAAAGAATGGGCTTTCTCCCCACAAGACTCGCGCGAAGGGAGAAGTATATTTTGGTTAAATGGGATGGCTGGAACAGGAAAATCGACTATTTCTCGAACTCTGGCCAGATATTTTAATGAAATACATGCTTTGGGTGCCAGCTTCTTTTTCAAGAGAGGCGAGGGCGACCGAGGAAATGCGACAAAGCTCATCTCATCAATCGTGCGACAGTTGGTGATCAGCCTTCCTCGACTGCGTCATCCTATCGAGCAAGCAATTCATGACGACCCTCATATAGTAATGAAGGGAATGAAGGAGCAGTTCAATAAATTGATCCTTCATCCACTTTTTGCGTTATCCTCCCAGCGGCCTAACTTTACTGCTCAGACAGTCATTATAGTGATTGACGCACTGGATGAGTGCGAGAAAGATGATGACATACGACTCATACTTCATCTTCTGCCACAACTGCAAAGACCAAGATTATTACATCTACGGGTATTCATAACCAGCAGACCCGAGTTGGAGATACGTGCGGGGTTCTCCGGGGTTTCAAACCACGAAGACTTCATTCTGCATAAGATTGCCAAAGAAGCTGTGAGCCATGATTTAGCACTATTCCTGAGCCACAGGCTTTCCAAAATCAGGACAGAGCGCTCCTTCCCTATAGATTGGCCTGGGGAATCAAAAATCCACCATTTGGTGAGACTTTCATCCTCATTGTTCATTTTTGCCGCTACAATTTGTCGCATGTTCGAGGACCGCTCCCTCGACCCAGGGGAAGTTCTTGCGGAGATACTTGTGTCTTCTGAACAGACATCTAAGCTTGACAGAGCATATCTTCATGTGCTCAATCGCCTGGTCAAGGGCCCAGGGAACGGAAGACGCCAAGAAGAAGTAGCGAAGGGATTTCAGCAGGTTGTTGGTGCCATCGTGACCCTTGAAAGTCCACTCTCAATCTTTGCACTTTCGAACCTTCTGAACATGACGCAAACCACCATCCAAAGCAGATTGGATCTCCTGCACTCGGTCCTAAGTGTTCCAAATAGCATGACCCAGCCGGTCCGCCTCTTTCATCTGTCGTTTCGAGATTTCCTTCTCGATCCAGAAACCCGTCATAAAAGCCCGCTCTGGATCGATTCACTGGAAGCGCACGGTTACATTGCTATGAAATGCCTGTCTCTATGTCAGAAGAGTCTACGACAGAATATCTGTCAACTGCCCGGGTACGATACATCACGTAAATTTCTAGATTATGAGACTCTCAACCGCTACCTTCCTCCAGAAATGCACTATGCCTGCCGTCACTGGGTATATCATCTCACACAGTCCATACAAACAATCCATACCGTGCATACATCCGATGGAATTATCAACAACGCCGTTTCATTTCTTCGCGCACACTTCTTACATTGGGTGGAAGCTATGATCCTCTTGGGGCTGATGTCAGAGGTGGTCGTAGATATTGATGCTATGTTGGAGCTTCCAGAAGTGAGTTTCATCAGGATATACTCTATCAGCAATACTAATGAATCCAGGACACGCTCCCATCGACAGTGTCTGAATTTCTCGTCTACGGAAAACGCTTTGTCCTCAAAAACTCCCAGATTATATACCAATGCCCCCTGCAGCTCTATTGTTCTGCATTATTATTCTCGCCCAGTAATCAAATTGGAAGAATATTTGAGGCCGATCTCCCCTCTTGGCTATCCCAGATTCCACAAGTATATACTGATTGGAGCTCTGAGTTGCAGAGTCTCGAAGGCCATGAGGGTCCTGTCCTCAAAATGATTTTCTCTCCCGATGGTCGGTTAATAGCGAATGTTTGTGGGCAGTTCACACTACTCTGGGACCTGGCGACAGGCAATTTGGAGAAAAGGTTCGTTTCGGAGAACTTTAAGGTTCTTCCGAGGGCCGAAAGAGATGATTTCTTTTATTGGGAACCGTTGGTGTTCTCTCCTGATAGTCGATACCTCGCATCTGTGTCACTCGATGGTCAATTCAGGGTCTGGGACAGAAAAACCAAAACCCTCCACGAAACTAGCCACCGCGGCATCCAGAGAGTGCAATTCTCACCCGATAGTCAGTTGTTCGCGGTTGTAGCCCACATAGGCAAGATGATAACATATGACCTGCCGAATTTCATCGTCAAGCATACCTTCGCGGGCTATTCGGAGATAGCGCCGACTAGAATATTCTGCCCCGGTGGTCTGGTTCTAGCGTCCGGCTTTGTGGACGGTACCTTGGATCTGACTGATCTCGTGACACGGGAGGTCAAGCACAGGTTCAAGGGTCATTCGAATGCGGTTGATTCATTACAGATATCGGCTGATGGGCGAATATTAGCATCCTTGTCTGTGGAAGACAGAGTAATAAAAGTATGGGATACCACGAGTGGCAGTCTAAACCATGAAATTAGCACCAGCTCAGAGGCTGGGTTGATATCAGACCCAGTTCCGTCCAGACGGCTGGCTTTTTCTCCCAACAACCGAACATTAGCTTTTGTGACGAACTACTCGCTCAATATGTGGGATTTTACGACACACACTTTGCGTACCCAGAATCACTCAGCGCTCCGAAATAGTTATCTTGAACGTGACTTCCTCCGTCAACTTGCTTTTTCACCTGATGGGTCCTTGCTGTTGTTTGTTGAGACAGACGGCTTGATGACAATCTTGGAATGCGCGACATGGCTACCCAGACACACTCATGAAATGGGCCTAAGAGGTGTGTTCTCAACGGCTCTGGCACCTAACAACCCGGGGTTCTTGCTAGCATCGGGCGGGAGGGATGGCACAGTACTGCTAAGGGATCTCGCTGCCAACCAAGATATCAAATCCACAAATGAGATCAGGGAAATGGTCATCTCACATGATAGAACAGTTTTGGTTTCGAGGTCCCCTGGCAAAGTTCACATATGGGACACCATGACAGGAGACGTAAAGAAGACCCTTTCTTTCTCTTATGCCAAGAAGTTCCACAGGGGACAGCTGGAGAATTTTGATTATAAATTCTGGGAGCCCCGGCTCCAAGAGTTCCCCAGAACGATTGACGCGATGGCACTTTCCCTCGATAATCGGCTTTTGGCGCAGATACACACGGCTGATGAGATGATAACAATTTGGGACACAGCAACTTTTGCCCCAAAGAGGATCCTAAAGTCGCCATTCCTATTCGCTCCCAGGTTCAGCTCACCTTCCGTACACTTAGCATTCGCGCGCAATGGCTGGCTGGCTTCTAGCGTGAATGACAACATCGTACTGTGGGATTCTTCAACCGGTGCACATCTTCAACATTGGACATCAGCTGGTGGGAAAGTCGCTAACCTAGACTTTTTTGAAGGCGAACCTTCTTCAAAACCCAACTTGCACTTGTTTTCCCACGAGACTAGTGAGAAGGTACATCTACGAACCAACTTTGGTGCCCTCGGGCCTGGGGAAGATATTAGTTCGATGAATCCCCTGCGTGTGAGACTGCTCGCGTCTATAAAGGGGAGCAAATTCTACAAAATCTTGAGTCTAATGAGCGTTGGACCGACAGCCACAAGGGGAGCGCATACTAAGCACCATGCAGCGCCTGAAATAACCGTCACGATTGAAGACGGACAGTGGATCACATTGAATGGCGAGAAAAGGGTCTGGCTTCCTTCTGAGTTTCGTCCTCGGATTTATAAGACTACGATGCGCAACAACGATGCTATCATTGCTTTGGGATTCGAGTCCGGAAATGTCTCTTTTATTGGATTTCGGATGCGTTGAGCGACTAGAATTGTCAAGACTCAATATTCCCTGACCTAAAATCTGTGAGGATGCTCAGATGCTCACAGAGATCAACGTACGGCGTAGCATACGAAGCAAAGGAAACAGTAGCTGTTCGACGAAAGTAATAGCATGAGGAGAAGGAGGAAGCTAAGATAGAACTAAGTACGTGTAGGCGCGGATGCCTAAGTGGATGCCATCTACGTCAGGCATCCGCGAATGGTAACAACCTCAGTTCGTCACAAAATCCATATTTAAAGAAATTCCTAAAAGCCAGCCTCAGTGAGCACAGAGCGCGCAGAGCGCGCAGAAATAATGTAGTAGTACTGCACAAGCAGATCAATAATATTAGTGAACTGGCATATTACCTACCCTCTTTTTCGTTTTTCTTCGAATACCATTACTACAGTGCCGTCCGTTAATGCATTCCATAACGGAGACATATAAGATGCCTTTTGCAACCCTAATCACATAATACTTGTAACAATGTTCCGATCTCGAATAGATAATACCAAACGCGTATAAAACAGGACTAGGTTGTATGTTCGTGTTTAATTACAGCTCCAAAAATAGCCCCTCAAAAATAGTACCCTCAACAAACATCCCCCTCAAAAAATAGTTCCCGCAAAAAGAGTTCCCTCCCATTTCCCCTAAGTTCCCCCCCCCCCCCCCCTCCCCTCTCAGCATGTCATCCTATCCTCCCAATCCATCACAACATAGCTCAAAATATCGATTCCTAGCAGCGTAACATTATTATTCACATGTTATGCAGTAAAAAGAGACTCACTACATCACAAATGGCTAAGTTAGCCAAATACAGCGAGCGTTCTGTTACTAACATCCGAAAAAAATACGGTTATTTGGCAGTGCCAGGTCTCCCCCAATCTCTCCCGGCCGCACATCAAGTATCACAAAAGTAATGGTTGATGCCCTGTTCGACCACCTCGCAGAAAAACCCGGCCTCTATGTTGAGGAGATGGCTATCTTCCTATTCGACGAATTCAACGTGGTACCGTCGATATCCAGCATTAAACGAGCTCTATACCGGGCTGGGTGGTCGAAAAAGAAAGTACAACAGAGAGCAAACAACGAAATACACAGTTACGAGATTTTTACCAGCATAAACTGTCAAAGTTCCGTTCCTTTCATCTAGTTTTCGTTGATGAGTCTGGGTACGATAAACGGGTGGGTTATAGGCGGACGGGTTGGTCTCCACTAGGCGTGACACCAATCCAGGTATCCAAATTCTATCGGGGCCAACGTTATCAAATACTGCCAGCCTATGCATAAAATAGCGTCGTCTTGTCTCGTATTTTCAAAGGTTCTACCGATGCTTCATTCTTTGAATCTTTTATTGAACAGCTTCTCCAGCACTGTGGTAGGTGGCCAGAGCCCAAATCCGTTCTTGTGATGGACAACGCATCATTCCATCGCTCGGACCGAATCAAGCAATATTCGGGAGACCTGAAATATGAACATGTATCCCCCCCCCCCCACACGCAAGGTATACGAAAGAATAAGTGGACAAACAGCAATGAAAGGAGGCCTATTAGGCGCATTGTATGTAGGCTTACAATCTTACAGCACTTTGCACAAAATATTTTCTCATGCAACCGCCGGTTCAATTGTAAAGTAATAACCCTTCGGATCTGAAATTCAGTTTACAGGCTCAGAACTCCCTGAATACTTACAGGGAAACCTGCCTTCCCTCTTTATTTTGTCGGCAAGAGTTACGCTTAATTAAAATGTCTCAGGAATGCTGATTGCACTTGAGCTGGGTCTTGTCCGCCAATTTGTTGATGCATGAAGACCTCATGAGGTAGAAGAATTTGAAGATCATCTGCTTGGCGTTGGATTGGGCTAAAATTTGAATGCATTATAGGGAAACATACATTCCGATGTAAGGGATGCGCTGTGGCATTTTTACTTTACGTGGTGTCTGTGCGGGTGGCAGGTTAGGTATGTATTAATAGGGGCATGGAATAAGGAAATTGCCCTGCGAAGAGTTTTGAAGATTCGCCCATATTATTTTACCTACACCTTCACTATGAAAAATTATATGGAAATCTTCCTTGGGTCCTTAGCAATGGTCCGGGCCTTCATACAGGGTAGCAGTAGAAGTGCAGAAAGGGTAACTTCGTCCGGGAACCTTTTCCAGATCTTCCTTTCCTTGCTTCAGGTCTGACGTTTAGCAGGTAGAAATTACGTATGAGGGGTGAGTTCCCTGAGGACTCAATGTCCAGAATATCCGGTTTTGACTAGGAGCCTTCGCAATACACCAGTGTGAACAGCACGCACCAGACATACGCACAAGTGGTACCACACTCGAGGCCTCCGCCTTTGCCACTAGAGGAAATATACAGAACTTCATACAACGAGATCGAATACCTGAAAGTCTATTTGACTCACCTCTCTGATACAAATACCCGGCAACTCTTCAAAGATGTCATGATTCACGAGATCGATGTTTTCCAGATCAAGATCACCGAGGAATACACATTGCTGTTCAAGGAGACTTTTCCACATCGTGTAAATGAAGCCCTCGAAATCACACGGCGGCAGCGTGAAAAGACCTGGGAGGACGTGAACGGCCTTCTACAAAAGCTGGACACATTGAACTGGGAGATCATGTCCTGGGTGAATCGAATATCATTTGTTGACCTAAGTCAAGTCGACATCCGCGGGGCTACTCTGACAAAGGGCAAAAGTCTTTGGACACGACAATTTCAGGATCTCAAGAAACGCATCGATGAAGTATTGATGCAGTTTACATACAAAGGGCACCCTTTACATTATGTGGGTAGTTTGAACAATGGCACTCGAGGGGCGCACAAAGGAAAAACAGTCATTAATATCAATGACTTTGATGTTGACCTCTTTGTTGTGCATTCGGTCGAATGGCACAGGAATTTGCCGATTATAATGAAAAATTACCCTCAAAATCTCAGCAATGGGAAGATCTTCCCTTTGGGAACGCATATGCAGGAACTGCAGAATCTCAGTCATGCCGTGGGCCAGGCATTGGCAGGAGAACTTGGTGACGACCTGAAAAATGCGTGGGATTTTATTGATAATACTGAGATCGTGCTTCGAGAGATAGACTCTTATTAAGCGAGCGCAGTGTACATATATTACATTGTTCAATATCGGGAATCGAAGCGCTCGATTTAAAGCAGTGCGCATATTAGCCGGTCAGAAACTCTGAATATAGATTGTTGATATATTATTCTTTCCACTGTTCAAGCTGACCATTGGTTTTGAGCCATATGCGTACAGTTAACTACACTAGTCGATACATTGTGAAAGATATACAGTGTTCTCCAACCGTTACAGACGATGATGATGATGATTTCGTTTACCCTGACCCCTCGCCTCAACGGCGATATGCAGGCTACAACTACTTTCTCAAAATTTGCTGATTGATCCCTGAGATTGCTCCAAACTTCCTGACGGTGAACTTTGAGCCTCACCTGGTAAAGCCTGTCGTGGCCTCGTTGCCTTTTGCGCTATTAGGCTGCCCTCATGGCGCGGCTAGAATGAGTTCCCGGATGAGGACCGTTACTGTATCGCGTCTTCATCCCATGGATCATTTATCTGAGGCTAATAGGCATCGCCACCGGACTATTGGTCAGCGTATACGTCTTGTCAGGATGAGGGGGTCGTCTAAAGCAGAGCCGGAAGTGGTTAGCCGCGGTCCATCATGTCCAATAAGACACAAAGCTAGAATACAGTGGAGATCATTGCAGAAACCTTACTGAGGAGCCTTGGTATCAAAGCCGAGATCAACAACACCAGGCTCTATGTTGTACAACGTTGGGAAGAAGCGAAAAGGAGTTGAGGACAGATTGCAGGACCCAAGTTTGCTCTATTTGCATCGAACATTCCAGTCTGCCAAGCCCCTCAGTTCTAGAGTCGTGTAACTTCATACAGGTATCAGGCAAATCTCGGTATTGTTACGATATAATTTCAGAACGGTATCTTTACGCAGTAATATTATTCAGCCGTCTGATCATGTGTTTAGGGTTTGAAATAGCGTCGCATATCTCCGCCAAGGAAGGCAATAACGGACGTCACTGTAGTTTATTTCATTATTATCCCACCACAATTTGGCTGCCTGTAGTGGGTCAGGCTGCGTAATGCAAGGAGCAGTGACTGTTGGTGTAATATTCCAACACCCGGATAGGCCGGAACCCTCCAATCAATACGAAATAGAATCACCCAGACCGTAATACTGGTAAGCACTAGATATAGTTAGTATATACTAGTATATTACTACATAATATACTAAAGTATAGCCAAGGCGTAGGGCTGAGGATCCACGTTCAGCCCTACGCCCCACACTTTCCTTCTCCGCCTTTTTCCCTGCCAACTTCCACTTCCACTTCATTTTTCCCCTTCATTTCCCCCTCTCGTCTCCATTATTCTCGCTCCTTAACTGCTCTACTCCTCTACCTTTCTCTCTTATCCACCTCCGCCACATTTGTCGGTCGTGAGATATGTAAACTGATTCCTTTCACGACCGACGACACCATGGCCACCCCCGGGGCCTCCTCCGATACCCTCATCGCCCCCCTATCCTCTCCTTCCCGCCCTCAATTCCCTCCAAAATCTCTCCAAAAAACATCAGAAACCACCTCCTCTACCTCACCATCAGATGTCGAACTATCCACAATAGCCCCCATCCCGAAACTCGCCCGGGAAGCCAGTGATATCACCTGGCAGGAATCCCTCGAATCCTCCAAAGACCAGATCATCCTAATCCGGCGCCGCGGACGCTTTCGTCTACTCCACCAACAACAGTTTAAAAATAGCCTCCTCGCCAGTGTTGGATACCTCGAACTTGCCAATGCTGGTGACTTTGCAGCAAATGTCTGGAACGAAATTCCGGTCCCGAAATTCGCTGCGGTACTAATGGGTATTGGTGGCACGCTGGCTTTAGGAATGGTCCTCGTCGCCATTCAGGATTTCAAACTAAGTTATCGCAATGTCAAACTTCTTCAGGCGGAGCGGGAACATTTGACCCGGCTCCAGGAATATCACTGCAAGAATGTGGAGATTACGAGGTTACTGGGGAGTCGACTGGGCGTGATATTCAGAGAAATGGGCACCGAAGTCGTGGACCGCATCGTTATGGACGTTCTAATGGGTGTTGGGTCGCTGCTAGTCGGCGTCGGTACGCTGATGGCTATTGGCGGTGCGGATCCCAAAGTCTATAAAGCTAGTAACCTTCTCTCTGGCTATGTCGGCAATGGACTAGCAGCCCTGTTTGGAATAGCCAATGCTGTCTGGTCGGTGTGTTTGATTCGAAGATTTTACCAACATGACGCTGCTGTCAAGGCGAGTGAGCCTGATGATGAGATTCGTCGCCGGTTGCATACCCGCTTTCGACGCTTCCATTGGCATGCGATCGTCAATGGACTTAATGGCTTGGTGGCCGGTGCCGCGTCGATGGTCACTGCGAAACTTTGGTGGGGATACGTCGTCCTGATCCCCTGTATCATCTCCCTGGTCTTGTGCAACTATTTCTGGAGGAAGAAGCTCGGCTACGACCGTCCTATCTTGGATCATGCTTCACTTGCCCGGATGCAGATGACGCCCTTGCTGGAAGACTTGGAGTATGTCATTGCGATGCAGAAGGGTCTCGCTGCACCAGAAGATCCCCTTTTCCAAACCGTCGTTCAGCGAGACTCGTTTCCATCTATCCTGCAATTCATCGTGCGAAACCGAATGCTAGAAACATACTGCGACTCACTTGCCCGCGATAAAAAGACTCGCTTCCTCCTCAATTCCCTCCCTTCGCCGATCGATCAAATCGTCCTCAACCACGAAGCTCTTCTTCAGTTATCTGTTCCAACCACCCACGCCCCAATCCTTCTTCGCCATGCACAGAAGTTCCTGCGGAACGAAGGCGTGCGCACTTTTACCCATCGCGAGCGCCACCTGTTAGAGCTACTCGGCTACGCTGTCTGGCGGGATCAGACACCGGCCGTTGATGCTCGATAGGATGAATAGACTAATTACATTTCGATATTCCACTGCCCAGGCGGCTGGTCGCCTGCTTTGCAATACATGGTGTTTATTGTCATAGATGCTGGCCATTTTCATACGATACAATGTACATCTTTATGAGCGGTGTTATTGTCTAAACAGTCTAATGTTACCAAGAAAGAAATACAGCAATGATCTGTTGATCAAATATTCATATTCTATTTGATGTTTCGTCATATCTCGTAGCCATCATGCGTACTAAGTAGTAGATATCATTCCTCGCGATGCAGTAATGCAGCAATTTAGCTATCCAGACCAGGGCAGTTCTCGCTCGTCTCGGCGGTAATGGAATCATAAGGCGAAGGGTCAGTCCAGATAATGTTGAAGCTGTACACCAAGTTAGCAAATTAACTCCCACCCTACTCCTCACGGCTTTTCCAGCTGGCACACATACCTATCATCAGGATAATCCGGCGCATCCTTATCACCGAGTTCCTTGACGATATCTGTCAAAGCATCATGCTCCCAGCAAATCAATATATTGCCACTTCCACTATACCCATCAACCACGTCCTTCACGCAGTCCGGATCATCCCGGTCGCAGGATGTATCAACTGTCAGGCCGAGGTCTGTGGCAAGGGGCTGCACAGTGTCGAGGGGTCGTTGACGTTTTCCATCTACATTAAATCAGCACTGCTTCAACTTCATTTTTCACGCGACCAGCAAGAGGGAACCCACCACTCTTGGGCGTCTGAGCCATAATATATCCAATGTCATACTCGGAGCTCGATCCGAAGACATTTCGCAGACATTGTGCGCGCTGCACACCCGCGGCACTGAGTCCGTTTCCGTCGTCTGGCTTTTCACCGTGGCGGATTAAATAGACTGTTGGTGAGGCTGTTGCGAGCGTTGCAGCCGCGAGGATGGAGATGAGGGATAGGTTGACCATTTTGCTTGCTTCCTTCGTGAGAAGTGGAAGAATAGTAATCACCGACGAATTTGATTTTTCCTGTCGAGTGACTCAGGTGTGACGAATGATCGATATTTATATCCTTCAAGTTTCCGTAAGGTACCTGCGTTAATCCCCGATCCAACCAAGGTTGGCCCGATGTGCTCCAAGGCTCCAGGGTTGGCACAACTCGAACTCGAACCTTGTTGGCCATCGCCCGAAACTTGAAACTTGAGCTTCGAATTTCCCCAGCTAGCAATCAGCTAGTCCATCCGAATACCACCCTGTCCTGCCGATTTTCTATCGGTCGGACATTTCCGATCGTTCCTGGCCAGACATCACCACGATCGGCGCGACATGCGCGGTGGCGCTGTTTTGATTCGCTTGTCGATCCTGGGGCTAAGGCCTGTTTGGGGAAATGAAGATGTGCCCCGCTCAGGTTGTTTGGGGACGCGAGTACGAAGTAAGATATAGTTTTCTTTTATTAGTTTGCCGGGAATGCCGGGGTAGTTGAGGGTCTTGTTGTTGGTTTGGCATAGCAGTATACTAGTAGTAGATCCAAGAGGGCATAGCCAGTCTCTGTTCAATTGATAGGATTGGATACTAGTTTATTTGATGTTTTGAAAAGTGCCCGTAACTACAAGTCTCTCTCGACCACCTAGCGATACCCTCCATCAATAGCAACTTGAACACGCCTGCACTCGGAATACACGTGGTCGACTGGGGCACTACTAGTAGAAACTTGGAATATGGAAATATATGGAATTGATTGCCACTTGTACACTACACCGTAATTCACCAGGAATACGAGGTCTTGTCCAGCTAAAAACTAAACAATCCACTTCTCCTCTTCCCATACGGATAAACAATCAACGCCGCAATAAACAGTCCAATAGTAATCCCAATAGCCACCTGAATCATGCCAAATCCCAAGCTAAACACCGAACTAGCAGACGCAAGACCCGCCCCGGGCGCAGTACTAGCCGCCTGGTGCGACGAAACATTCTGTCGAATCTCATCTGCAGACTGGACGCCGGAGATCAAGGTTCCCGACGCGGCCAGACCAGACGGTACCAGAATGAATATACCCGGGAGAATTGCAGTCGCCGCATGTCCGTGCCATAAACGACTGTACAAATTTCCCATGATGCCGATTGTGAAGGCCCCGACTGTGTTCGCTACTTGCGAGTTCGACCCCAGTCGCTTTGTGCTGAAGTAGTTCGTCGTGTAGCCGCTCAGCGCGATGATCGTCATTGGAGGAAGTTGTTTCCATTTCCCCTGATTGATGATGAGTAGCCAGACCGTCATGATGGCGACGAAAGGGAAGCGTTGGACGTAGGGGTTTGAAAAAGCACCATCCTTTGGGCATGATATGTCAGATACGGCGCCTTTGTCCATGAGTCCGTAGACGGTTGTTCCGACCGTGATGCCGTAGCCGAGGAAGAGTGAGAAGATGATTGCGTAGACCATTCGAATAGAGCCCGCGATGATCTGATGGGATTGTAGTTCGAGACTACTACATAGGACCAAGAATCCGGGCAAAATAAGTGCGATTGAGGCTTGGGAGATGGCGGAGAAGCAAAAGAGGTATTGTCGTTTTCCATCCACAATAGCCTTAGGAATGCTTCCAAACGCCCTTGCTAGAAAGGAGGTCACCACTGTCGAGGTCACTTCGAAAACATTCGAGTAAAGTGCTGATCGAGGTGCAGCCACATGTTGCATCAGCCCAACAAGTAGACCATTGATGAAGATAATCGGCATATCGATCGGTCGAGCATTGAATGCGAATGGTCCGACTGTCGCGGTCGCAACCCCATATATAAAAACAATAACATACTTGGGGTAACGGGGCTTCTTAGCCATCACATCGTCCAAATCTTGAACGGCCTCTTCAATGCCTATCACGTCGTGAATGACATTTTTGTAGATGAGATGCGTATCGGATAGTCGGGCTAGATCAACCCCTTGAGCAACTCGAACAAGCTTCACTTCCGTCGTTCTCGTAGACGGATCATCAAAAGACATTATCATGCACCCGGGAAGATACAGAAATTGAGCGTCCACTTCCAACACCTTCGCCGTCATCTGCATATACTCTTCGAGCCGATGGGTTGGAGCCCCAAAGGACATCAGTGCCCGACACAACTGCATGATATATCGCTGTCGACAAATGATCTCGGCAATATGCACCGTGACTCGAATCTCATCTTCCAACCTCACCTTGCGGTCAGACTGTTTGCCTCGGCGTTTCTCGGCCGCGGAAATCACTTCACTCGAGACTGGCGTGGTCGCTCCGCTTAAACTCATATTCTTTCCGCTAAAAATCGACTGCGATGAGTTGGGTGGCCTTTTATACCATTTCACTGGCGCCCTTTTGGGCGTAGTTGTCCCGGCTGCAGGCTGAGATGGTGCTCCTGCGGTCGATCCTTGTCCTCGAGTTTTGGAGCCGACAGAGGAAATGGACGATTGACTATCTGTGCGCGACATATCTCCTCCATCCTGGCCACCGCCATTCAACTTCATCAGCTGCGACAAAATCCCACCTCCACCAGAGCGATATCGTAGTCCTTCATCTTGACTGAACTCATCCTCGCCTCCAACAAAGTCGGTACCACCGTGAGGATACGGTTTGGGACGCGTCTTGCGCCGCTTGGAGGAATGGTCTTGCGTTAGGTCTCGTACCAGTCGATGCGCTTCGGAGCTACTTTGTGCTTGATGTTGTCGCTTTTCCTCTTCCGACTTGTGTTTGTTGTCCGTGACATCCGACACTGGTGGTTGATTACCCGTCGCCCAGTCACTGTGGTATACCCCGGAATATAAATCGTCGCCGTCGCCGGTTGCAGGTCGCCCCATTCGCTCGGCCCAGACCCTTGCTCGACCCTTGAATTTGTTTGCTGTCGATTGGATTCGATTGCGTGTGCATTGGAAGTTCAGCGTTTGCGGTGCGCCTGGTGGCTTTGGCTCTGGTGCTGGACCCCCGACCTTTTCATTGCTCGCATCGGTATCCTGGCTCTGGTTCTGATCCGCTTGTGGCGCCCTCTCGCTTAGCGGGGTGTCTGCTATGTCTTCTGTTCCGTGGGCATAAGGTGTTGTCGGGTGATGCGGTAATCCTTCGCGCCGGGAACGATCCTGTTCGGCCTCGGCGCGTGGGCGTGGTTCATTTTGTAGCAATCCGCCAGTGGACCGGAATCGTACTCGGGGTGATGGCTCTTGTGTTTCATCTTGGATGGCGGTTTCGCCGGAATACCGCGACGTGAGATCTGCTAGATCCTCCGGTGGGTCGGTGAAGTAGTTATCGCTGTCACTGTCATTCGAGGAGGCGTCTGTACCTTTCTCTGCAGAGGACATTGTCCCGGAGACTGGTGTAGAACTTCTAGAGAAACATTGGCCTTTGAACGGTGAAACGAAGCTATCGGATATCAAGTCAGTTTGGCCCTGGAATTGAAAATCGACACCCTTATTTACATTTCACTCCGATTATCCCACTATAGGTGTCGCTGAGAATTCGGACTATCCATACAAGCTTGGTCGGTCACACCACTGATTCCCTTCAGTCAATGGAGCATTGTGTCCATGGAGTGGCCATTTGCACTCTAATGAGCTCATGGAGGCGGGACGGGGTATACTCCCTCGGGCCGTGGCAAACTCACCACCGATCGGCAAGTCATTTGGTCCAATGATGGAAGGAGATGGGGAAGTGACATTCTTCGTCTAGAAGAAATTAGGCTTTATTTGCCACTTTGAGCCGCGTCACCCCTCGGGATATTTGTCCGAGCGGAATAATAAGCAGCAACGGATCTCCGAAGGGCGTGTGGATTATATCTCCTCTTTGTATACTTGGGGTTAAATTATGAACTTGATGGGATTTAGTATATTCAAGAGATGCGACTTTCACAACGGTTCACGCTGGCTTTCATCGACAAATTGCACCAGTCGCTTTTCCGATCAAAGAAACAAAAACAAAATATACTGAAGCTGCGCTCTACTATCCCTCTCTCCTGCACTGGAGTATATACAAAACGAATTCCCGTATCTGATTTCACATCATTCTTCTCAATCAGTCTCCGCGTTTCCGTTACACGCAGTCGGGGCTTTCCTGAGTATTTGATCAAAGTACTTCGTCATGCCCGCGGTATCCTCCAATTCGCCCACCCATCCGACATACTGATCAGGGCGAATAATGGCCACAGCACCCCGAACAAGATCGACTCCCCACTTCTCATAGGCTTTGCCTTCACATTCAGAGTCATAGGTGCATGCCCTCTCGGACCAAATACGATCATAAGCCCATCCCATGACTTCATCGAAGGGTCTCAATACCTCCGGGAAATCGTGATACTCGACCTCGTCCCAAGGACTGCTGTGGATGGTCAAAGTATTGATCGGACCGTCAAATTGGCTGATGGGTGCGATATATCGGTTGAGAATGGAGGGTAGGACGCTGCCGAGTTGATCAACACGGTCCTTTTGCATCGGAAAACGTATGTCACCCGCTAGAACGACAAGTCGGAACCGCCCATCACTTTCTAATATGTTTGTTGTCCATCTCGTATCAAGACGGGCTTGGTTGAGAAGCTTCCGAACAGGGAATTTCTCTCCGGGACGAGGCCCTGGAACTTTTGTTCCTTCTCACTGCTGAGTTTGTGGACAAGATTGCTGGCGGGATAGAACGCCTTGCGTCCTTCGTAGAAATCTTCGAATTCCTGATGAATCGTGCGGGCGTCCGTCTTCTGTATGTCTTCGGACGCGTTTTCGTCTTTTGTAAATTGCGACGAGATTTGCCGATCGTATTCGACCAACATCTTCGCTAAAGGCAGTCTCTCGGCATTATAAGTGTTCAGTATAGAAGGATCGGCGGCTCCTTGTGCCACCAGTGCCAGTTTCCAGCCGAGATTGAAGCCATCCTGTAGACTCATGTTCATTCCCATTCCGATCTTTGGCGAGTGAGAGTGGGCAGCGTCGCCCGCAAGGAAGACCCGGTTCTCTCGAGATAGTGTCGAGGCCACTCGCTGACCGACGCCATAGGCGGAAAACCACTCGCAAATCTTGAAATCGAAATCCCAAGGGCTAAGTATTGCCTGTACCATTTTTCGGAGGTCGTCGGGGGTGAATGTAGATTTGTCACGGCGACCGTTGGTTGTGCCGTTTTCTGCGTCCGGTGTCTGCGTATCTTGACCCTTTGGCATTGGCACATAGAGGCGCATGAGGTTTCGTTCACGGGGAACTATCAGGATTGAACCGGCCGCATTCTCCACCATAGCTAAGCGGCGAATGTCGGCTGGGGTGGTCGAGGTTAGTATGGTACCAAGATGCCCATCATGTATGAATCACTCACGGAAGTTGGAGATAGGAACAACATCAGCCACGCCCCTAGGTAAATGTTAGTGACAGACAACCGATTTTGGAATCTCGGGCTACCTACCAAACATATTCGGTGCTTGATCCTTCCATTGGGAGTCCCATCTGGGTTCTTGTCCAACTGCGCGCCCCATCGCATGCAAGTAGGTATCTCGCTTTGACAATCTCGACCTTTTCCTCCCTCTGGATTTGCGGTGGGACACCATTCGATTCGTCGGAAGGTTGGCGATTTACAATACCATTTTCGAGCTTGATCGGCCCATTCTGCGCATGTGTCTCCCCATTGACTGGCTTTTCAGAATTGAGAGTCCGAAGTTGAATAGTGATAGGATAAGCACTGTGATCCTCCTGGTCCAGTTCATTAAAGCTCAACCCCTCGGCAACAACACCTCGCTCGACTTTAATAGACGAATTTTCGTGAATAGAATCGAGAATGAATTGTTCCAACCGGCCTTGTCCCAAAAGTGTATGGACGAAAGGCATACGCGACTCCGTATTCTCGCCAGAATGCTCTTGGCGCACGAGCTTCCCTTCTTCGTTGAGGCCCTATTCATTCAGAGACGCATTAGTCGATTCCGACGTGCTTCAAGGGCGCACTGAACCGAACCCAATAAGTTGAAATAACTGCTGCAACCCCTTCGTTCCGAACCCGATGGTTGAACCCGCAGCTATCGAACAGCTCCAATGTGCGTGGCACCAATCCGTCTGCATGACCGAGCATCACTTTCTCCGCGCGTTTGTCAACGATGCGAGCTTTCACCCCATAGCGAGCCATCCAATATGCTGCCATCAGGCCGGCAGGGCCGGCGCCGATAATGAGACTGGAAAAGTCGCATTGTTAGTTATTGTGAAGACGAATGGATGCGACTCTAAACAACTCACACATCTGTTTCAGACTCAGGGTACTTTGTTACGGTCATGATGGAGCTTTAGTAGAGTACCTATGGATGGGTGGTGAACGAAAGATCCAGGGAAATATTCGCGTTGCGCCCAGATCACCGCGTCTTAAGAGAAATCCAATCAATCATATGTATGATTTGACAGCGCAGCTTGGTTTGGTCGCGGCGCATCTTCTGCGCATCCTCGAATGCATCACGCACATATGTACATATGCCAATGGTCAGATAGTTCGTGTAACCTTGTCAGAATTGCTTCCGCTAGCTGCTCAACGCGGACGCTTTATCGAGTGGATCGTCCGGTCGGGTATTATTTCTGACTGCAATTGAAATGCAAGACTGGCGTGGGAAAAACAAACCATACGGTCGCGGTGGGGAATGGCGCAGCTGGCAGCAAGGATATCACACAGCTGAACATGCGTCTCTGTGGGGAGCTGAAGGGAAGAAGGGACATGGTGGCGTTCTTGAGGGGGATTTTCCCTCGTTCATTAAGTTTGCTCGTCGGGTTCGTTCATTGGTCTCAGCTCGAAATAAATCATCAATCTGAAGTGTACGGAGTAGAGTTCAGGGGGACGTGAATTCAAGTGGAGAGGGCAAATGGAGATTTAAAAATCAGAAACAATCGCTGGCTTTTTGTGAGCTCTTTCCAAACCACTCACTCACGGAAATCCACATGGATGAAATATACAGAGTATTCCGCACATAGTACTCACGAGAACTGTCTTTCGTCGTCTTCAGTCTTCAATCTTTTTTTGTTTTGCTTTTTTTTGCTTTTTGCTTTTTCTTTTTTTGGCGACCCCCTCGCGTTGGATGGAGTTTGTACCACCTTGGATGTGTCATCATGTGGCGTTTGCACTGACACCTGGGATATGGTGAAGATGAAATACTGATAAATCGCTTAATGATTCACAGACATGTGAAGAATATTCATGGGGTACTCCGTATATTCATTCATAAATCATACATGGGTACTCCGTACAGGAATTTGTGGCCATTCGCGACCATTGGCTAGTATTTATTTCCTTCGATGATCTGGTGTTGCCGCAAACCTTCAAGATCTTGATCCACAGCTCAGCTTGATTCAAAGTTGTGTCGCTACTAGTGGTTACTAGCATGACGACCACCTGCAATTACCCAATCGAAGGGTTGGAATGAAGGCGGGTACGCAAGTGTTCATCCGGAGCAGAGATCGCTGCCCACTGGTATTCCCTTTGTACATGCTCTTTATCGCCCAAGGTTATTTTTTGTATGAAGAATCAGCTGCGTACATCACGACCTCAATGTGGTGCTATTTATTGCTGTTCTGGAACACGAAATTCTGTGTCGAGATTGGCCCCTCGAAGCCTTTCAGATTACACTATTCGCGATTAGATTTAATGGAGCATGTCGCGCTTCAAATCCAAAGTCGAAGAGATGTCGGTCTCATGCTACAGAATTTCCTTGAGGTCATAGCCATTAGCTTTTTATTTCTCGGGCGCCACTATCTTCTTGGGTATCACAATAGCAAAGGCCATCCAGGCCACACAATAAGCTCAAATGCCATCAATTGAATATGATGCGCATGCCGCCAGCGAATCCATCGTCATCCAGTCCATGTTACCAGAGTCCCCCAGATAAAAGTGGGTGTCGGGCATCTGACAAGTATTAGCATGAATCAATATTGATATAGGAAGGATCACTCACCATCAAACTCCAGTCAGCCATTATCTCAGATACCGGGTCCATTCCAATATCATCCTGTCTTTCCAGACCAATCGCCGCAGAATCGATCTTGCCCTCCAGGATTTTCAAGCACCCGGCCTCCGCCTCTTCCGCCGCTTCTAGGAGTATCGCGGGAAGTTCCTCCCTTGAGAGACCGTGCATCAACCCTTTAATCTGCGCACAAACGAGACAGAGAAACAAGTACCCTTTGATGTTTGTTTCACCTGCTTCAATGCAGTGCAGAGACCACTTTTTGGCCTCCTGCAAAACAGAGTAAAGATCACGGCGGAGGGACATCGGACCTAAGGTCGAGGCTTCTTCTTGAACCTGCGTCTTGAGCTCAGCCGCGATGAGGAACACGGCTTGCATGGAAGATGTGCGGAAGCTGCCATTTCCACAAAGGGCAAGTCGAGACAGGTCATCAGTCTCTAAAGGCAACGCGTTATTTTGAGAATGGCTTGCCATGGCTGATGACATGGGGAAGATCGTGCACCATGTTTTCAGCGAGTTCTCGATAACGACCTTTCTCGAAAATGCGTACTGGGTTTCCTTCAACGACACACTGAAGAATGGCATGTGAATCGCGGTGAGATAGCGCCGAATGAAGAAGTCCACGATTCGTGTCTGGTAATCAGATGGTACTCTTCCTCCACTCCCCCTGTTTTTGTATCCCTGTAATTCGCGACAGATCAGTTTCGAAGCTGCACGTAGTTCCTGGTCAAGGCGAAGCGTTTCCTCGTATCCGGCGTGGGAGGATATGCCATTCAATGTCTTGACAATGCATAGGCGGAGAGGCAGCATCTTGCGCAGGGCCAAGGCAACGGATACATCAGTGAATACATCATCTGGTGTTGGCATTGGGTTTTCCTGGGTGATCGCTTCATCATCGAAGTTGCCGGGAGGCAAGGTGTTGAAGTCTTCCAGGGAGCAGAGAGGAGGACCTCCTGATTCCATACTCGCTTGCAGATCGAGTTCCATGATGGTGTTCCAGAGTCTTCGTCGCATCTCCGATGAGTAACAGGGCATTCTGGGGAGGAATTCTGGGTCCCGATTAAGTCCCATGTACACAGCGAAGCGAAGCAGTTCACCGGTTGAGATCCACACAAGAGCGCCGTCAACGCCGACAATCTCTCTGGCTAAAAGAAGGAGAATGTGAATTTGGAGGAACTGGAGACCAAGTCGGGCTTTAAATTCGGGCTCGGAAATCCATGTCTGTGCTTCATGGACCCATCGGATGGCGGTTGCTCTCATGGAAAACCGATCATCATAAATCGACGATCCGATTGCCATAACCAGTTTCAGAAGGATCAAAAAGGGCATGTCTGAGTTCTTTGATTTCATGGCATCCTCGTAATCACGTTGGAATGTTGGAACGTGGAGGACGCGGTAGACGGTCTCTGACGTTCGGAGGTAATTCCCAACCAGGGCATCAGCGACATCCTTACGGGGAAGATCACGCGTCGGTGGACATGGCCATGCTGGTGTGCGCTGGGCCTTGATCGTTTTGCCGAGCCACTTGCACCTGGTCAAGTTTGACATTGCTCGCGCACCCTCCTTTTGAAGAAGGGGCTCTATCAGATCAAGGACCTCGGCAAACTGACGATTCATTGTCAGTATCTGTTCTTCGTCTTACATGAGGCGGAGTAGTGACTGACCTGAGCAACTCCATTCATCCAGTGACTTTGTCCAAATACCCTGGTTTTGTGCATGATGGATCGTGAGATGGTCGGCGGCTGGCCGGCAGTGGCGCTCTCCGAGGTTACATGAAATGTACCAGCAAAATGAGATCTGGTTGTACTGATATTGTAATTTGGACTTGGGGTCGCAGGCCCGGTAGAGGCCCGAACTGTCTTGGTTAGCTGTTCCTCGAGTTGCTTCACTCGAAATCTGAGGATTTGAAGCTCCTCTGCTTGTGGTTGACTTGAAGGGGTAAGGAACGCCTTTTCAGACGGGACCGACATGGATGGGCTTGGCCCACTCGGCACCGTCATCACGGTATCGGATGCAGGAACCTGCTCTGTCTGGATCTCCATCTGGGTGCTTTCCAGTGGATGAGATTGGCTGCTTTGATTTGCAGATGCATTCACCCCACTGCTCCGGTTGGAGGGTGGATTTGGCGAGATGGCATCGTAAACACAAGCCACATTTTTGGATCTCACGCAGTTGCTGCATGGTGTCTCCCGATTGCACTTGATTTTTCGTTTGCGGCACAACACACAAGATCTGAAAATCTGTCAGCCACTCGAAGAGTCTATACATGATGAAAAACCACGAAATTCTTTTCTCTTACATCGGTGGCCGGCGACGACGCCGTTCAGATTGCGGCATTGCGGGAGGATCCATACTGTAACTCGGAGCCTCCAGATCAGATAAGAGAAAGAGCTTCTTTGTTCAGCCACAGTTTACTCCGAACATCTGTAAAATACCGAGATCCGAGCACCGAATGATGACTGATGACTTGCAGAAGGGAAGTTGGCAAGACAAACGGAGAGTAGAGAAGGAAGAAGGAAGGATGAAACGCCAAAGGAAAGCAAATGTCGGTGTCGGAGTCGGGAATTGCACAGTTGGCCTTTCTCGTCTGCAATTTCCCGATATTTTGGCTGAGCCAATCACGGGACTGCATGGTGAATGGGCATTAACTAGTTCTGCGGTAGTATAAACAGCACAAGACAACACATCTTTGCATCTTTGATGGTTTTGGAACTGTGAACCAAAGAAAGGAATATTGAGGCATTCACGAACTTGAAGTATCTTTTTCCATCACTCTTCTCACCCCTACAATTCGCCCATCATGTGTGACGACCGCTCTTGCACTCACTGTAATGAAGATGCAGCTTCGGACCGCTTGAACACGACTACACAACCTTCCAACACATCGAAAGTGGCCTCAAAATACAATCAACCATGCTTCGCTTTGAACTACGAATGGCAGAATGAAGTCGCTACTCTAAAGTCTGTACAAGACGGCAGCAACTTGGGCCCACCTCCCGATGGAGGTATCAAAGCTTGGCTCGTCGCAGCTGGGGCAGCTTGTATCTTCTTCTCAGCTCTCGGATTTGCTAATTCCTTTGGCGTCTTCGTGGAATATTATCTCTCCCATCAACTTAAAGGCCAGTCGCCAGATAAAGTGGCCTGGATCGGATCCGTTGCTGTTTTCACACAGTTTGCGGCAGGCGCGGATGGTGGCCCTCTTTTTGATCGTTGTGGTGCTTGGGTATGTAAACAACACTTCTTCTCATCTTTCTTTTCTATCGTTCCTATGGTTGGACGCACAGCTAACATGAACAAGGTGATTCGCCCCTCCGCGGGACTTCTTGTGTTTGCCATCATGATGACCAGCCTTTGTACCCAGTACTGGCAGTTCATGTTGGCCCAGGGAATTCTGCTCGGCGTCTCGATGGGATTCTTGCAGTTCCCAGCAATGGCAGCGGTCACTCAATACTTCGACAAGAAGGCCGGCACAGCACTGGGCCTGGTAATTTCCGGCTCCTCCATCGGTGGTGTTGTCATACCAATCGCGCTCTCCAAAATGCTGAACAGCACCAACTTGGGCTTCGGATGGTCCATCCGCATCATTGGCTTCCTCCTCATTCCACTGCTCTCTTTCTCCTGTATTACTGTTCGGAGTCGCCTACCCCCTCGCAAATCCGCCTTTTTTCTTCCCTCCGCCTTCAAAGACCGCACCTACTGCATGGTAATCGCGGCACTATTTTTTATGTTCATCGGAATGTTCGCTCCACTCTTTTACATGCCCACCTACGCCGTGAAACGTGGCATGGATGCGACCCTGGCATCTTACCTACTAGCCATCGTCAACGGAGCATCGACCTTTGAACGAGTCGTCCCAGGAGTCCTCGCAGACAAATTCGGACGACTCAACGTCTTCATGTTCGGAGGAATGGCTTCGGGGGTCGTTGTCTGCTGCATGAACCAAGCAAAATCCACCTCGGCATTGGTGGTTTACGCCGTCATTGTCGGGTTTACCACCGGAACAATCATTTCCGGTGGAACGACAGCTTTCACGCTCTGCATTAAATGCCGACAGCAAAGTGGCACCCTCCTGGGAATGGGGATCGGTCTTAGTTCTATTTCGGTTTTGATCGGTCCTCCTGCCAATGGAGCGTTTGTGCAACAATATGGGGGCTTTGCCCAAATGTCGATCTTCAGCGGCGTGAAGTGTCTGGTTGGTGGTTTAATTGCCTTTGCTGTGAAGTCAACTACTCCCCATAGCTTGTTTGGGAGAACTTAAAGGGGTGGGTGCGGTCTCTTCCTGACAAAATCGCCCTTTCAAAAGAGGCTGCTGCGTGTAAACTGATAACTTCTCAATTCAAAGTTTTCCTCATATGGTTCTTTTTTCTAGGTCAGTAACAGAATTCAAGCGCAGGGTATTTTTGGGGTTCCAGTGTCGATCTTCTACTCATCCAAGCAGAGCCCGGTTTTACTGCATGAAATAATCCCTCAACGTTCCGTGCATAACCTACTTATTTGCTAGTGTATACTAGTATCGATTATGAGTGTTTAGATTGATGTCACTACAGGTCAGGGGTAGATCAAGGATATTATAAAAGCATCAAGGGAATAGATTGGCAATCGATGACGGCATTGATTTGCAAGTTCCAGAAGAGCAACACGCTATTTTACTTGGTAGATCTTGGTCAGCCAAGGACTTCGGGACCGAGGTACTTCTTAAACAGAAGCCCTCCTTTCCCCAATATGACAATCTCTGGATCGATGCGCCTCTTGTATAGAAGCTCCCCTTTGCCCAACCTGATACTGTTCATGCGAGACATGTATTTCGCGACTGCTTTGTTTGTAAAGAATAGGTCCCAAAAGTCCGATTTGGGCTTCCCGTCCCCGGGAATACTTCCCAGTCCGTCATTCGATTCTCTAGCTCGTCTGACATCCGAGCAAGCTCTAAATCCAGTCTTTTGATAAAGGCTAGGGGCACCGAGGTCACGGTCGTATCCGGGAATCTGTCAGAGATAGGGCCGTTATCAGGGAGCCCATCAAAGGTCTGATCCATGGATGCAGGTATTCCTTCCAGAAAGGTTTCTACCAAAGCGAATCGCCGGTTTACTAAAGCCCATTCGAGAGAAGTTGCCTGTGAACCAGATCCAGATATCGGACTTGCGCCTCGGGAAATCAGCTCCTTTGCAATACTGATCCCACCGTCGCCGCGGCTTTTGGCAATCTCAGCTCGCATATTGGGGTTCACACCTTCCCTTAGCAACCCTAGATTAGTATACCTCGCAACACCCCTTTTAGATAGTTCCTCCAGGGCTTGTTGGTAATCGAGAGGCCCATATTCTGATTCTCCACCAATGTCGAGAAGCATATTCGTTGTTGTTAGTGGTCCTGAACACAGGCCACTGGTGGCTCTGACAATCAAAGTTTGAAAACAGTCCCCGTTATGATACAGGTCGTCGATCGGGAATCCTGAATCCAGAAGGAATTTGAGAATCTCGTGCTGTTGATACTCCGCGGCAAGTGCCACGGCCTTGCGGCATCCCTGGCACCTTTCTTCTAGCCACACACCGCGCTTAACAACTCGCTTAAAACCTTCAATTGGCCCCCATTTTGCGGCCTCCCATAGCATGGTTGTTTCGCCTATTATCGGATCTTCAGGACCGATTCCAGAGCTGTCTAACAGGCGGTCCATAATATCGTATTTCTTGGCCCTGAATGCCGCCTTCACCCTGCACTGGCGCTGCCAGTCTGGTACTTCAACGATGAGAGCACCCTTCTGTATGAGGAACTCGCACATAGACTCCGTTCCGTGTTCGATGGCCCTCAGAAAGGCTGTTCCCATCGCATAATCCACCGGACTTTGTTCGACCTTTTGTCCGACTTTTAACGCCATTTCCATCATAGATTCATCGTCAGTTTGAGCCGCCTCCGTGGCTAAAGTGTCACTGCATTCAATCAGTGCGTTTTGCTCAGAGAGTGGATCTTCGTTGTTTATGATCATCTCAATAATTCTCATGTTCCCACGTTTTACAGCAAGCATCAAAGGCGACGCAAAGCGAGGCCAGGGCTCTGTTTCCGCGTCGCCGTAAAGTTCATCCAGGTCTTCGCCTTGGCAACCCATCCCCAACAACCGCTCAGTGAGACTTTCGTCTCCAATAGCTGCCGCATAGTTGAAGAAATGATTTAGCTGGTCGTGGTTGAGGGTTTCCAGTTTGGAGTCGATGTCAACTTCCTCCAGGATCAGCTTTGCCATTTCTTCTCCTCCCAGCGCGCATATTTCAGCTATCTGACAGGCATTGATATCCCCGGCAACGAGTAAATGAGCTCCATTCCGTAGAAGCAGCCGCACCATTGCCTCATTTTTGGTTTTCGCGGCGATGAAAAGTGGCATTCTGTGCTCATGATCCTGGTAGCGGTCTTCAGATTCAATCAGATCAGCTTTCACATTGGGATCTGCGCCAGCCTCCAAAACAAGCTGTACTGCTTCGAGATCTTCCTTCTTTGTTGCTTCCATGAGCGCAAGACTTTTTCACTTGCTTAGCACCTGGACCTGCGACATGATTCTCAAGAAAACAACATACCCCAGACATTGACCATGTAGAATGCCAGCCTTTGTCGACTTTCCCATTTCCGTTAAAAGACGGAGCATCTCTGTACCCCCATTCTTCACAGCAGCGGCCAAGACTTCTGCACCGCCATAAATATCGCTCATGGTATTATGGCTTCCCAAAATATCCACGAAGGCGTGGACGACATCTTCATTGCCCCTGGAAACCGCTAGTTCGAACGGCGTGCGGTGATCCCGGTAGACTCCATCGTATCGGTCGAATTTCACACCTGCGGAGAGTAGCCGTCTCACAGCCAGCACATTGTCATTTTCGATAACCCGTTTAAACCCTCGAGGCGAATACAGCTTAGCAAAATGTTGATAAAGCCGTTGATCGGCGAAGCTGTTGATTGCACGGCATGTTTGACCATAAATGTTGACTTCTGACGCGTAGTCAAGATAGTCAATTACCATGAACTGAATTTCCAAGGGCAAAGACTGTAGTGAATGCATGGCGATAGCTTGTTGGTGCCCAGCCCCTAGCTGTCGTGGACTCGTGAGAGTAGGGGGTTCTTCAGGAGTTCAAAATACCAGCCACTGCAGATGCAGTTTACTTCTAATGATGGAGTCAAATAATACAATGGAAGGGACGGAGATGAAGCGACTGGACCAAAAATAGAGATGGACCGAAGTTATGGAAGAAGGCGAAATCACCAAGCAAAGACTTCGGCTATCAAAACAACAAACAAAACGACTAACGGCCGGGATATGTGCTGACTCATCATTATGCCTGAGGCATAAAGCTTCAGTATTTTAAGTCATATCGGAGAAAATTATACACACATGGCTAGGGTCAGGAAATAAATAATTAATAAGGTCTATTAGATTGAAACCATTATAGCGAATGACAAAAATAACGCAAGTTGAGGGTTTTGTAGCGCAATAACTCATCTAGCGATTAGTTGTAAATACTAGATGCCCCATCACTCGCAGCCGAGATTTTCAAATCATCCACTCTCACAAAAAATGCTTTATACCATCCTCTCTCGCATGAAATTACCATATATCTACCTACCAGCCCAGAATCGCAAGAAAGCATCTTTCTTTGTCTTCGCTGGTGGAACTTCCTCGTTATTCCCGTCGTTCACAACAGGCAATCCATCATTACCAAGATTGGTCACAGCATTCTGCGTCTTCCCAAGGAAGTAGTTATTCTGGAATAATACTGTAATAAGCGGGATAAACGTAATTCCAAGAGCCAGCGCAATACAATAATATAACGCGCGGCGATGGGCGACAATTGCACCTACGCGCATCGGATCATCAAATTCATAGCTTCTAATCAAAGTGACCTGGCCAAACAGCTTCGTCACATCGGCTTCGGTTGCGGTTGTCGAGAGGTGTGTCCGAAGTTGGTTTGATATCTGGCTTGACCAAATAACCACAACTATGGCGGATCCAATAGCGCTGCCGACCTTCGACCAGAGGGAGAGGAGAGAATTCACGAGCGCGACATCTTGGTGAGGAACTTAGGCTTCGGAGGCGACACGCGATCCAACGACGGACATTGAGCCACCGAATCTGACTAGAATCATGGATATAACCATTGCTGCCGTATTGTCGGTTGCCATATCTCCTTCTAGCATGATTCCCATGCCGATAATTTTGACGCAAAGACCAGCTATCTGAATCGATTTGTATCTGTGGGTCCAAGGTTGTAGCAGTCCGACAAAGGACCCTGCGATACAAAAAGCGAGGGTCAGAGTATTGCCGTAGTAGACCCAGTCTTGGTAGCTCCATGGTTTGGCGATGTATACATAAGAGCTCCAGTATAGACCGCGCATGTTACCCGCGACTATTTATATCTTATTGTTAGTTATTTAAACTTGTGGTGATGGGGACAGGGTGATACGAACGCATATAGGTACTGTCAATTATGACGGCCATCAAGAAGGTCTTGTTGAAAACGAGTCGACGAGGGGCGCTCGGTACTCGAGCCCATAATATTTCGTGGACTATGTAGGCGACAAGGAAAATACCTCCAACAACCATCATTGCGATCATCGAGGGGTTTTTCCATCCCCCATCGGCATAAGTTTTTAACGAGAATGGGAGCAGAAGTAATGACCACCCAAAGCCGAGAGCCGAGAAGGACGAGACCAAAGGCGTCGATCTCTTCAAGATTTGTCTTCAACGCCTCCATCCAAGTACGCGACAGCTCAGCGGCCAGTGCAATGACTGCACCACGGGGAGCTCCATTACCTTCCTTGTCAGCCAGTTCTCGAGCGTCACGGCGAGTGGCGTTCAAAGATACAATATTGACGATACCATGCTTCTTAGCCTTGCGGTCCAGGCAGATGAGAACAGCAATGGCCGGCCCTAGAGCGAAAGGCATGATTATGGCGAACATTCCATATCCCCAACGCCACTGGTTCCTGCTATTGATGGCCTGGACAATCTTCCCGGCAAACCAGGTATTGATGATGAACGGAGTAGAGAGCATGGAGCTGGCAAAGCCACGCCATTCCAGGGGTGTAAGATCGGCAACGATTATATCGGTGGTCAAGTCCAGACCGGAGCTACCGATGGCGACGAAAACTTCGCCGACAATGTATGCGGAGATTGTTTGGCACGAGGCAACGATAATATACCCAATTACGTAGAAAACGAGAACGACGAGGTAGGTATATGGGCGCGATGTGATTTCAGAAATCTTAGCGATGAAAGGCTTACTCACTGCACTGATGATGCTGGTGGCGATGGAGAGGGTAGACAGAATAGAAATGTGCTGCTTGAAATATGAGGACGCTTCTAGTGAGTAGTAGGATGTCGTCGATGAATCGAGCGATTAGGCCCACGCGCAGACTAGTACTGAGATGGCGACCCGCCACAGCGATGTGCGATTTGTCTTGGCCTCGCGGTAGATAGCCTCCATGCGGGTGACACCGTGTGACTGGAGGACATCGCCGACTTTGGATTTGGCGAGGTTTTTTTCGTCAATCTCGGCTTCCCTTTCCACTGAGTCCGAGGTGGGATTGATCTTGTCGTTGGCTGTATCGGGCATTCTGAATTCCGTGCGGCGAAGACTATCAGGCTAGACAACAGAAAACTTAACAAAGGCACCAACTTCCCTTATAAAAACAGAAATAACTACCACCCTCCATCTTCGTGGGGCCTAGCGCAAGTCAAAAAAGTTTAGAAGGCAAAGCGAATACTTTTATTTTGGGAAGACTTCCAGCCAGTGAGAGGATATCTTCAGAGCAGCCATCTAATCTGATCTGAAAAAAAGACTCCACCCTGAAAAGGCCTAATCACAGCGTTTCGCGGGCTTTCCCGATCTCGCTCGCGTTCCAATTACTGTTCCAAGCTAGCGCTGGGTCTAGTTGAAAGGTATCGCGTTATTTTATGGCTGGCACGGAGTAATCTGCTTGTCGAGATCTTTTTTTCCAATTTCTACGCAAGTCCGCCGATAAACGGCGGACACCAAGACTCGCTCGCTCGACCCCGTTTTTTAATCAGGAAGGCAGGACACTATTCCCGAATGAGAAGAATATACTCATCAGCAGAACTACAAGTATACATTTACAGCTTGTTGTTTTCAATAGCTGTCAGTTCGTTCAATTATGGAATGGAATCTCGAGCTCGTGCTCGCTGAGAATTGGGTACACAGCGCCAATCAGATAGAGTCGAGCTGGCAAGGTTTCAAGTTCGGCGAGGGAGGCATTGATTATGGAGTATGATACCTGGCCACCAATTCGAGTATATCCGATTTAGCCGTATACATTTATGGAACATTTAGAAACTATCCAGGCGCATTTGGCAGTCCTACCAGGTCTTAATAGTCCACCAGGGAGTCAATTTGGTTCGAAATAGCCTCGGTTCGGTGAGTTGTTATTCTGGTCAAATGAGATGGTCATTCAACAGCGCGCCTCGAGTCATCAATTTTCAGTAATGTCTATTGGTCTCGTGTATCCCCCCAGCTAGAGAAATCTCGGAGTAGATCATTTTTAACAAGTCCACTGTCTATGCCGAGACTACATTCCCATCTTTGAAGGGCACCTGCTCGAGTCCCCTTTACCCGTGGACCCACAACAATGTCAACAACCATATCAACAGCATCAAGATCGAAATCATCATCGTCACCATGCACGCTCTTCCAGTCCCTTTTGCATCTGTGAATTTTCGCCATGGTATACTAAGCGTAAGTGCTACTTCTGCCATCGCCCATCCACCGCCGTCGCGTCTGTGCTGTCCATCTCCCGTTCCGCTCGCAAGGGGGACGATCCGCGCGGTCCGCGAAGCTACCGCATTCCAAACCTCCTGCCCAGATCAAAACATCAGGTTTGCCGGTATCCTGACGACTCCATGCCAACCGCCTGGTCTCCTGCATGCCAGAAGGGCCTGGCCAGATCTCTGGTCCTTTTTTCACCATGTTTGGGGTTCCAATGTTTACTTCTTCTTCTCCCTTCCTCTGCTACCAGCTTGATAGGATATCCTTGAGAGTTGCGGTAGAGAAATTGAGGTCTGAGGATGCGGAGCTCATTGTCTGTTGCTACTTTGGTAGCAGTTGTCTCTACTGTGTCGGGATCGGTCAGTCCTCTTCGCGAGAGTGACATTGAACATCTCCATGAAGTCAATCAGGGCCCATCAGAGTCAGTCTTCTTTCTGGGTTTGTTTCCGACACTGTTGTCCCAGGTGGGCGGTGCTCCAAACTTAATTGATACTCTCCTGGGAGCTGGAAAGCCAACAGACACTCCGACTCCCTTGGAAACCTCGAGCGCAGAGCCTCCCAGTCCTCCAGAGACTGTCAGTCCGGTGGAAACGCCAACTCCTGCGCAAACCCCCTCCCCAGCAGATACATCTACTCCTGTTGAAATCCCTGCTGCCTCAGATGCACCTGACTCTTCACAGGGGCCAACATCCCCTCAAGCACCCGTTTCGCCGCAAAAACCGAGCTCTTCAAGGACTCCCTCGCGAAGTCCGTCGCACTCTACTCCTGCCGTATCGAGCTCGAAGCAGATTCCAGCCGCTGCGCCAGTTTCTTCTACCCCGGCCACGTCCTCTGCGGCAACTGCTCCCACAACTTTGACCTATACTTTGACTCCGGCCTCGAGCCAAAGTTCGTCATCGAGTCAGGTTCAGACGTTCACAACTCGACCAAAGCCAGTGTAGGTTAAGGCTACCTTCCAAGCCATAGACTTGTACTGACTATCTGCAGATCTAACAGTCCAACTTTCGCCCCGGCCTCCAAGACATGCGCTCCCAATTGGCAACCCTCGCGCGGTGTCTTCTGGTTGGACCAGCAAGATCACAAAGGCCAAGGCGCTGGTCTGGCTCCATATATCTCCGAAGATAACTCGTATCCCGTGTACCGAAATGTGATGCACTACGATGTTGCGAATGATGGTACGGGCGATCAGACAGCAAACATCCAGAAAGCCATTGATGACACCGGAGCCGGGGGTAGTCGTAAAGGAAACGGAGTCACCCGGTTCCCGGCAGAGGTCTATCTTCCCAGCGGAGTCTATCAACTTGGAAGCACATTGAAATTGACTGTCGGAACTATCATTGTTGGCAACCCTAACAATCCACCCGTAATCAAAGCCTCTCCCAGTTTCCGTGGCCAATTCCTTGTGCTGGGATACGACAAGAACAACGGAAACCCCGAAACTAGCTTCATGATGGTGATGAAGAACGTTATCTTGGACACGACTTCAGTGGATGCTCATGTCGCCATCACTGCCCTCCAATGGGGAGTGGCTCAAGGATCTGGGTTGACCAATGTCGAGGTTCGAATGCCGACTGGCCCTGGTACGCACACTGGTATTGATATACATGCCGGTTCAACTATTGCCGTCACCGACGTGGTAAGTTCTTCTCCTGGGGCAACATTTCATTGCTTGTCTAAACTAACTTTAACAGCGCATTTTTGGCGGTGCCACCGGTATCATAAACTCGAACCAACAGGTCAATTTCAAAAACATCCACTTTAGCGCGGTCGGCACGGCATTTTCTGCAGCTGGTGGATGGACTGTCCTGCTCCAGGGTGCAACTTTTGAGTCCTGCGGTACTGCTGTCAACATGACCGGCAACGGACTGGGCAGTCTGGTTCTACTAGACTCGACATCGATCAACAGTGGAACCGTCATTCTGTTCCATGACTCCTCTCGGGATGACGGCAACCAGAACAGCCAGTTTATTATCGAGAATCTTTTCCACGATTCTCAGCACCCTATCGCGGTTGATAGCAACGGCGCTACTCGCTTGGGACCTGCCCTACACATTGATACTTATATCTGGGGCTCAAGGGTACCTGGCCAGTATGAAGCTGGAAAGTCCTTTGTTACTCAACGGTCGGAGAATTTGTTGGTTGGTGGCAAGTATTTCACCAAGGCCCAACCTACCTACGGGGAATATGGCGGTGATGATATCGTGAACGTCAAGACGGTTTCGGGCCATGTCGTTAAGGGTGATGGCCGTACCGATGATACCGAGGCCCTGAATGCCATCTTGTTGAAGAACGCCGAAGATTGCAAGATCACCTATATTCCCTTCGGTGTTTACCGCGTTTCCGATACTCTCTTCGTCCCTGTGGGCACTCGGATGGTCGGGGAGGCATGGGCTGTCATCTCGGGTTATGGCGATGCCTTCAAGAATCCCCGTCAACCTCGCGCGGTGGTCCAGCTCGGTCGTCCTGGGGATGTTGGTGTTATTGAAATTCAGGATATGCGTTTTGCAGCTGGTGAAATTCTCCCCGGTGCGAAGATTTTGGAGATCAACGCTGCGGGAGCTCAACCCGGAGATGTTGGTCTATGGAACACCATTGTAACAGTTGGTGGTACTGCCGAAACAACAATCTCCAACAGCTGTACCTCGCAAGATCCCAAGGACTGCATGGCTGCCTTTATGGTGATGCACCTGACAAAGAGCTCGTCTGCATACATTGAGAACTTCTGGGGATGGACAGCAGACCACAACCTGGATAGCGAATCTCTTTTCACTATCATCTCAACCGGTCGTGGCATTTTGGTCGAAGCGACTCAAGGTACCTGGCTCACTGGTACTGGCTCTGAGCACCACTGGCTCTACAACTACAATTTCCACAAGGCCGAAAACGTGTACGCCGGCCTCCTTCAAACTGAGTCGCCTTATATGCAAGGCTCTGGCGAGTATGAGAAGGCACCCGCACCTTGGTTTGCCTATGCTCAATATGGAGATCCAGACTTCTCATGGTGCTCCACTGACGACGACAAATGTCGCTCCGCGCTGGCCACTAATATTGACGGGGGCTCCAACATTGCTCTCTACAACTCTGCTGCCTGGGCCTTTTTCGATGGATCGTGGAATGGTCTCTACAATCAGCCTTGCGAGGGTAAGTGTCAATCGAATATGATGCGTGTTGTTGGTTCGCCGCAGAATTTGGTGTGGTACTCGATCAGCACCCGCATGACGGACGTCATGATCTTGGATGGAAAGACCAATCCGACCGAGACGAGCCATCCTGGTGGGTGGGAGGGGATTATCCAGGACTACAGCCAGTTTTCTGCATAGATCGGAATTGGATCAGGCTTGGTGTGCGTGTGGTGGTGGCATGTGCATAGCATGGCATGTTATTTTGAACATATGCATTTCTTAGACGGTCTTATATGACTGAGTACTCTTTTCTTAATGACTAGTATGATTTGATTTCCGCTTCTGTTCACTGGCAAGTTAACCTGGGCAAATTCCACTGCAAATTTCTTGAAGCTGAATGTTTTGTTTGTACTCTTAGTACTAGTACTAGTACTGATACTAGCCCTGGAGTAAACTTGAAATTTTCGCCATACTCATGACTCCAGCAAGCGTAGTCCCTGCGGGTGTGTGTCCCCTTGGCTAGAAGAGTAGTAGGTACTACTACTACCATTACTACCGACTAGTAGCCCTTACTACCTAGGTAGGTACTACCCAGGTACCTAGGTAGGAGCCTCCAGGGCTTGAACTTCAACTTGAAGTTGAACTTGGAAGATATATATCCACAACCTTGGCACATAAACTTCTAGGTTAGGACTGCCCAGGTGTGAACGTCCCTTCTAGTAGTACTGTTAAATCCTCAAGTACATGATTTGCAAAATAATCTATTTCGTAATTTAAATCCTTTATTTTGATTCCTTCATTGGATACTGACAAGCGGATGGTTGTTTGTCCATTGCGCCTGCATTCTTACGCACGTAAACATTAGGCCCCCAACAAACCGCTAAATCCAGGCAAATCACGTGAACATATCTATTTTTACCCTTCACGTGACTTTCCCGTGACAAGGCTGCCCCCATTTGCCTCTCGGTGCTGGCCGGAAAAAGCCATTCAAGACATCCACAAATCCACAGCCACACCCACCCACGACTTCATCCACTTTGCATTGTGTAAAACGTCATCAGTCTTGGCTTATTCGGAAGTACGAGGCCCATCAATCAATTCAACACGCATTTCGTTTCCTTCATTCCGCTTCAATGCCGAAATCTCCTTAGGCGGAGTCATCCTCCTGAAATGAAATTCTGTAATGTCGTCCCACCACTCACATGCTCACCTGCCGTAGCTGGTAGAGTTCTTCCCCGACATTAGGGGATTAGGGGGTAAAGCCTACGATGTGGCGCTGCCAGCCGAGGTTTCCGAACTTTGATTTTGTTTGAAGGCAGCACCATATCTGTTTCTAATTCAGTATAGGCTGTGTCAAATTTCAACCCCATTTGCTACCATACAGCACAACACAGCACAGCACAGCACCATGCAGTAGAGTCAGGCCCAGCTCAGAAATAAGCATCAAATTGGGAACACAGCTCATGCAGCCCGTCGCAGCATGTAGCCTCATGTGCCGCTATTCCCTCGTGGATCTCGCACTAAGCAGTCAACGATGGGGGCGGACAAGGGCTCAGACGAATCATTGTCTGTCTGCTCAGCCCAAGTGGAGTTATTAAATGATGATTTGCTTTCCAAAATTGCACTTCTCCCCCAATCCCACTGATCGGCCGTAAGCCTTGGCCCCATTTTATTTTGTGCTCCGTCTTCCCCCTTAAACGGCGTCATTGCCACTGCCACAACTGCGGACCCTGATGCCTTGTCCCCAGTTTGGTGTGTCCTTCGTAGTGGTTACTATGTATATCCAGGAGGAAATTGGATGCTCCGATCGACACTATAAAGAACCCCTGGGTCTCCCCAAACCATAGTTTATTATTCTCATCCTATCTACAGCCTAACCAGCCCTATATCAATACTCTATCTCCATCTACAAACCACTTCAAAAGTAACTCAACTTCCTCTACCTTCCACCACCACCAAAATGAAGTTCACTGCTATTGCCTCTGCCCTCTTCCTGGCCACCGCTGCCATGGCCACCCCCGACATCGATGTCGACTCCATTGTCTCTCAGGCCGAGGACGTTGCCACCTCCCTCAAGAGCGGAGGTGAGTCCATTGGCTCGGATGCCGCCGCGGAAGCTACCTCAATCGGCCATGCCTTCGAGACCGGCGGTGCTGCTGCTTTGTCAACTCTGACCGGCGACGCTGCCTCCATCGCCACCGCTGTCGAGAGCCACGCCAGCTCTCTCGCTTCGGCTGGTGAATCCGCCGGCTCTGAAGCTGCCAGCAAGGCCTCCGCTTGGGTCTCTAGCTTCACTTCCACCAACTCCGAGGGCGAGAAGACCACTGGTGCATCTACCATTACCTCCCGTGCCTCCACCGCTACCAACACTGGTGCTTCCACCACTGGCTCCGAATCTGCCAGCCCCACTACCTCCAACGCTGCCGTCGCCGGATACAAGATGAACGCCGCTGCCGCTGGTATGGCTGGTATGCTCGGTGTCATGGTTGCTCTGTAAAGGAGTTTTCCTGAATGTATGATTTTGGTCTCGGGTTTCTGGGATGAATACTCGAGATCGGATACGGCTTTTCTTTCACGACTTTCCTTGATTGGTTTACCCTAAAATATTTTGCCGCGCGTTTTGCTGGCTTGGGTTAATACCGGCGTTTTTATCTGTATATATACCTGTCTATACTTTTGAACTATGAACTTGAACATTCGAATACTAGTCGTATTGTATTCCTATCGTATATGTGAGCAAGCTCGTATACATTGTCCGCTTACATGCATAGATCTATACATTTTGTCCTAGGCTCTACCAGTATGCCGAGTCCCCGACATACCTACCCCTTGGAACATGATCACCGACTCTCCCAAAACTGCGCATCAATCGCAACTAATCGATTGAACAACTGATTCCGAGACCTCATCCCCGTAAGATGGAATGTCTGCCCGATCTCATTGCCAACAACGACCAGTCCATCAGCAGCCTCTTTACTACCGGCCGTCAATTCAACAATCAGCTTCCCCTTCCACCCCAATCCCTCCGTCTTCCGCAGTTCCTGGATCTCAGTGACCGGAATCTGAAACAGAACAGACCCCTTCTTCCGCGCCTCAATGCTCAGATCCTCCAATCCGGCTGATTGGTACGTCGTGAAGTATAAGATAGGTGGTTCCTTGGTGGAATCGATGACGGCTGCCCCGCGCTTCCGCTCGAACTTCGCGTCAAATTTCAATGGCCCGTATGGTGTGCCAGAGAAGCGGTGGTTTTGAAGCATGCCTAGGAGGTTCTTTGTATGTGCCGACCCTGCAATTGCCATTGCCCGGTCGAAGGCGATGTGGCCTCGGATTGCGGTTGCGATTGTGCGGCGGAAAAACTTCAGGATTTTGAAGAAGGTTCGTTTTTTAGGCTTTGGTGCTGCGAGACTGTCGGATGACAGGTTGGTGCTTGAATCGTTTGATATGCTAGCAAGATCGCCTGATTGAGGAATGGTCACTGCCTTGGACTTCTTGCGCTTGATTGGCCATGCGGGCTCGCTATCCTCGGTTGTTGGTGGTGGTGGAAGAGGTGATGAGTTGATTTCACCGATTCGGAGGAGTGTTAAAGTTAGTTGGGCGTTAGTGGGCACACCTTTCAGAAGTGTCCTAGATCATGATTATGTTAAGAGGTGTCACTTGGTAAATGGTAGGTTGGTTAGTGGACATACATGTTGATATCGAGCTGCTCTTGCCACTCGGGGTATTTGCGGTTCAAAAGGTCTGTCGTGTAGGTTAAGGCAGGCGCTCCGAAGAAAGCGAATCCTAGAGTGAACCCGACAAGTTTGATGATCCAGTAACTGGATGCAAATGGCGCGACGAGACACACGATGCTCAAGATGCCCGATATGCGGAGGCGTGGTGAAATGAGATAGAATGGCGGAGTAGGAGAAAGAATACTTCAATCCAATTAACGTCAAGTTTCTCATTTGTTCTCTTATCCGAGGAACTCACTTGGCAAATCTTTCATAGATATCGGTGATATCGCTGACCACTCGCATGGCCTGATCCATTCCTTGTGAGACCTTCTTCTTCATGGGTTTTTTGGTTTGTTCCTCTGCAGATTTCTCCGCGGCCACTTCAGGTGTCTCGGGCGTGGTATCGACAGGTGGTGCTGCAATAACTGCAGTAGAATTCTCCGCGGTATCTTCATCAAGAGGATATCCGAATTTCCCCGCAGCACCCTCGACAGCCATGGTCGCAAAACTATCGAGCAACACTTTGGCTTCTTGCTCTGCAGTTTCTCCCTTATGATTCTCCGGTACACCCGTCAAGCTGTCTTGAGATTCCTGTTGTTCATTTGCCGACGTGCTTGAAGTTGAATCGTCTGTTGGCGGCTGCACTGGAGGAGCGGGGAATAAAAACGGCCGAACGGGAGGAAACATGATCAAGGCAATGAATAGGCTCATCGTCATCGGAATGAGGAGATCTGCTGCCCAGGATGCGAAGTAGATCTGCGTATGAGTTAGCAATGAGTGCAGTCAAGCTGGGGAGAGACAATTAATTTACACCGCAAAAGACCGCAGTGCGGACGGGCTCTTTCCACGACCGCAATCTCCCAACATGTCGAAAGAATTCAATCAACCCGACAACCACAGAGATATAAAAACGTTCAAGTGTCATTCGAAGCTTTTCTGGAGGATACACTTCATTTTGCGCCCGATTGAGATCCAGATCCAGATTCGCGCCCGGTACAGCTTTCACATGATAGATTTGCTTCACATGTCAGTCCAGAAGCACAACTTCCGCAAGGCCAAGCCTTACCTTATTGAATCGCCGAATCAACATCCAAAGATCTTCATTCGAAAGACCATCTGCGAGTGTCTCCTCCACAGTTCTCGACGATGGCTTCCATTGCACATTTCGTGGGTTGTCGGTCGCCGCTCGTTGGAGCGGCCCGCTCTCTTCGGGTGGTTGGGTGAGTTCGAAGCTGTCGGTGTCTTCTATCTCACCGGGCGATTCATGCTCTTGGCTCATATTCAACAGTTCGATGGCGGGAATCCGACGAAAACTGCATGGATGTTAATGTGTCGCGATCGTGGAGCGGGGGGATTGGAGAAGACGGGGTGACCTCCGTGTCCCTGATAGCTGTGGGGTTGCAACGTCATATTTCGGGCTATTTTTAGCTAAGATCGGCATGGGTTTATGGGGATTTTTGGCACAAGAGAAGCTTGTACGAGCCAATTCATCCGGTGTTTACTTCGCATATCGGTACGTAAATTCAGCGGCTATAAAATTGACACTGGGGGGAAGGGGGTATAGAACACGTCCAAAGAAATCGCTGAAAGCAAAGGAATCGAAGCAGTCACTCTTCCTTCGCAAGTGTTGGCCCTCCGCTTGAGACAACAGAATTGTACGCGTCATTTCCCGTATTTTCAGAGCTGTTATCATCGACTGTCATGCGCGGGCCAGTGAACCAGTGTCGTGCAAACAAGAAATAGTAAACCATGCACCCAACCCAAACAAATCCATTTATCACAATTGTGTAATTCATATCCGCCGCTGCGACAAGAATTAATCAAAGTGCTAGATATTGATGGCTGCGCATATGGAAAAGACTTACGTGAAGGATTGGGACCACCGTTTGGAAACATGGAAAGCACAACACCGAATAAGAGGTAGCCAACTGCAATCCACGCAATAGGCTTGCTTAGCCGACCGGTGTAAAACTCGCCTGGATAAAACCGCTCTTGGCCCCAGACAAGACGACAGAAGATTGGAGTTCCCCACGATAAGTAATTGCTTGCGACGAAGAGGGAGAATAAGGCGTTTGTTGCGGCATTGTTGATCAGGCATAGAAGGCCCAGGATGAGGCACATCACTCCCAATCCACAAATAATTCGTACGGGCTGGTACTGAATGCGTTTGCTGATGTGGCGAAAGAAGGTCGAAAATGGCAGGGCGCCATCTCGTGAGAATGCCCATGCCTGGCGAGAAGCAGCGACAATCTAGTTTGTTAGCATGGCCAAAAAGAATAATGTTGGGGATAGTAGATTTACCAAGCTGAGTCCAATGAGGAATTGGATCAAACAGAGTACAATCATGAAGCCCAAGGCGCCATTCCTGCCCAGAGCATCGTAGTAGATCTGGAAGTTGAATTAGCAAACAGCATGCTATCAAAGAAAAGGGTGATGGATCACCTGTGCCATTGGTTGTCCAAACTTCGAGTTTAATGTATTGCTCACATTCGGATCCATTGTCGCAGCCATGACAGACAATGTGAGAAAGCCAAGTACACATGCAGAGCCGGCCGACCAAATTATCCCCAGAGGCACGGCTTTGGCTGCATGCATCGCCTCTTCGCTCATATGCACACATGAATCAAAGGAAGCGATAGACCAGATGGGCGCAAGCCATGCAAGCATGAAAGCCCACCCGGTAGGCCATCCGGTCTCATTGTCAACGTGTTGAAAAACATAGCTTCCGGGATTCAGCGCCTCGCCACGTGTGACCTTGCCAACCGGTAGAGCAATCACGGTCGCGATGACGAGTGAGATGTTGATATAAATGCAAGCAGTCTGGATCTTGGGCATCACGCGACCAGATAGCGCAGCGCAGATCCCATGCAACAGAATCAGACCCACGTAGACAGCGTAAATCACGCCTCGCGACGCGGACCATCCATCATCGCGGGATATGGAGATGCAGGAAAGTATCATGAGCGCAAGTGTATAATCCACCGAACAGATTCCACCGATGAGTCCGAGCGTGTTGCTGTAACCGATCAAAAAGCTCAGCGGGTTCTTGTATTTCCCGCCCGCAAAATAATGGGTCCACCAGTATAGACCTCCAGCGGTTGGCATCGCAGATGCAAGATCAGCCTGGACAAGGGTCAGTCAGGAGAGTTATAACATGGATTTGGGCGAATACTAGGAAGGCCGTACCATTGCCAGTCCAACCAGAAGAATGAAAATACTTGCTGTGAACCACCCCCAAACCATACCGACAGGTCCTGCTGGTAGCGAAAATGCCAAGGTTGATGCGATTGAAGGAACCAATCCCATTATACTAAACGCGACCGCAAATACCTGCGGTGTCGAGTATTGCCTCTTGAGTTCCTGTTTGTAGCCCATTTTGGCTGAGCGCGTGCCCGTTAGCTTGCAATTCACGCATATTGGCATATTGACGCGTTTGTGAAAACTCACCCAGGAGTTGCGAATCCCCGGAGTCCGATAGACCCCGTGTCCCGGACAATCCCATGGCCTCCATGTCCCTCATCTCAGTCTTCGAAGACATGGCAAGACGACTTGAAAGAGACCGAGAAGCAACCACTCCGGCAACATGGCGGGGAAGCTTTTTAAGAGCCTTAGAGTTGCACGCGGGTAACACAAGGCTCTAGCCTGGCCTGGGCGTGCATGTAGGGGTCTGCCAGGGCTAGAAAGATTGGTGGATCTGCAATCGATGGCAGATGGATCACTTCACTTAATCCTATACCGGAAAGTGAGTAGAATATCACGATTGGTTTCTTCAGCAGCAGGCGTTTGTAAGGCGTTTGTTGATTTTCCGTTTTCGTGAAGGTAACACTGTCTGATAAGCTTACTGTGCAGTTGTGGCTGCTATGCAGCTGTGCAGGCGGCTTGAGGATACTCATTCTTGAGTCTTCGACCCTTGCATCGCCAATCGATGCTGCGTTGATTGGTAGGGCCCTTCAAGTTAGTCCGAGTAAGCAGCTGAGTTCCACCCCTTTTTTATCGCGTTCGTTAGCCAGAAGATCTGTGGAACGGTAGATTCGAATATTCCACCATTTTTAGTACGGAGTATATGTGCTTCATAATACATATGCAATTTTATTATTTAGCAAATCGCAAGATGATCCCTAAGTACTTCCGTTAGGGGTGAATTTAACTGAATCGTGGTCCTTCCAACTGGCCCCGCAGCTGACTCGGTCGCCCGGCTGATCTGCAGCTAGAATGGATGCATTTTGCTCTGGCAATGACTATCGAAATCGCTACTGGCAAAAAATGCAGACTACTAGTACAGACGAATAGATTAGGGCTTTCACCGAGAGAGGGGGAAATCCTTATTTCTTGACCCGCTTTCGCCAGGCTACGTGTCAGTACCCTTCAAATCATTGGCCTACCCCCCCCCCCCTCCCGGGAAGAATTAACCTTGAAAATCAATGATTAATTGCTTTGTCCTGCATGGATGTTGGTACATGGAAAATCGAAAAAAATCAAATCAAAAAATACACTCAAGTAGTATTATACTGCCATTATGTTATATAGATAAAGCTCATTATTCCACGTACACCTGACGATCCACGCTCAAAATTCCAAGATATAGTGAACTACCATCCAAAATATCTATAATGGATAGTCTGAATAGTAGTAGCAAGGGATGAAGAAATACTAGTCAGTCAAATCCTACAACACTTGCAGGATTTGCAATGGTTCGCCCTAAGGATGAATATTTCATGCTTGAGTTATATCTCAAACCTGCTCCTCGGGAGACACCTGCTGCTGAACAGGCACCTGTTGCCTTGTCTCACCCTCTGGATGATGGTGCAGGCCATCAGTGACAGTGTGCTCCGACGCAGCCGAAGACTCGGTCTTGCCGGCCTTGACTTCCCATTCATTGTAGTCTTGGCCGGGATTTAGTATTTTCCCAACGGACGAGGCAGAGGAGATGGTAGAATGCAGAGGCAAGGAGTGAGCCTAGGAGAGGTCCAACCCAGTAAATCCAATGATATCCGGGGAAGCTGCGGTTGATCACATCGGGGCCTAACGAGCGTGCTGGATTCAGAGAACCGCCGGTATAGTAGTCACCTAGGGATCGATTGACGTTAGTTAACAACTATGGGGTCTAATTTCGAGTAAGGCATACCGATCAATTCTGCGACGAAGAATGTGAGACCAATACCGACGGGAGCAAGATAGGTAGACTTGTGCTTGACCACTGCCAACATAATAATGACCAAGACCAATTGGGCAGTGAGAAACATCTCGATGAAAAGACCCTGTGAGATCGAAGCACCGCCACCCAATCTGGTGGCACAATTCAAGGGGCCTGGGAACAGAGCGCTAACAACACCTGCCGCGGCAATACCACCAACTAACTGTGCAGGGAACACAAACAGACCACGCATCGGAGGTAGTCCACCAGTGATACAAAGAGCTAGCGTCACCTTGTTGAAATTAGCATTCCGAAAAATTCAAATAGGCGTTGCGTTTCGTACCGCTGGGTTGAAGAGACCGCCAGTCACGCGGAAGAATGCCCAAACATTGACAGTCAAGGCGAAACCGAAAGAAAGAGCCGAGTATAGAAGATTCGAAGTATTTGGGTAAGAGCCAGGCGGAGGCATTGGTGTATTAGACACTTGGGTTCCGGCAAACGAGAAGAACAAGAACAAGAATGTGCCGACAAACTCGCCCATTACACAAAGCAGGTTATACCGCAGTCTATCAGGCATTTGCAACATGGGAAGCTGGCCACGACCACCGGGCCCCGGCGGGCCGGCCAGAGTAGAAGCTCCAGATGGCGCACGTTTGTGGAAGATCATGGCGAGGCTGGGCATTCAATTAATTGTTTGAATCGATCCAGATGGTGAATTCAAGAGACTTGAAGGTATTAAATCGTCGAAAAGTCCAGGCGACCGATTACATGCCAATCGTCCCTGTGACGAGATATTTATCCAACAAGGACAGGCCATCTCAGACGTCACTATAGTAAGCTCACCAGAGGTATTCTTGGTCCATTCATCATCGACCGGATCTTGGCGCGGAGTGTGAGCGAGCTCGTCGCTAAGCACTGTAGTGATAGCTAGGGCAGGCTTGCTGGCCCGGGCATTTTTACCCGGCTTAGAAAGGCGCACTTTTAAGCATTTGAGATAGCACTCCAGGCGATAAACAGTGGTGAGGTCAATATTCTAATGTGTACCATGTTTATGGGGTGTCAAGCCAAGCCATATGCCAAAACGGGTGCTTCCGAGTGTCCGCAAACGGATGTTCCGGCATTGTCTAGAACGCAATCTGACACTCTGAATGGGGTTCCACACAAATATCGACTCTTTAAAAATTGGTAACCACTTTGATTGGACAATAGGTAAAACATCAGATCCTACCCCACAAACCCCCATCATCTAGAGTGCAGTTTCTGGAGGCTGTTACATTTGAAGGTTAATTTAACGAGATGTAGAGTTCAGCTACGCTCTGAAACTTTCGTTCTCAGAGATCAATTTGGAATTGACGGGCAGGTGAAATGCTGACTGGTATCTCATTGTTGGAATGTGTCCCTCCAGAGGGTACGCAGCATTATCTAGTCCGGTGATATTGGTCAGTGTCTTTATCACGTTTTATTTGTAACAATTGGATGCGAATACTTAATTCCTCAAATTTAACGGATTCTAAATATAAATCTCTGGGATATGGCTTGAATGGCAGCTGAAAATCCAGAAACACCAATGTGGTTCGAATCTGGTCAGCAGGTGGCGATTAAAAGTTAACGTCCCATATTTTGCCCACTTGGCATGATTCAAGCTCTGGAATTGTATGAATCATCGTCAATGTGCATTACATGACTTGCGCTATCAACAGACGATCGGATTCTGGGGGTCTTAGCTCATCCCCGATAAGAAATTTCCTCGTCATTCGTGTATTTCTTATTGTTCGTCGGACGACTAGTTACATATTGCAAATCCTTGCCAAATCAATATGCAGCCGCCTTATTTATGCAAACCATCTATCTCATTTCACGGGGGTAAGATTGGGGTAATAATTGTTACCACTTCCGAGGGCATAGTCCTATGCTTTGCTGTCGACCAGAGAGGTTGTTCAGAGGCCATGAAATTCGAATAGTCAGTGCTAAATTTCACACCACACACCATATTGTTAAACAGTGGAAGGATATATAACTGTTCTGCAAGTTGATAAGTACTCTTCTCTCGTATGAAGCCAAACATAGAGATCTCGGTGATGCTTGTAACATATGCGAACTCTGATTATGCCCCGCTGCATTATGCGGTGATTATTCATAAAGGTTGCAGGTGCGACAGCTTGGCCAGTTCATGTTTAGGATATTTTGATTGGAAGACACGGCTGCGTCGGAACTCGAGGGACTTCGGCCACAGTGGGGCCGAACGGTTCCTAGGCGTTCTCGTGTGGGCTGATTCGGTCGGGATTGGCGACCGGGGCGTGACCAAACTTGAAAAATAACATCGGTGAATTAGCAGGGTTAAACGACGTGGCGGCATAGAATCTGGGACGAACTGCGCAGGCCCCGATCATTTGTAGTAGCCAATGGAGTCATGTTTTACTTCAAACTTTGTGGCTCTCATTGGCGGGAGCTTGCTATCTGTTGAGGGCGATCGGCGATTTAAAGCTATTACAGAGCTTGCAATAGGAAGGCCCCGCTCTGTCATATCATTCTTAAATATTGGATAAATTCTCTCTGAAGAAAGATGTGTCGTTAGGCGTAGGCGCGTCCCGGGCATCCTGAAACTGGAACTATCGCCGAGAAAACTCCAGTCGGCGTAATACAAACACGCCAGGGTCAAACAATTTGATTTCAATAGTGAATAGGGCAGCCACTCAGATGTCGGGGTTTGGTCAACCTCCGCGGAGATGCGGGATAATCCGTTACCGTCCCGTTTTAACCGCAGGTACCGACCAGGTACACCATCTCGATATTTCTAGATTTTTTATTCCGGCCGAGGGCGGGTCATGGGCTTGCGAGCTTGAATGGAGTCATAATTTGACGATTGGAATAAATACTTGATTCTTTTCCGGCCCACAACAAGAAAATTTCATGCCCATATACTTTGATCACACTGGCAGCAGTACATAGACCGTTGTATTCAAGATCTATACCGCATTTCACCTCGATTACCTCAATTATCTCACATCAAACAACGCACACTCTTCACCATGGGTTCCATTTCAGGTTTGCGACCAGACCAAATGCAACTCATCAAGGCGACAGTCCCTGTCCTGGTCGAGCATGGCAAGACCATCACCACTGTCTTTTACAAGAACATGTTGGACGCCCACCCCGAGCTGAAAAATGTTTTCAACATGCCCAACCAGACCAACGGCCATCAACCTCGTGCTCTAGCAGGTGCCCTATTTGCCTATGCCTCTAATATCGACAACTTGGCCGCATTGGGTCCTGCCGTGGAGCTCATTTGCAACAAACACGCGTCTCTCTACATCAAGCCCGAGGACTACCAAATTGTCGGAAAATACCTGATCGAGGCCATGGGCGAAGTTCTTGGAAACGCACTCACTCCCGAGATCAAGGACGCCTGGGCCGCTGCTTACTGGCAATTGGCAGATATCATGATCGGCCGCGAGAAGCAGATCTACCAGCAAAACGAAGGATGGACAGACTGGCGCGACTTCAATATTGTCGACAAGGTCAAGGAATCGGAAGAAATAACTTCCTTCTATCTGTCCCCCGTGGACGGCAAGCCATTGCCTGCGTTCCAGCCAGGCCAGTACATTTCGGTCCAGGTCCATATCGATGAGCTGCAACATAATCAGCCTCGCCAGTACTCACTCAGTGACAAACCCTCGCCCAACTATTATCGCATCAGTGTGAAGAAGGATAATGGGTTGAACTCGAGTGAACCTGGTGCTGCAACTCACCCGGGATACGTTTCCAACCTGCTTCACGAGTCTAAAAATAAGGGCGATTTAGTCAAAGTCTCCCATCCTTGTGGAGATTTCTTCTACTCCTCAATCGAAGAAAGCCAGCCTGTCGTCTTGATTTCTGCTGGTGTCGGCCTCACCCCGATGACCTCAATTCTGAACACGTTGATCGCCAAGTCATCAGCCACTGATCGCAAACTCCACTTCATTCACGGCGCTCGGAATTCCAAGGCCCGTGCCTTCCAGGATCACATATCCTCGGTTGTGAAAGAGAATTCGAATATCCAGGCTACTTTCTTCACCAGCCACCCCTCTGCTGACGACAAGCAAGGAGTGGATTATCACCATGCTGGCCGAGTGGATCTGAGAAAGCTCGATGCAAATGATGAATTATTCCTGGACAACTCCCAAACCCAGTATTACGTTTGCGGGCCCGAGGAATTCATGAACGATACGAAGTCTAGTCTTGAGGCTTTAGGTGTGAAATCGGGAAACATCAAGATGGAGCTCTTCGGAACTGGAGGCTTGTAATTTCGGGTGTACAGCTGTTATAGAGGAAATTTGTCACTTGGCGGGAGTTCATACATACCATCTCATCTCTTTTTATTGCATGATTGAATGAAGCAAAGAGGCGCACATTCTTTATTCCCATTTTTCGCCGTAGACACAACTTGGATTTCGTATACTAGTACATACTAGTAGATATGTCCGTATTGCTAGTAACCGCCCGAGTCTATATATACCGACCACAAATAAATGTACTTAGCAAGGGTAATTGGGTGACTTTCATCTCATTGCCCAGGTGGATGCCAGTGTAACCAGCAGACCTTTACGTTTTAGCCTCCAACCTTGGAAGGTTCAAGTTTAATCTAGTTCTTCCTAGTATCCCAACAACCAATAATACTCCTCAATACTTCTTTCTCTCCCTCCTCAATGGGGCGAAGATCCGACTCCAGATTCATTTCCCGCGTTGCCAAGATCTAATCTTTCGTTATACGACATTCACGAGAATATGTAACCCTTGCGGCTATTTTAAGCTCCTAACCGAGTCCTGACCCCCGCCAAGTCTCGTATTGTGGGGTGATCGGCACCCAGTTCAGGGCCTCTCTCGTATAATCTTGGGGCACGAGCATGAGATGTTTGTGATGATGGAAATTTTTTTAAAAATCCATGGATTAAGGGTATTTTTCGTATCCTGCCCAAAAATTTATCCGTTGCGTCGTTATCTTACACACTGGCATATAAATTCCCTTGTTCCCAATCTTCTTCCTCTTCTCGACAACTAGCTCGGATTTTATTTTGCTTCAGGGACAGTACCAAATCATGCAGTATTCAGCGGTCTGCCGCTTTGCGCTTGCTTTCTTTGCAATATCCGTGCCTCCTGTTAGCGGTGCCGACTCTCGTTCCTGCACAGGAAGCAAAAGCTTAGACGCTGGAGATTTTACTCTCAAAGAATCAGCCGACAACACCCATCTATCTGCTCTTGCAAAGCATTTTGAGGGCACGGGAAAGAATGTCAGCGTCACGGCTGTCTTCGAATCGGCAAATAGAGTCCTGAACAAGGGGTCACCTTCGGTTGGAACCGGATCCCCATCAGAAGCATGGGCATGGAATTCGGGCGATTACAAGACTACCAAATGGGTACCACAAGGAATCACCAGTTCTGCAGATGCTCTTGGAACTGGAAAGTGGAATGACCACGAAGCCTGGATTGTTAGCTGGCATCGTGACGATGGTGATAGTGTTCGACTCAGCTTCGTGGATCGTAAGACGCACGAATATCGCCATGTTCTCCTGGTTTACCCCACAGCGGATGACGACTTCAAGGAGATCGCTATCCATGCCGGTGGTATTGTGTGGTACGGTGATGTTCTCTTCGTTGTGGACACCAATATTGGTATTCGGGCTTTTGACCTCAACAACATCTGGGAGGTTGACATTGCGGATCCTGTTGGCAAGAACGGCGACGGTTTCTCTGCTGCTGGACACAAATATATTTTGCCTCAAGTCCGGTTAGTATTTTCTAGTACCTAGGTAGAATAGTTCGTGATTCGATTTATACTAACAAAATTCCTAGCTACTACAAATGGGCCCCTGGCGACTCGTCTCCGTTCCGCTTTTCATGGATGTCTCTTGACCGCAGCGACTCTCCCGATACTCTCCTGGTCGGCGAGTTCGTGCGTGATGGTGAAAAATATAAAAATGGCGATGATGTGCCCATCCGACTTGTCAAATACGACCTCGACTCAACCACCCGCCGCCTTCGCACTGATGACAAGGGTATAGCCACTTCAAGCTGGGCTCACTGTGTTAATATCCTCCGCATGCAAGGTGGTGTCTCATATAATGGCAAGTTCTATCTCAGCCGGAGCAATGGTCGAGATCCCAAGGCTGGTGACCTTTTTACCTGGGAAGAGGGAAAGATAGCGCAACAATTTCCTAGTTGGTTCATGGCTGGGAACGAAGACCTTAGCTTCAATTCCGTGCGAAAGGAGTACTACACAGTTACAGAGTACGATGGTGGACGTTACATCCTGTCCTACAAGGCATGAGTAGCTCCAAGCCTGTGACATTCCAAGGTTTATTCTAATGTAATATACATCCATGAGAATATTCTACTGGGCAGGTTAAGTAAATTTGAAAAGAAAGATAGATAACAAAAGTCGATCTTTCGGATGGACGGAGATACTAGCTATTGTCCGATTCTTCGGTTCTTACGACAGCCGACCGAACACCCTATTTATAAGCAACATCAAATCGCGCACCGCCAAGTTCGTGAACACAACCTTGGAACTTTAATCAGCATAGAAAGGCACTGTCAATTGTATAAGAGCCTGTCTAAAAATTGTTATACTGTCAACTTATCCGAAGGGAAAAAAATTTATTCCCAGCAGCGCTGTTAATTAATCGGATTCCGACGTGAATATTTGCGAAATGAGCCCAATCATCGGCGTCTTCCCTGCCTCTGGTGGGCTGGGATCCAGCGTTGTGAATCATCTAAAGACACTCGTGCCTGCTTCGCAATTATTGCTAATCGCCCGCCACCCCGAGAAGCTCGCCACCGTTAGCCGAGAAGGCGCTTCTGTTCGACAGGCCGATTATGATGTCCCATCGTCTTTGACCAATGCATTCGACGGGGTAGATGTCTTGATGCTGATTTCGTATGCATCTTTTGAGGTCCAGCATCGCGTTGATGTAAGTATTCCGGATTTTTGATCTCGAATGAAACGCTTACAAACAGAAAGGTTCACAAACTCGCAATCGATGCGGCTATCAAAAGTGGTGTGAAGCACATCTTCTACTCATCGCTTGGCTTTGCTGGCAATTTAGGCGATGAAAGCGTTGCACATGTCATGGGCGCACACCTCCTGACCGAGCAATACCTCGCAGATCAGAGAGATAAAATCTCCTTTACTTCCATTCGCGAGGGGCTTTACTCAGAGTCATTTCCTATCTATATGGCCTGGTTTGATCCCAAGAGCCCAGCTGCAGAAATCACGATTCCGCATTCAGGAGATGGACCTGGCGTCTCGTGGGTGAAACAAGACGATCTAGGCGAAGCAACTGCTAAGTTGGTCGTTGCATACGCGAAGAGCCCAACGGAATTTAGTTATCTCAACGAGAAAGTTCTCCTTTCGGGCCAAAGGGAAATCTCGCTTGCGGAGACGGCGGAAATTATCGGTCGCGCTCTCGGCAAAAAGCTTCACATCAAAGAGATTTCGGTCGATCAATACGTTGATTTACCCCAGATTGGGGATAAGCACACATACCACGGTATTGATCTCTCTAGAGAGTGGTCCACCGCCTGGCAAGCCATTAGGAATGGAGAGACGGCGGCTGTTTCTCCTGCTCTAAAGGACATTCTAGGCCGGGAGCCTGAAGATTATGAGACAACCATTCAATCTCTGATCGGCAACATCTAGGTCCTTCTATGTCAAATAATGTCTTTGCTAGAGAAAAGGGATTCGGAAGGTTTAAATCCATTATTTGTAACTGGAATCTGGCTAAAAATCGGTATCCCACTTGGTTTCTTATTAAGTCACTTTCTATGTTACACATAGTGCTGCACTGGCTTATTCCTTGAACTCCTTGACCCAAAGGTTGGCGCCCGCATATTCTGCGTTGTGAGCACCGTACCAGAAGATCTCCTTGGCCCTGTTTTCTCCGTAGCCATCAATAGCGAACCAAGCGTCGCCCTTGTGGGAGAAGTAGCCCTTGGCAGTTTGGTCGAAGCCGATAGTGGTGGCGTCCTTGGGTGTAGCACCGGAATGAGGACGAGTGAGGCCGACTTCTGAGACAGACTTTTCCACGATGTAGAGGTTCTGGAAAGCAGTTGGGACACCATTTTGTGAGGTGAATGAGACGGCACCGTTAGCACCGCTGCGAACTGCAATAGAGTTAGATGAGAGTCGGAACGCTATCAGGCCATTTGGGAACTTACGAATGGCGATTTCGTGAGTGGTGGTGTTGGCTCCGATCCAAAGGTGCTCTGTAGTATGGATTAACTCATGTACATTTGCCGAATAGAGACTATTATTGACTTACCACCGTCGGTGAGGACGGTCTTGCCGCCGTCAGCGACGAGGGTGAAGGCAGCAGGAAGCTTAGCAGCAGCAACGGCGCTGGCAAAGCCGGCGATGGCAGCAAGGGAGAACTTCATTTTGAATTTGGTTTGGATAGTGATGGAGTCAGTCAATGTTGAGGGCTACGGGCCTTTATACATCATCTCTCAGGTGGTTGTTGTAATCGCTCAGTTGAGCCGGTTAAAGCTGGTGAGACACTACTAACCCCAATTACCAACAAAAATTGGGGATTTTACTAGTTACTTCTGATCGGGATAATTAGTGACTAACGACTATAGTGGGGGTAAACCTGTTTGAGGGACGATCATCCGGGAGAATTGAAACATGTCTTTCATCACCTCAGGGCCAGGCAAGTTAATTTTCACCGACTTTCGCAGAGCATCCTTTTGACGATTTTCTCATTAATGAAGAGAGGTTTCCAGTGTCTCTAAAGTCGGATTTACCTAGTGAATGGAACTTTTGTCGATTACCCCTTTTCGCTTTACTGAAAACTGAACGCCGACCCTGAGCTGACTACATTTAAGGGGCCATTCTACTCGTAGTATCCGCTGCGGGGAGATGGCTTGTTAAGGTATCATTCACTGCCGATCTTCTATGATCGCCGGGATTTGCTCCGAGGTATTCCCCATGACGTTTTTCCTGCTATTCTTATCGAATAATGGCTGGGCAATCGAAATTTTGGGAGTGCATGTACAATTGACTTTCCATCACCCAATGATTTTGCTCTTCTCTTCATAAGTAATGTGTGGTTCTGTTGACCAAGATACAGTTCTTGAGTACATAGCAGCCAAGGTGGCTGTGCTAAGCACCCGGTATTCTAATTGCATAGAGAATGTACAGCATTCTTCAGGTCTCGGAAAGACCGGAAAGTTGGTATGAGGACCAAGACTCGGTCTTGGGAAACTTCTTTGTTTTATCGGTTTAACTGCTGAATGTCCACTGTGCTATTCTTTCAAATATTGCGCCGAGATGGATGTGCAGTAGAAAAGTCATCATTAGTCCAAACTATTTAACCATACTTATCAGGTAATCTAAAAATGAGACGTAGCGTTTAGATCGGGGCGGGGCCATTTTAGTCTCATTTTCGTCATTGATGGCTGATTCTGACCGCGGGTACAAAGGACGCAACGCTTGTACCACGCAATTGGCACATGTTACTTGGATTCCTGCATAATGCTTGTACCTGCCCAACAAGACAATTTTCGTGAATTATTACTATTGCGTATCAGAATACTCACTCAGGCAACAATGATATACTCTACTAGTAGCTACTAGGTACCTAGGCAATGGACAGACAATGCCTAGGTGTACTTCAAGTTTGATTGATATCTAGCCTAGCTGGCAAGACACAATGGTAACTTTAAATGCAGCCCTGGAGGGGTGTCGATCGCAGCGATAAAACACCAGCAGCTAGTCGAGTGTAGCGCTTACAAAGAAATGGAACCTTGGCTACCGAACAAAAAGAGAAGAAAAACATCATGGCCAGGCGGGATACCGCCTGTGCCAACAAAGCCGGAGCAGGATACTAATGACTCCTCTCGAACGCATGCCTCTCTGCCCGATCCAGCAGCCCCTATAGCTCGCCCGGACTCAGATACATTCCTCTCTCATAAATCATACTCAGAATCTACCAACTAGTAGTCTAAAGATAGATTTCTTTGTAGCAATCGATGATACCGCCTCCCCGTCATAAGCATCAACAGAGAGCGCCCCCGCGGCACCCAACAGATTATAATAGCGAGGGATCTAACGGTTTTTAAGCCAGCAACTCGCCCTATATTCTGCCGAGGCGATGCCTCGGGCAGCTCTAGATCGCCTTGTCAGCCTACCTCCTTTGTCATCCTCAATCTACACCTTTCATCGGTTCCTTCCTTCGTCATCATATTTCAGAGACAATATATCAGGGCACTGAGGGTGTCTTTATTTCTGTATCAGGGCACGCTGGCGAGAGAATGGGTGCTTGGGTGATTGCACGGGGGGACGGGTTTGTTTGGGTTGAGGCCATGAAAGAAAGAAAGGGTTGGTAGCGTCGAGAGGAGTTCTTATGAAGATTTAATGGATGGTCTCGGGAGTACAATCTTTGGTTGATATTTCAAAGGCTGCTCTTTGGTTTTCTTTATCAGGTGTCCTTGGGGCTTTTTTTTACTCGGCTCAACCGCTTTCTTTGATTCTTGGATTTTCTGCAGATGAATGAAGGCGTTCTCAAGAATGAAAGGCACGAATATGGACGGTCGTGATTTATTCGTGACTCTTTTTGCTCTGCCACTTATACACTTTGCATTTAAATCCGAGGTAATCATTATCCCAGATCAGAATGCCCACCACTCGCCTACAACGCCACTACGTTTAAATTATCGACGACTAAGGTACCATGCCCCGCTACTCTTTTTCTAACAATGCTGATACTGCGAGCCCCCATCAGGGAAAAAGGCAAGAAACGAGGTCCAATTTCACCCCATGCTTCTCTTTCAGCCCTTCTCAGCCGTGGGGCCAGTTTTGATTTCCCTGGAACTTCTGGGCAAGTAAGACCTGAAAGGGTGGTATGGGAGCCGCGTGGGGTTCCTATCACGGACCCATCTCAGTAACCCGAAGGATGGAGTGCGGATGAGCCGGATCTCAGCTCAGAGTAAGACCAAGAGTACATTCCTTTTTTCTTCGCTAAAGTTTCTGGAAGTAATATCGAAGGCCAAATTAAGAGAGCTGAAGAAGGTATTTCTGTGGGTATCATGCCTCAATTGTTCGAAAGCAGGTTGAAAACTTTTTCTGATATCAGGCACCAACAAATGTAAGATATTACGGAACCTAGATTAATATTCTTTTCTTTACATTTTCATTTCCCGCACTAACGCCGATGGGTATTTTCCTTTTCTGTAGGAACATGGTCAAATCCGAACCTCATGGACTTACTTGGGAAGTTGTCCAGCGCCTTAGTTGCTTGAAACAATTAGAAGAAAGCCTTGGAAAGGAAGACAATGACAATAATCATTCCAACGTTAAATCTATTATAGCTGCATATCGCTCCAAAAACCTACACTGGAATGAAAATGCAGTCACTTATTGGTCATATGGTCAATTGATTGCTGGTCCTAAGAAGTTAGATATTCAGGAACTCTATGCTCTTAGCGCAAAGTATGGTCCAAAGGGATTTTGGGTAGAGGGTGTAAGTTTCAGTCTGAAACAACTCACAGACAAGTATCCCTGCAGTACTGATCCGAATATTTAGATAGATGGATTTAGGCCGGGCCATTTATACGTGTTTCTTACCTTAAACTCGCGCCACAATAGATTTGCGCTCCAAACGGTATTTCTCACGAAATCAATTCTAAGTTTACAAGTATTAGTTGACATGAATAGGTTCATATAACCATTCGAAAGCCAGCTACCCAGGCAACAAGTACAATGGCGACTACGCTCAACTTAGACTTTCTTGAGGATAGTGGTTCTTCAACAATGCGAATCGTTGATGATGACAAAAATCAACTTGAAACACTATCGGGTGGGACTCTACCAATTCTCGGAAAAGCAATCAAACAAACTGCCATGGGTCAGATTTAGGTACAGAATGTGATGCTTCAAGTAAACATATTCCATGATGGTCGGAAATTACTAGCATTTTGGATTGACGTTGTCGCTTCTGTAACTCGAAGAACCAATGCATCAGAAGATCGCTTGTCCGGTTCATGGATCCAGCATCTGCTGTTTGTTCTGTCAATGCCCGACAACACACAAAGAAAGCATATTGGCACCGATATCGGTGAGATCTTGACCAGTATGCCTATTCCAGACTACAAAAATGCTGCTCCGCCGCCTTTCTTTTGAAGTACTGGATGTTGGATATACTTATACCGCTATCCGACTAGGGTGGTGAAGCCTATAGCTATTCATGAAAGATGTGGTCGCTTGATGAAAATATCATTTCATTCCTCGGTTTGAGATTGCGTTTAATAATACTATGGTTGCCCAGGTGATTGCTAGTAAATGGATTTGGTTTCAAACATGTTTATCTAAATTTTCGCTTGTCGGCCTCCTTCATTGGTTCCAAGATTGTATTTATATGTTATTGCCTTAGTCCTCGAAGTATGAACCTATGCTAGTAGTCATCCCGAAAGGAGTTGAAAGAGGCCTACTAGTAATTGCGATACCCAGAAGCCTCCTCATTCCAAGTTGAAGGTTATCTTATTTATACAAGTAAAAGAAAAATGTTCCCGGTGCAGACTTCGCATCCATCGCTCCCAAAAGCAATGTGTCATTGACGTATTTGAAATAGTCAATGATGGGTTTATCATCATAGATCATGGCTGTCGTAATCCCATCACGGTATTGCATAGGACGAAGCTTTGGGGGGGTACAGCGTCAGCTTATATTCGCCGAGGACTAGCACGCAACATAATCCTCAAGAATTACTTACCCTGGCGTGACCCCAGTCCTCATTCCAAGCACGAGAACCATCTTCCTTGTATACCATAATGGGGTCAACATCTTCAGTAGATCGGAAGTCTTTACCAGCCCATTTCAGGGCCTCCATCTTTCCCTCGGTCGGGTGGTTGGTGTTAACGCTGCCGCCTTTCCAGGCGCCTGTGAAATGGTCGGGGCCGATAGGCTTGAGTTCGTCAAAAAGCTCCCAGACTTCATCGTCAGTGAGGTTTTGGCGCTTGATCAAGTCTTCGACTTGTTTTTCTGGTGTACTTTGTTTACTATTGTCAGTTGTCATCCTGTAAAAGGTATTGCCTAACACTGCAGTAGCAACGCAGTACTTACAGAGACATATTAACAGTCGATTCAAGTTGGGATAGGAAATCGTGGTTCGAATGATGGGGCCACCCCCTGACTGGAGCCTTATTATTTATAACCGAAATATTCGCACGTATTGTGTAGCTGACTCTGTCTGCGTCACTGGGCTCCAGTCTCCAGTCTAGCGCATGAATCGTCGTCGCGGATGATATCGATCGGCCCCTCCATCTCAACTCTCTGTTGCTCCATTCGCTTGGGCAAGAACGGTGGGGCTAATGCGCGTGGATCAAAGCGATCTTGCCCATTCAATGGGCAACATATGTACTCCATAGCGGATGACCAGTTGCCCCAACGAGGGGTATAGGTGGCAAAGCTGGGCTGACCATGGACCCTGATGCAGTTTCACAGTCAGAAATCCACTACTCGCATGTTGAGGACGGCAATACCTGCGATGAAATTGGAACCCGGCATCATGACGTATGTAGCTTGAGAGGGGATATGGGAGGAGTACACAACAGCGCTGATGTGTGTGCATGTACTCGTACCAGAATCAGAGGCAAAGGATCCACTAGGGCTGCCCCTCGACCCGATGCTTGGAACGAGATCTTCGCTCGAGATCGCCGACGATCGAAAAAGTAAAATTTGAGTGGCTGGGATCGGCTCGTGAGCCTCTTCGAGTAGGCCGAGAATGCATTGGAAATTGAAAGAAGTCTCCTGGTGGACGAGTAAAAGAGCTCAAATTGATCTCCACTTCGCAAAATGCCGCCCGAGCCTCGTGCCCGCATACCCTGCAAACCCATATTCTGTTATCGACTCCGTATTGTTGCACGAAGTGCGTCACAAATCGTGACAATGGTGTTTAGAGCCACTTCTCCCACCGCTTCTATGACGAAGTTGCTATATCTTTCTGTACTTTCCTTTTTTTCTCATAAATCCAACTTGTACACACCAACACATCAACAAGCTCGCGTAGCTCAGTTGGTAGAGCGCGGCACTAGTAATGCCGAGGTCTTCAGTTCAAATCTGGACGTGAGCAATGTCTTTTTGATGTCGATCCAATGCATGTTGCGCTAGAACCAATTCCTTGCTTGGTTTTTTTTTTTTCTTTAAATGACTGACCACAACCAACGGTCCAAAAATTCTGCCAGCCAGAGATAGAAGTTCCTCTTCATGCAGGATTGATGATTAACCCTGTGGCTGAACTAGAGGAATTACGCCTGGGCAAAGAGGCATGAGCCGCAATGATTCCGCAATCATGCCTCACAGCCTTGGACCTTGGAATATTGCGGAATTCACTGCGTAAGTAAATTTCAAGTATGTGTTGCCTTCACTCGAGATAAATTCAATGCGAGTTACCCGAATCCTTTGCTGGACTTTCGACATCATGTCGGACTCGACCCCACAAAAAATGAAAGAGAAAAAGAGGCCGAGCCGATGTCTCTCAACAGGGTGGTTCAGACTTTATCCCTCCATATTAGATATTCAGTTATATTGCATTCTGTGTCCACATTGTCGTTATATACCGACGTAGATCCCGTAACCGGAACCCGAAATCCGGGGAAGCTTGAGACCGGCAGATCAGATCCAGTTCAGATCCGTGGATGCTGTCATCTGGCGATGCTAGCGTTAGTATTGTATCCACGCCGGGCCAGCGGGCTGCCATGTCGACTGATAGCAGACTGATGCGGGAGACTACAGTCGATTGACTATGATATGTCACCGAAAAAGGGGGGATAACGGTCAGCTTGCAGCAGGCTAACAGAGTGGCTTGGGCCCACTCGGCTCGGTATCGAAATCGGCTGCTCAAGACCGAGATCTGGATTTCCTGCACTTCGGGCGCTGCTGTCGATGGTGCCAGGAACAGGTGTTGAAGAATCTAAAATGGAGATAGGCAGGAATTGAAAGCCACATACGCAGTGCCAATATATTCAAGGCGCCGGCACGGCAGGTTTCCACAGGTACCAGCAGCCGGAACTTATTTTGGCAGGCATATCGTCCCGCTGTTCATGAAAACATAAAAAGAATGGGCAGATCAGGAGATGACCGTATGGCGGAGAATTTAACGCACGGAACCGTTCACCGAGAATGGATCTTGGGGATGTTCCGTTTCAATTTCGTGGGCATGGAAGTGTAGGCTAAGAGTCACGAGGCTGGCCTTGTCGCAGAATACATAGCAAAGTTCGGCGGCTCCCGGGTTGCGGGCGAGGAAGGACTCGATCCGAGTCACCCCATGGCCCAAAGCGGCAACTGACAGGAGAGTTTGTGATATGTGTAGGTCAGCGGGAATTATGTGGACTTGGAATGGGCAGTGGCCAGTCGTACTCGGTCCACTCCTATGGGTGCGGGACGGAAGTTGTGCATTGCATTTGTTTCGGTTTCACGGGGGCGTGGTGCATGGAGTCTGGATCATGATTGACATCGCAGACACTGCAAGTACGCTGCAGTCTGCAGACATCCCAGTCAATCGAGACGGGCGACGACACATGGAGTTGACACGTCGGAAGAATTCGTACGAGTGGAGAGGGGACGAGGTTGCGACTGTTCCATTCAGAGGATACATATGCCACTGTTTTTGGATGCATTATGTCCTCAATATTATATCTACCGATAGTGGCAACTACTCCGTTGGGGTAATAGTTACATATTGGCTTTTGTGACTATTAAGCCCTGATCATGCGGCTGATCGAGAATTCTTTGCCCAGGATAGAGCACATCACAAACATGACGTGCTAAATAGGAGTTTTATTCTGGATTTTATATGGCTGCAGCTGAGCTGTACGAATACCTCATCCAGGTCCTGTTTACCCTGACGGGTCGCAAAGCAGGGATTTATCTTGGTCCTGCAAGCATGCAGAGTGACCAGGAAATGAATTTTTCCGCTCAAGCCGAGCCTTTAGGGCAAACAAAAAGAGTCAATCAGGAGTCCGCGTTATTACTTAGTAAGAGATACCTTGTATACACTAACCGCTTGCACCGGAAATAAAGTACGAAGTACTTTCGGCCTACTATATAAAGCAATAATTGCTAGCCTTTTCGGCTCCGAGTCTCGGCCGGCGTCACTTGGCAACTCCAACTGACTGGATCGACATCCGCTGGGTCTCCACCGCTGACATTCGCCCCGGCCCTGGCAGGCCTCGTCTTCAACGGTTTCACCCTTTTCTCTTGCTTGGGGCCCATCAGAAAGGGCTAACGGCTGCATTCGGAGCCGGCCGTATTAGCTTGAGGTAACTATAATTTATATTAGTAGTTAGTAGTAAGTATGCTAAGGTGATCTCGGCTCGCCTGCACCGGGGCGCAATAGCTTTTCGCGCCCGGAGACGACGCCGTTTGTGGCACCAGGGTCTTTTGCTCGTTTTGGCCTGGCGTCTTCCCTGACATCACAAGTAGATCTCGGCTCCTAGCTTCGGCCATTCGACCGTGAAGCAGTCGTAATCCTTTCCGGATCTGCCCCATCCCCCCTGGCCCATTTTTGACGAAGATCTTTCGGGTAGGTATATAACTGCTGCTGCGGCCGATTGGAACCTAAATTTGTTCCACGGTAACATCTGTTTCGATCGATTCATTATTACTTTATAACCTTTCGATCCCACCACCTTTCTTTCAACTTGCCTCGTCATTGATATTTCGATATCTTCTGATACCTCACTCGACTCCACTTACCGCTGATCAACACAAGCATCCTCTCAATGTGTATCCCTCCCATCTCCACGATGGCCGCTTTTAGTCGACCAAATCCAATGTCGACTTTAACGGCGGAAGATGAGCGATATCTCAATCAACAGCTTAGTCCACAGACGCGTCCGATGGAAATGTTCCCTGGCACCAAGGGAACTGACCCTTTGCCCGTCAACTGGACCTACGACAGTGCCATCGATCTGTTTTCTGTCAATCCAGCCGATATGGATCCTGTTTCATTCGACTTTTCCGAAATGACCAATGCCGACACCAAGGATCTGTTCATGGATCCCTTCGGAACCCCGACCGCGATCAACGGTTTCACGATGCCAGCCGGCGATGAAGCCATCTCCCCTTCTTCGGTATGATATCCACACCCGCAGCTTGATGCATGATCAAATAGGGACAACGCTAACCTGATATAACAGGAGCTTGACAGTGACGATCAATCTTGGTCAACTGGGGCTCGTCAATCGATCGATCTCGCCCTGCCCGAGCCATCCGTCAACCCTAGCAAGCCCGTCACTCGGAATGCTTCACAGACTTCATCATCGAGGTGGTCCTCGAGCCCAGATATCAAGACTGAAGAATACAGCGCCCCTCGCACTCAGAAGCAGCCAACAGCAACAACATCTAGCGGTCGGAAGACTCGCAGTCTTTCCCAAGACTCTAATCACTCAACCAATCAAGACCCTCAGACACGCAATGCTGCCAAGCGCGCTGCTCACAACATCATTGAGAAGCGCTACCGCACAAACATGAATGCCAAGTTCCTCTCGCTGGAAAAGGCCATATCTCCAGCTGGAGTGCATAAGCAGACCTCACGAGCCGGAGCTGGTTCTCTCAAGAAATCCGAGATTCTCACCAACGCACTCACTTATATCGACAACGTTCAGCAGGAGAATCAAGCCTTGCATAAGGAGCTAGCACTTCTGAAACAGAATCTGCTCCCGGGCGGAATATGGCGCCATTCAAAACAGCCTCGCGTGTGATTTGATGCATGAGCGTCACACACGATCACACCACTGGTTGGTGTTGCTCGTTGAGCTTCCTTTTCATGACCGTGACACGAATTGTACATTTAGAATCGGCGAAAATCTGTCGATCAGGCGTTGCTTGGGGTGATATATGGTCTTTGTGACATGGTTGGGATCTGGCGGCGTTTCGGTTGTGATTTTCTTTCTCCTTTACCTCTCCCATCTTTATATGGTCATTCTCGGGTCATGGTGACAACAAAAGTGTTTCTCGTTCGTCTTGATGGGTCGGAAATCTATCCGATAGTTATGTCAAGAATCAATGTAATTGCCAAGACTCGGTTGATTTATCTTTTCATGCTCAATTCCTCTCAATTGTATGCTTGGTGGTGGATGTAGTCGGGTCCACTGCATTGGCTGATGTTGCCCGATCGGGGAAGGGTTGCGCCTGTTGTGTGTCATCGGTACACAGTGTCAGATTGCTTCAAAATATAAAGGTCAGCTGTACTCTCGAATTCATTTTCTGCTAATTAATTTCACGCGTTTGTCTAATATGATGCTTAGTATTTCCGAATGCTGTCTGGATTTTGGATTCTGAATGACCGGAGTTGTGAAGAAGACGAGCTACAGCTCGAAAACGTCCAAATCTTCCACCCAACATGCACTCACCATGAACAATCTCTCGCATTGTCACCTCCGATATTATAATAAATGGCTGAGAGTAGTCTCAATGTTAATGTCGAATTCAAATTTCTGGTACGAAGCGTTTGCCAAAGTGCTCGAGTACCACATCAGCATTCGGGGGCGCTATGCTCGAGACTCAGGACGAGGGATTTTGGGCTCCATCAATGCGACTTTGCTGCTAAATGGACTGACAAGGTCGAATAAATCACCCATGCAAGACTCATTGACTGCTAACATTGCGAGTCAACAGCCGTCTCGGCACGGGTTGCTGATCAGCAGATACGGCCGCTTTTCTTGAAGTCAGAAGGGAAAGCAGAATTTCATGCACGGGCGGAAATCAGCTGCGGCATTTTGATGATGGTGCAAGAAATTGGAATCAATCATTAGCGCTGATGCTCATCCTGCCACGACCACGACCCCTATAGCGGATATCGCTTCAACCTCACCTAACCGAGGCCGGTCTGGCTGTGAATTCCTAAACAGGTTTGGCTTCTGCGCGGTACCTGACTATCATAGAAGCGGCAATACTTCATGAATTTCGAGTGCGCCATTAATGCCCATTGTCGCGTAAAATCTTTGGTTTCTACGAAAACGAAATGAAAGCATGATGGCCGTTTAGCACACTTTCAAACATAAAATCACCCCGCATTTCAACATCCGTCAACCAAGAGTATATCACAACAACACGTATTCATCTGCAATCCCCAGTCTTCATTACCGGACCAAAAAGGGAAAGACAAAGAGATTCCAGCACCGAGCACGGCGATACTGGCCAATGATACGGAGACACAGCTCCCAGCTCTCGGAAATCCCCTCCCGGATCATCAGGTCTGTATAACGGACAATCCCTAAAATTAACTTCCGATCCATTTCGCCTTTCGATCGGCTGCCACGTTCCCGCTTGCGTTCTCGTTGCGCCCGATCATGCGGGAATCATGCCCCCTTCCCCGATATATGACCTTGACCATACTCCATATACCGCGGCCTTGTGCCCAAGCCATCGTTTCGTCTTTCCTTATTCATGAGTCAATTGGTAATGAGGCTTTCAGCCCAAAACTGCCGCTCGGCAGGATTGGCTCTCGGACAAAATGTGGCTTTGAATGTTCCTTGACCCTCCAAGTACGCTTTATACAAGCGAGTGAGGTACTTGTCAAGGGCATCTAGGCATAGTCTAAATCGGTATGCTATATATCGATTCCACAACTAATGAGACGATAAATTTTATCAGGGATCTCAGCCCTACCGGAGTGATAATGCTGATAAGATGTGTTTCATCAACTACAACAGCATTGTCAATGTCCTGGATAGGACGGAAGCCAGCGGACAATTGTCCGCTGGCGATAGCGGCTCTCTTATCATTCCGCATGGACTTGCCGTTTTAAGCTAGTGTTGCCACCCGTCAATTCACGCTTCGATAGCTTACGAAGGTGGATGGCGGATGGCTGCATGACCCTAACATGTAGATATGCTTATTCGTGTCTGCTGGGAAATAGCTACCATATGAACATTCTACAACCACTGGCTGATACCACCACATGAAGTGGATACTAAAGGTAAGTGACACAAGCCGTGGCATAGCCTAAAATGCCGATGTCACATCACCTTCATGGTTCTTCAACAATTAACTTAGCAGTAATGTATACCGATCTACTTATCTCTATTCTATATGTATTCAATTACTACAATTCCAAATGCCGGTCCCATTTCCTCAGAATCTATCCTACATACATATGCTTATCTGTGGAGAGAATGGAGTCATGATAGTATTGATGTGGCTCACTCGAGAAAGTCCTGCCGAGGGCGGTGCCATTTGTGGATCTTTCACGGTTCCGCCCCCGCAAAAAAAAAAAACGAAAGAAAATGTCCAGAGTTGATCTTTTTTATGACCAACATTGGTTGACTGCGTGACCAATTCCTACTGTGTCCACTCAATCCAGCTTCCATAGAGTCTACCATTGGCTCGCTCCACCCCCAGCTTTATCTGTGCCCCGTATTTTTCCTGGGGGAAGAGAACGCGACACTGATACTGCATGGTCCGTGTGTGAGGGGGCGATTGTTCACCGCGGAATTCCGTCTTGTGAGAGACAGAGATACACATATAATCCCGGGATACCAATCTCAGAAGGCTCCCTTCTCTTCTCCTGATCCAGCTTTGGCAGAAAATGGGCGTATCTCTTACTCGCCTCTACGCTGAATTGATCTTTATTGCCTCAGGTTGAAGTACGATGGACGTTGAAACAAATTCGCTTCCCCTCAAGCCACCCATCGAAGATGAGCAGGATGTGCAAGATGCGACCGACCTGGCTGCGATGGGCCATGCCCAAGCGCTGACACGCAAATTCAACATCTGGAGCATGCTTGCTCTGGCTTTCTGTGTTCTCGGTATGCACCATCATCATCCCCTCCAGGTGGCAAGCAGCGAGTCGCCACCTTGGGGTATCTTCTTCAACACGCTGACCATATTCGATTCATAGGAACATACTCGACCTTTGCTCAGGATTTGAGCAGCGGTCTCTCCAATGGCGCTTCTATCACCATTCTCTGGGGCCTGGTGCTGGTCACGGCTTGTAACCTCTGCGTCGCCCTCTCGCTAGGTGAATTAACCAGCAGTATGCCTACGGCCCTCGGGCAGGCTTACTGGGTCTACCGTCTGTGGCCCACCCCGCTCGGTCGTTTTGTTTCATATATGTGCGCCTGGATCAACACGTTCGGATGGTGGACATTAACCGCCTCGCAAGTCGCCTTTATGACCGAGTTTCTGTTGGGCATGAAGACTATGTTCAATCCTGACTGGTCCGGCGCTAGCCTGGGGTGGCTCAACTTTGTCGTCTATATTGGTGTAGTCTTCCTTTTGACTGCGATCAATGTGGTTAGTTGCCGTCGTGAGCAGATCTTGCCGTGGATCAATAACTTTGTTGGTGTCTGGTTTGCAGGACTTTTTGTCGTTCTATCGATGGTGATGCTTATTTGCGTCGGCGTCAAGAGCGATCTGAAATTCCAGCCTCCATCTTTCGTGTTTGGCCAATGGATGAATGAGACCGGATGGAGTGACGGCGTTGTCTGGTTCACCGGTCTTGTGCAAGCCGCATATGGTTTGACGGCCTTCGACTCGGTCATTCATATGGTGGAAGAGATTCCTGCGCCGCGAAAGAATGCTCCCCGTGTTATCTGGATGGCGGTATTGTTTGGCGCTATCACAGGATTTATCTTCATGGTAGTCTGCCTGTTCTGCATCCAGAACGTTGATAACGTCGCCGGAGCCGACCTCCCATTTATGGAGCTGATGCTTGAGACCGTTGGCCTGAAGGGCGGCGCTGTCTTGATTGCCCTCTTTATTTTCAACGGCCTAGGACAGGGAATCAGCGTTTTAACCACCGCCTCTCGGTTGTCATGGGGGTTTGCTCGTGATGGTGGCCTGCCTTGGAGCCGATACTTCAGTCATGTCGACCCTGTTTGGCAAGTCCCTGCCCGAGCTCTCTGGGGTCAGGGTGTCATTATCGGAATTGTTGGTATATTGTACCTGTTTGCCAACACCGTGCTCGAGGCCATTCTGAGTGTCAGCACCATTGCCTTGACCGTCTCGTATGCCATGCCCATCCTTGCGCTGCTTATTACTGGTCGTGACAAGCTGCCTCCCGGGCCCTTCCGTCTTGGTCGCTGGGGCCCCTGGTTCAACTGGGTCAGTATTGTCTACTGCATCATCACAACCATCTTCTTCCTGTTCCCGGGTGCTCCAAACCCAGCGCCTAGCGACATGAACTACGCCATTGCCGTATTTGGTGTCATGTTAGTCATCGCGATCGCCTTTTGGTTCATTCGAGGCAGTCGAACATATCTGCAGACGGAAGATGCAATTGCCCAGATGGTTTATGCCCAGCACTTGGAGGACTCCGGATCCCCTGTGCCTACACAGGAAGCGGAAGTTGGCTTCAAGTAATGCCTGGCCCGGTTGTGTGGATCACTACTGCTTGGCACATGCTATATTGTACATAATTTTTATGGATTCGTTCTTTTTGCATCCCTGTTTGGATGCTAAAGACCAATTATAATCAATTCAAGTTTCGAGAAATTTTTGGATCCGAGTTAGATGGTTACTACTACTCTAGTAGAGTACTAAATAGTATACCAGCTACTACTACTGATACATATTTCGGGTAGTCGAGTTCAATTTGAACTTCAAGCTTCCAACCTTCAAGTTGGACTCGGAAGTTATTCCTTTCAGCGAACCTTGGAAGTCATGCTGACTTGGCACGAGTCAACTCAATCCCGGGCCGGTTCAAGATCGGTATCCACATCTCCTTTTTAGAATAGCTCATGGGAAATTGTTGCCTGGATAGACTGCCTACTAGTAGTAGTCCGTAGTGTCCATTCATATCATAATATTACCTCCAGTACTCCGTAGATCGTGTATTCCGCACTGGAAGGCACTTGAGAGCGTAGGCCTACCGCCGGACTCCGTATCAACAGGACAAACTGGATTTCAATTAACGCCATGTCTTGCATAATCCGTCGGAGACCAGATACTTGCCTGCCTAGGTGAGTACAACCTCGAGCAAGGCGTGATTTTAACTAATAGATTGAATCATGACCAATGCCAGCGCATAAAATTCACAGTTGGACGGAACGCAGAATTAGTTCCCATCTATTCAATACGCAAATTGCCCTAGCTTTGAACTACATACCTAGGTACTCCGTAGTAGCTCATGCTGGTCTAGCCACCTAATGGACCGGGATCCACGGGAGCACAGTCGGACTCCCCATCTCTCTCCCTGAACTCTGCACAAATTACGATTCCAAAGGCGCCGCGTGCCTATTGGAACTACAAAATTTCCCATGTTCGCTCTGCTTTCGAGAACTGGACGAAATAATTGTCGTGCAGATGTAACCTGCTCGCGGTAACGATCATCAGGCCAACTCAGAGTTTCTTGGCAGGGCCCGATGGTCACATTTTAGATTCTACCACCAGCCTGCGGTCGTTTTATACAATTGAAAAGAGCCATACTCCGTCCATAAAGACAGTTACACTAGAGCATACTTCGTAGTTTGTATGATTATTGTCTCTGACCCCAACGGATCTCAAGAAAAAAAAACCCCCAGCCCCGGCATTCATCTCTCCGTACCCCTCACTTTATCGGCGTCTCAAAGAAGTGGGTCTCTCCCCTGCAGATCGGAGCGGAGTGGCGTCGGTCGCGTCGCGCTCAGGGTCGTATGTTGCCTGGGTAAAGGGGAGGATACCAGTCACATCACTGGCTATCTTCCATCGTCATTTCGCGAGTGCGGCAGCACGCGGGAAGGTCAATCGTGCGAACATGCGACCTCACGGCATCTTGCAGAACCGCACAGCTAATCCATTGGATATTGGCTGGTTCCTGGATTGCTGCCGACGGACCTCCGGCTTTCTGGGTCCACTGAGAAGTAGTGGAACCCTTCAAGCAAGGCCAAGAGACTGGCGAAGAGCCCGATAGTGTCGATTGTTAGCTTGTTAGCTTGCTAGAATGGGGTTGTCTTTTGCGCCACTCTTCCGCATTCTTTGCATCGCTCTTTCTCCCTTCCAATGCAACCATAATAAATAAAACCTTCACGTCCCCTCCTCCCCTTGTCTCGTCCATTCCAGACCCATTGCCTTATTTATACTTTGGCATCTGCATTAGGGGTGGAATCGTGTTGTTTGTCGGTGCTATACGGTCCTTTTCGCTATGCTTGCCTCACTTTTAAACGGCGGCAGCTTGTCGCTGGCGGTCATCTCGCTGCTCGCATCCACAGCTGCGGCAGATGTTTTCGAGAGTCTACCTGGTATTCCTGACGGTATGTCCCCTTTTCTGGATAATACCTTTGTGAACAAAGCCGAGGCTAATTATACTTTACTTCGTAGGATGGCGCTACAGTCGCACACCGTCTGCGAACCAACCCATTAAACTTAATTTTGGCTTGACCCAAGAAGGCCTCCACGAATTTGAGAATGCTCTACTAGACATGTCAACACCCGGCCACCGAGATTACGGCAAACATTTTCAATCGCACGATGAGATGAAACGCATGCTCCAGCCTAGCGACGACTCCCTGCACAGTGTTCAGAATTGGCTCGAAAGCGCTGGTGTCAAGGATGTTCAGCGTGACGCCGACTGGTTGACGGTCCACACCACTGTTGAGAAGGCCAATGATCTATTGCACGCAAACTTCCAATATTACGTCAACCGTCACAAGCACGTTGAGCGTCTGCGCACTCTCGAATACTCTCTTCCAAAGGCTGTCGTTCCCCACGTCAATGTTGTATCGCCTACAACTCGTTTTGGTCAGCTGAAGCCGAACCGTGCCACTATCCACAGCAAGGCAAAGGCTGCTGATGAGGCTTTCAGGCAGGCAGCCCTCTCTCCCTCCGCTAGCTGTGACACTGCAATTACCCCAGAGTGTCTGAAAAGCATCTACAACGTCGGTGATTATAAGCCTCAGAACGACAACGGAAACAAGGTCGCTTTCGCCAGCTATTTGGAACAATATGCTCGCTACGAAGATCTTGCTCTGTTTGAAAAGAACCTTGCTCCATATGCCAATGGCGACAACTTCACTGTGATCGAATTCCATGGTGGTGGCAATGACCAGAATTCTCAAACTGACAGCAGCGAGGCCAACTTGGACTTGCAGACTATTGTCGGTCTTAGCTCTCCGGTCCCTGTCACTGAATTCAGCACTGGTGGCCGCGGATCCCTTGTGCCCGACCTTGACCAACCTGATATCAACAATAATAACAACGAGCCATACCTTGACTTCCTTCAGAACGTTGTGAAGATGAGCAATGACGAGCTGCCACAGGTCATCTCCACCTCATATGGAGAGGACGAGCAGGTAATATTACCACTGAATCCAAAATTTCTTAACGTCGCCCAGGCTAATTATCCACCAGAGTGTTCCTGAGAAGTACGCCCGCTCGGTTTGCAATCTGTACGCCCAGCTCGGCAGCCGTGGTGTCTCTATTATTTTCTCCTCGGGCGACTCCGGAGTGGGCGCGGCCTGCGAAACTAATGATGGGAAGAACGCCACACACTTCCCCCCCTCAGTTCCCTGCCGCCTGTCCCTGGGTGACATCCGTCGGTGCCACGACCCACACATCCCCCGAGAAGGCTGTTTACTTTTCGTCTGGAGGCTTCTCCGACCTGTGGGAGCGCCCCAAGTATCAGGAAGATGCTGTCGATTCATATCTGCAAAACCTGGGTAACCAGTGGTCGGGACTCTTCAACGCGAAGGGTCGTGCATTCCCCGATGTTTCCGCCCAGGGCCAGAATTATGCTATCTATGAGAAGGGTCAGCTTACCAGGGTTGACGGTACCTCTGCCTCAGCACCTGCATTTGCTGGCATCATTGCCCTTCTCAACGATGCTCGTATTCAGGCCGGCCAGTCCACTATGGGTTTCCTTAACCCCTGGCTCTACTCTGACGCATCATCAGTTTTGAACGACATCACCAATGGTGGAAGCACCGGCTGTGATGGTAACGGTCGCTTCGGTGGCCCGCAGAACGGTGGCCCTACTGTCCCTTACGCCAGCTGGAATGCCACTAAGGGATGGGACCCAGTCACTGGACTGGGAACCCCCAACTTCGCCAACATGGTGAAGAATGCCGTCAAGAGCTCTAACTGAACATTTGCATGATTTCGTTCGCTTTTCTATTTTTTCCCATTTTGGCATTGTCTGTTTGTCATGATCCAAATATCCATCCGGTGAAGATGCCGGGTTAACAATGCATGCTGTTGGTGCACATAAATTGTGTTTGCCATATTCAGATAGGTATATAACGACTTTGGATGTTTTCTTCGTCTTCTGGATGTATGTTCTCCAAATCAATCGATATTTTCTGCATACGTATCGCAGACTGATGTGTGGAGCCTCATTGAAATGATCTTACCCTCACCTTTGTTAAGCACATGTTGATTGTCACATTAGTTAATATAAGCAGATCAGTCTGAGTAGTAGTATAATAGTCCCAATATTTAGTTATATACCATATAACAACTTGAATGTACTGGGACGCCTCAGGCGGCCAGATCCTCTTGCCCGCGCCTTCCTTCTGTTTTAAAAAGATCCGAGTTTCTTTGTTTCTTTCCCAAGTTCTCTCCTCCATCAACATCAACATCTCCCATCAACACTCGTGGACTATTATCTCTTCATACCTTTCTCTCCTCCATCAACATAAACATCTCTTCATCGCTTTCTTTCCTTCATTAACAACATCATTTATCCCTTCATCGGTTTATCTGCTCCATCAACACCGCCATCCCACTAGTACTCATATCTCGATATCTCAACTTTTCGATTCTCAAATCTATCAGCTTTTCCATCCCTGTGCCCACTGGTCCTTTGCTGCCTCCCTGTGTGTCGACTTCTGCGGCCACGCCACCAGCAACATGAAGGAAGCCAAGATGTGAGAGATCCTCCCCGGCCTCTATCTTCGGAACGTCGAGGCCTCGTACGATATGGAACTCCCGCAAAGAAATAATGTCACTACAATCATCTCTCTAACCCGCATGCAATACCCCGAGTGAAGCTCATCGACCAGAGAGGCAGGAGTTCCAAAGCATCGCCATAAGTGGGTGGCATGCGCGGATTCATCGGACCAAGACATTCTCGCCCTGCTCGATGACATCTGCGATTTTATGGAGCAAATGCAGTCTTCGGCTCTTTTCAAAATATCTCACCTATCCACCCAGGAGAACCACGCCGCGAACGCCGACCTGTCTGATGTGGCTCCAGAGGCAATCTTAGTACACTGTTCTAAAGGTGTATCACGCTCTCTAACTGCTATTGCTGCGTATCTCATGCGCAAGTTTGTATTACCACTGGAAGATGAATTGAACTTTCTTCGAACTAAGCGAAACATCAAGCCAAGCGCGAACTCCACTCGCCAACATGAGATTTGGGAGGAGATCAACTACAAGTTGTGGGAGGACGACGAAAAGCGCAACCCGAAAATGCCATACGAAATATTCCTTCAAGATCGAGATATCTTACTGAAGAGGAACCGTCTCCAGGCGATGTGCTGATTGCGCACTAACGTTGGCTCCGTTCAGAATAGGTAATGGCTAAGCCTGGCAGGCCGGTCCATTTTAATTTATGAATGGTCCTTTGTTTTCAAATCTCATTCAACAAAATGTTCTGTGTGGGCGCTTCATTCTATTTTGTAGAGTGCAAAGCCATGCCAATTTTCGGCATTTAAGAAGGCTGGATATTTTTCCGAAATCATAACAAAAGCACAAATATCAGTTCATTTAACATCAGAACCATTGCTAGGCCGTTCATTATTACCCCATCAGATCACCCCATTCCCACTCTACTGCAAATCGCAATATCAGGCATTGACGTCCGGTGGTACCCACAAGTCTAAAGAGGCATCTCACACCAATATACCCAAGCATTGGCCGTAATGGCAGTACTGGCTCTAAAGGCTCCCTCTGTGATCTCTAACGTATGATACCTAGCAAAAATTACCAAATTCAATAATTGCCAATAATATACGCAACACCCATCGGAGCCATCGGAGCCTTGTCAACTCAAAAAGGAGGTCAACGTATGTCACCGTGCCCGATAATTTAGATACACGTGCTTTATCCATTCCATGATAACGGCAGAAGTACTGAGGTTTTACCGTTTTCAAGGTCAAGTGGATCAAAGATTGACATCCACGAACCTCTGATTTTCGTGTTTATCTCGTCACGAACGCGTGGTGAGTGCGCGGATCCATACATCCAATGGACCCCACATTACTATTGCATGGCTTAAGAAGTGTGCGAGAATTTATGAAGGACGGATTATGCAGCGCTAGAGAAACGCCCGAACAATGGGTTTGTCATATGTATCTTTGATTTGTCCAGCCTTGCCTGTTTTGAATTTTGTTTCCACGCAATCTCCTTGTTTTTTGATATTGCTTTGTGGGGCTTTCCGCTAACGAACCTTAATCCAAAGGGAGACAAATTGTTCAGTTGAGGTGTCATACGGACGTCGTGAAAGTATACTCCGTGCGCACAAGTCGAAGTAGCTATCCCAGAAACCTGCCAATTTTATGGAAATATACTCCGTACCTAAACTCCTTTTGCCGGAACTAGTATAATGGCGTATGTGCAAGATAAACCTTGTCGAGCTGTTGGTGGCTGAAACTATGGGGCTCAAAGTTGAGTGACTCCATTTATTTCCCGATTTGGAGGTGATGTTGTAATGCACAACACAGCCCACCTGGGTGGGATTAAGCGACTCACGTGTTATTGAACTGCCCCGCAGATCTTTGATTCGGAGATCAAGACCGATCAGGTTTATCACCTCACATTAACCATGGGTTTAACAGTTGCGGTAGCTGGCGCGACGGGTCGCGTTGGAAGAACAATTGTTGAACAGATCCAAGATGAAAATAAATTCTCAGTCATTGGGTTGACTCGAAGTGTAAGTTTAGTCAAGACCCACATCCTCAATAGGACGCATTGATTGACAGTTCGACGAAGGAACACGTTGAATCGGCACTCAGCGGTGTGCCATATGTGCAAGTAGACTATGATGACATCCCGGCACTCGTGCAAAAGCTGGAAGAGCATGAAGTACAGACCGTTATCTGTACCATCGGAATGCTGGGAGACGACTGTTCTGAATCCCAAATCAATTTGATCAAGGCTGCCGACCAGGCACACACCGTACAAAGATTCGTCACCAGCGAGTTTGGCTATATGACACGTGCTGAGTACTACTCTCCAAGCAAACCATGCTCTCCAGTTGATCGTATCACTAATCGCACGATTCCAGGAGGAAAGATATAGATCCAGGGGTTGACTGGTTTATAACAGCTGCGAATCTTCTTAAGAATAGCAGTTTGAAATATACCCGACCAGTTTGTGGTGCTTTTATGGATTTTATGGGAGCTCCGAGTGCACGGTCAAATATTACCCCCAACACCATCGCCATTGACGTGTACAATCGTGAAGCATGCATTCCTGGCGATGGGACGGCTAGGATAACTCTGATCTATAGCTACGACGCTGCGACCTTGATTGCAAAATTACTGGAGCTCGACGAGTGGTCAGAGTTCAGCTTTTGCAATGGCGAGGATACTACTCTTGGTCAAGCTTTGAAGGAAGCGGAAGAAGTTTGCGGTAAGTGTGTTCCTTTGTAATGAATTGTGTGCGTTTTTAACTCCCACCAAAGGCGAGAAATTCAATGTTACCTGGTTGAAGCCCGAGGATGTTGCCAATGGCGATGTTCCGACCATGAAGATTGTTGAAGGAAGCGGCATCCAACCTGAAGAACAACACGCCTATGCCGTTTTTGGTTATCAGCTGTATCTCGCGGAAGGGTTTAATTTACCTGTTGAAGGCCGGCTCGGAGACAAATTTCCGGGTTTCAAGCCAAGGACGGTCCGAGAGTTCTTGGAAACGGTTTGGGGACCGCATGTTTAATGGGCCGTAACTGGTTGACAGGGATTAAGGAGGTATTTTGATTCTTCATCGTTTTTCTACGCTAACGCGCTATGTATTTTTCGCTTTTGGACAGGCATTGTCATCCGCTTGCATTTGTATTGATTAAATAATTGAGCCAGTGCTACCCTGTTTTGAAACAGGGTCAAAGACGCTAGGATCTTCAAATAAGGAATTTTGAATTGATAATTCTCCATACTAGAGCTTCATTTGGTAGGAATTCAGGAACATGGAGGCCCACAAATCAAGCAACTCGTATTCCAGGGGCGAATGAAGCTAGTCGAAAACCTTCAACCCCACGAAGTCTGCCCCATAGCTTTGAAAAGAATCATCGCCTGCTTCGTTCCCCACAACCACAACGTTGTCGCCACTCTTCCATCCGCCAACCAAAAGTCCCAAGGTCGACGTGTCCCACCATCCCTTTCCGGGGCCGAAAAGCTCACTGTGTTTTCCTGATAGGGGGACTTCTAGTCGCACAGGCTTGTCGTCATTGACGGAAATCGTAATGTTGCGCGAGTTGGAACCAAGCCCCCAAGATGTTGAAAGTGCTATGTCATTATTTGTGAAGTCGACCTCGATGTACTTCAAGATGGTTTCGTTCTTAGAACTTGCCGGTAGTGTGACTTGGACATTTGCGGATCCTTTGTTCGAGCTGTTGATGTATGACAGCTTGGAGCCAGTGGGCTTGCAAAATCCCGAGTCACAAGTCTCGATCTTGGCAGAGCCGGAAATCGAGAATTCCGTGCAAGGATAATATTTTCCCGCCGGGGTTTGGATTTCAATCGACTTAATTGTATTGGGAGATTCGATGACGAGTTTGTTGTCCCCTCCGGCAGAAAGTGCGAGTTTCGCGGAAACGGACTTTTGAGAGGCCGGCACTGAAACAGTTTTCGTAATTTGCTCCAAAGAATCTGTAATTTTCAGGCTTGATTTCTTCGTGGCGCTAGCAAACTGGACGACAATGGCATGGTTACTGCTCGAGGTATTTGCATAGATCGACTCAAATGTATAAGTGTTTCTAACGACTGTCAGCGCAGTACATCCATACCAGCTGCCCTCATTTAACTTACCCATTGACACTTGCAAAGTCATTGCTGCTGTATGAGCCGGCAGCGATCGTATCATCAAGCTCCAGCAGCATTACCCCATGGGGCTGAACAGTAGAAGTATATGACGTTTTCACGTTTTGTACCGACTTACCTGCCCATATATCCTTGACCCGACCAGCAAATTGAACACCAATATCGGGTAGATTCAGTGTCAGCTCTCGAGTCTCATCTGCCCAGTTGATTAATGCGGCCACAGTCCGCCCATTAGATAGAGGGCCGCTCCAAACCTCATATCCCTCCTCAGACCAACGTCGCTTCAATTCGGCACTCTTTCCGAGAGAGTCCTGGTTGAATCCAATCACATCCTTGTTGGATAGGATGGCAAGAGAGTCTTTGTTGATTGAGGTCAAGTCGTCTTTCAAGGCCCCTCCAATAACGAGGGGACTTTTCAAGATAGCCCATAGCGAGAGATGAGTCTGCTCCTCCGGGATCGTGAGAATATCATTCCCAACCTCCAGCATATCGAGATCTGGCCATTGACCCGGACCCGCGAAGGAGGTTTGGGGAACCGCTTGATTGAGCGTGCGCCAAATAGCGCGCCAGGCAGGAATAATGTCGTTGCCGATGCGCCATGTATGACCAAGAGCGGGCGCCCACAGTGCTGGGAAATCAATCCCCCATTCGCAAATTTGGAACAAAACCGCCCGGTTTTGTGCTGCCAGCGCCTTGGTCATGTTGGCAAAGCGAGGCTGCGGGGATGTACTGGGTTCATAGTTGACGTTGGGGTAGCCGGTTGCTTCATCAGAGAAGCAATTGTCGTCTGAAGAGGGTGAGCTGATGATGCATCAAATTCTGGATGAAATGCTTACACTTCAAAGCATCAATTTTCCATGATGTAAACAGTGCCGCATCTTGAGCCTCGTGGTCTAGGAAATTTAGCTCACGTTGCAGGAGAAAAAGATTCACAGTCGCGCGTACACAAACTCCCGGCCTGTTCAATGTCCGTCTGACAAGAACGAATGCCCGCATCTTCATAGACTCCGAAAAGAAGTCCTAGGTCATGAATGTATTGCCCGATCGCGGGGAATCCACTGGGGAAATTCGTTTCATTCCAGGTCAAGGAACCATTTACACGGTCGGGAATTGTCCAGCCACAGTCTATCGTCACGTAGCGATACCCAAGGTTGTCGAGGCCAAGATCAACTAAGGCCTTCGCGTTAGATTTGACGATTGCCTCGTTGGGCGAGCATGCATAATGGTTATACGTATTCCACCTGTTGGTGTTAGGCGTGAACATCAGCGCATATATGGTTGGGCATACCCCATGGGTGGTGTTTTGGCCAAGCCATTGTCGATCCGTGGTTTCAAGGCAGCACTGTTTGCCAGGCCGATTAGAAAGACCTGAAAGCTCCAAACGAGATGCATCTTGCTAGATCCTCATAAGACTACTTCATATCCACACAATTGTTCACAACCCTTCAATTATATAGGTGACCTCGGTTAAATTTGACCGGAGAATACCCCGATGAGAGTTTAGTGATTTGCGGGGTTCAATACCCCAAGAGCGCCAAATGACTAGGATGTCTAGGAATCCGGAAATTTACCCAAAGGAGCCAGGGGAGCTTGCATGTCACTGTAACGCGGGCACGACGATCACCAGCGACGATCGGGGAATCTCATTGACTGTCATTCGCGCGTCGAGCTATGGTGGACCCGGCCCTATGAAGGAATGTAAAAATCGTAGCAGAGGGAATGCTGAAAATTAAAGATTAAATTTTGTCAACGCTATCGCTAGTGGTACAGAGAAACAAAGCTCCTGACGAAGGAGTAAAAGTAGATCAAGCACATATCGATATCCGTGCTTCGTGTTTGTTTGTTTTCCCCCCAGTTCATCAATTACCGTTTTCCGTCCCTGCGGTCCTCCGGTGGTCATAATCACAGTAGTATCCATATCGCAGTGTCTCTGTTTGTTCGAATACGAAGGGTGATCGCTTAGGCGATAACACCGGCGACGGCGGAGCAGAAGAGCATGGCGACGAGGCCAAGACCGGTCTTGGAGATAGGCTGGCTGATGATCGCAGCGCCGGTGGAGGTCGAGCTACCCTTTCCAGTGGTGGTAGAGGTGCCTGTAGCGTCGCTACCAGTTTCCCTGGTGGTTGTGGCCGATGCAGTAGCAGTGGAGTTGTCCTTTCCTTGACCGCAGAAGATACTGCCATCCTTTTTGCTCTTGTCGGTCAAGCAGTCAGACAGCTCTTTCTTTGTTTGGCCCTGGGCAAGGCAGTAGATGTTGCAGCCATCATTGTACTTGACAGGGCTGTTACCCTTGCAGCAGGAGTCGAAAACATCGGTCATGTTTCCGGTGATGGGACCGGCACAGGCGACATCGTTGGAGGGGATTTGCCAGGAGGCGATGCAAGTGGAGGAAGTGGAGGCAGCGGTGGTAGTGGTGGTGGTGGTCATCTTGCCGGTAGGTGAGTAAATGTGGGAAATGTGGGTGTGGAGGTGTGAGTTGATTGAGATAGATGCTGAAGAGAGAATCGAAGTTGACTAAAAAGCTGAATGAAGTGGAGTGCGCATAAAAAGAAAAACGGAAGGCTGCAATATAAAGCAAATCAAGCCAAGAAACGGGGGTGAGACACGACAAGGAATGTGTCAGACGCAACCCAACCAGGCGCCGCCTTGTGGGGATCACCTCCACTTTTCTGCTATATTTAAGGCACACTAGGGCTGAAAGGGTCCATGTGAGATCGGTCGATGTTTTCTATTTGTTGAAAACCAGATTATTATGCTTTACGAACTGATGATTCCCCAGTTAATGCCCAATACAGGCCACAGAAGCATGGCAAAATTCTAATAGCGTAAAAGTACGGAGTACGGAGCAGCGAGTGATCCGTCATAATTCGATGTGATCAGTTCCCTGCACCTGGAATATAGTTGTAAGCTACATGGGGAGCCCCAGTGGAGAAATAATAAGGAGAGCAGAATTCGCCGATCGGCATCGCAACAGCGCGACTACCAACCGCTTATCATCGGGAATTGATGTATTCGATGTATGAGGCCACTCGGCATAGGCAGTAGTGTATATTAGCCTACATAAGGCATGGGTATCTCGTCGACTCCTTGCCGATTCAAGGATTTCAACCTGCAAACTCGTTGCACAATGACCGCAAAGTTTGCTTAATTCTTTGTCTCGACAAACTCCTCACTGCCGGCAGTTGTCTCGACATGCTTCTCGATTTCCGGACTTTCCATTCCAACCAGAGCCAGCAGACCAACTTCACTCTCAATGCGATGCTTTCGATCTGCGTCAGCGGCGGCCATCCCTGTCGAACCAAAGAGCTCGTCCATCTCCTCCAATGTACGACCCCTTTGTCTCGGGAACAAAGAAGTAGACGTAGAAAACACCAACAGTGGTTACACAGCCGAAGAAGATGAAAGTTCCTAGTGTAGAAACTTTGATAAAGGGAGAAGTAGCGGTCGCGACAGCGAAGTTGTTCAACTATGACGATGTTAGATGATCCGGCGTTTCCGAGTGTGCAAAACTGGGATACTCACCCAATTGCTGCTGCCACCCAGACTAACACCCTTGGCCCGCATGCTTAGGGGGAATACCTCTGAAGTGACGATCCATGCGACAGGTCCTGAGAAGGTTAGCTTGATTATGACAAAACAGGATTTGGTGGGCAACACAAACCCCAAGAGTAGGCAAAGTTGATGACGAAAATCCAAATGAACACAATCGCCGTCCATCCAGCCGCCCTGTTTTCGCCAAATTCACCCTGGTATGCGCCAATGATTCCTGCAACGATGAAATGGCAGACGGCCATTCCGATCGCACCGGTGATCAAAATCTTCTTACGACCGATTTGATCGACCCACAGCACAGCAGGGATGGTGAAGATGAACTCGACGATACCGACAACGCCGGTAGCCAGCAAGGAGGTTGTGTTTCCGGGTAGTTCCATGTTGTCGAAGATGAAAGGCCTAGATGTGAGGTTAGTGAAAATGAATCCAAGGGGGTGTAGAATGAACTTGCGCGTAGTAATTGATGGCGTTAATTCCATTCCACTGCTGGAATACCATGATAAGGCACTAAATAGTCAGCTTTATACTCCAATAGACAAGAAAAAATTTTCCATACCGCAACAGTTGTACGTTTGAAAAGAGAAGGATTTGTGATGAGCGATGCGTAATCGGCTAATCCCATCCTGAAGCGACTGGTGAACGAGCCATCCAGCCACTGGGGATATTTCTCGGCCGCAACCTCCTTCTCAAACATATGAAGACTCTTGATTTCGAGAAATTCGATGCGCACGAGTATATCGTCGGCTGAGGCGCCACGCAGTCGGGCAAGGGTCTGTAGACATTCCTCCTCGCGCCCGGTGTTCATCAGATGGCGTGGTGACTGTGGCATGAACAACATCATACCAGCCGCCAAAGTAATCGCAGGTAAGAGCTGGATGCAAACTGGGACGAGCCAGGCTGCATCGGATTGGGTGGCGCCAGTTCCGCCGATGTAGTTGGTGCCATATCCGATCTAATCGCGTGGATGATGAGTATTACTCTTCAGGCGAGGAACAGATAGCGGAAACTTACCCAGAAGCTAACCATGATACCAAAGGTAATAGCAAGCTGTTGAACCGCGACAAGAGATCCACGAATCTCCGGTGGGGCCTAGGAACACTTTCAGTAAACATTGCAAACATTTTATTTGGTTCGGTTTGCTTCACTTCCAATGGCGACTTACCAGCTCTGCATTGTACAACGGCACAACCATACTCAAACTACCAACACCCAGACCTGTTACAAAGCGTCCAGCAAACACAAAGTCCTTGTTCTCCGTGCAGGCTTGCACGATCACGCCAACACAAAATACCACGACCGCGATCAATACAGTTAGCCGGCGACCAACCGCATCAGCGAGATATCCGTTGAACAAGGTTCCAACCCATGCACCAAGCTCCAGAATCGATGTCAAGATACCCTGCTCAATACCAGTGCCCTTGGCATATGAATCTGTGGCCTCGACGAACGAGTTCATTGTCAGAACTTGGGCGAACATGCCCTGGTTGTATCCGTACACCAGTCCACCAAGCGACGCGAATAGTCCGATCGCCGATGTCTTCTTATTACTGAGAAGTCCCAAGATTCCTCCTTTGCCAGCGAGCTCAGCTCGCTTGGCCGAAACGGCCGACTCTCCAGCGATGGGAGGTGCCATGGTCAATGGATCGTGAACAAAGATACAAGTCAAAAGAGTGAGAAACTGTCGAGGTAATGTCAAAACCTCTTTACTCACGAGCTCGGGGATCAGCAATGCATTTATTCAACTGTCGGTTCTTCTCTGGGTAATTCCCCCGGGAATTTATCCCCATGGGGGCCAGAATCCCTCTTCCAGACCAAGCTTCCTCTTGCGACCCCACCGCGAGCCGACACGCCGCGTGTTCCGGGGAGGAGATATGGAAGTGCCCGGGTCGGTTGCGGAGTGTGCAAGACGTGGGGATACTGTCAGTGGCTGCGGCTGGGCGCTGGCGTTGGCGTTGCTTGTGGATCGGCGGTGCAGTAGTGGAATTTATCCGGACAGCCCATCTGTGAACCTTGGATAAATACAGAATGCTACGATAGATGTTCCGTGCTTTGCAAGACATCGAGACTGAATGAGTCGTGAATCAGCAAGGTAATCAACCCTTTTGTGTTTCAGCTATTATTTCACAGATGACAATATCTCCAGCACCATCCTCAACGTCGATATAGCCATGAAATTCACAAAATACCCCCTTTTCGGCAACCGAATGCCGTAATGGCATCATCGGCCACGCCCGCTCAGCATTGGGATTGCTAGCTGGTCCTGGGAGGGGGTTCCCTATTGCTTTCATTGGCGCGTTCTCCACACGTCCCACTTGATGGAGACTCATCCCTGGGGAACCCCGCGTGGAGAGAACTTAGAAATACTAACTTCAATCGGAGAGAAGAGTCCAAAGAAGCAGCCTTTGGTCTACATTCCAGAATATCGAAATAAAATACGACAACAAAGCACTTCCAATAGCTTTACAGGAAGCATTATACGACGCCTCCCGATCCCGCTCCGTTGTGATTTGTTTCAATTTCAATTCCCGCCTGGCAATCCCCACACGCTACACCTATTTCGCCCGGCTGAATCCTGCCCATTTAGCCTATTTCGCCCCGTCGCCCAGCCTTCGCAAGCCTCTCCCGCCGCCACGCGAATCGGCTTCGGGCAGAGGTAGGACCGGAAGTGCCATCGGCAATTTGGGATACGGCTGACATGACACGGGCGCAATCGGCTTGACACAGGGTAACAAGTTGATGGCTAAAGTGAGAGAGAGGCTATTCTCATCGTTACTTGGGGGTCAATCGCAAGACTGGACCTTGCTCGGTTGCTCATCGGCGTTTGATCGGGGGCTTGCAGCGTGGCATGCTTTCTGCCGGACCGTATGACTCGCGGAACCACCTGCACATTTCGTTCCGAGTCTCGCTTGGTTCAGCTTGTGTATTCGCGTTTAATGCACTACTCCGTAGTTAGCTGGGATCCGAATGTCCGATGTCGTTCTCGGCCCGCCCGATCTGGTAATCCCGCCGAGTCGGGTGAAACAGCCGGTCTAAACAGGGTGCTAGAAAATATCAAGATGGATGCATGTAAGGTGAGCAACATATGGAATTAACATTGGACCTTTACATTGGGAACTCCCCTATGTACTACTTTTTCTACAATAATATTGGGGCTCCATCCTTTGTCGCTCATGACGCGCCACTGCCGAGGTCCATGAATATCAACGCCAGCTAGCTACCTCACTGTTAACGTGAAAGGATCAACCAGGAAAAAAGTGATAGTTATATTTGCATCCATAGCTGTAACAATCTTTTCCAAGTCGGATATTAACGTGACACATTCCTTGTAGTATTTCTTTCGGTGAAGGATTCTCGCCAACAAAGTCCCGATATACAGACAATGGACTCCATTGTGTTTCAGCTCTTTGTCCAGGCTTATGAGTCCATGTCATGAAAGAATTCATTCAGCTGAAGGACTTTGTCATGTACTCTGAATTTAGTCGAAATAAACCGAGTATCTTCATACAACTTGAATGGATGTCACGCATATAAACAGTATGCCCTAACTATCCTGGTAGGATCTTTCTGGGCACACTCACACCTGGGCACACTCCTCTATCAGGTAACTGACCCTTAGATTTCTTCTTCGATATAGTTCTCACTAAGTCAGCATAGCCACCATCGATATACAATTATCGGACTTCACTATATAGCCTAGACAATGGAAGACGATTTGGGCGTCGAACCGACCGTGACCCTCTCCGAATCGGCAAGCTCAGATTCTAGCCACGGAGGGCTTCATCATTTACTTGAAGAGATTATCGCCGGCATGCCGGGTTTTATAACAGGGTATCTATCTGCTCACCCCCGTCTCCTTCGCCGTCGCCGTCGCAGACATTCAAGCTCTGGAGAGAGCCAGAATGCTCAAGCGCATAACCATGACCAGATGGAAATCAATAATGAAACACATGCGATCGGAATACAAATGACACCTTATATCTCGCCTGCAGGAGTACTTGACTTCCACGTTCATCCGAGCGAAATAAGCATGACTCCTTACATCTCGCCTGAGGTACTTGGCTTCCACGTTCATTTCGACTCCGAGTCTTTCCGTCGGCCCCCAGCTCCCATTTCACTGATTTGGGCTCTACCAGCAAAGATGATTGACGAAGAAATGTTGGTAGAGCTGCAGCAATCCTCCAATTCTTGCTGTTCGATTTGTCTTGATGATTTCCTGCTGGGTAAAGAGGCAATTGCGCTCTCCTGCAATCACCTCTTTCATAGTTCCTGCATTAGGCGTTGGTTACTTGAGACAAACAGTTGTCCTGTTTGTCGAGAAGGTAGAGCTGTGAGACGTATTATCCAAGTGTCAGAAGGTAACATACGAAATTCGTCCTTGCATTGTTAGCGCATAGAAACTCGCATAGCATTTGGTATGGTATTCTGCATTAGTTTTCAAGGTGTTTCTCTCAAAGAACTCTTATTTTATCTCTGCATACTTAAAATTCTTCAATTTGTAACACATATATAACGAAGATCCAAATCAATTACAGTCCTGACGAATTCAGTTCTGGCTCATTACATCATTCACCTGATTTACCCCGACATAATCCATTTCGTAAAAGCTCAAAGCTAAATTGATGGAAAAGAATATCCCCCAATACACCGAGCCTAAGCCCGAATCTCCGCCGCCGACAAAACGGTCGCAAAAGCGTCTGCCAATTCAAACAACGCAGTATCCACAAGATCCTTCGCCTTAACGCCGGGAATATTACGATCCCCAACCGCATCACGAGCAACAACAACATCATACCCCTTCTCAGCTCCAGCCCTCGCCGTCGTCGAAACACAAACATGCGCCATATACCCCACAAGAACGATCTTCTTTCCGACTTCACCCAACCCCTTCAGATACTCATCGAGATCGGTCTGAGCGAACGAATTGGGGAAATTCTTTGTCACGACCTTCTCCCCTGACTGAGGGGTGAGTTCGCTGAACTCTTCTGCTAGAGGTGTCCCCGGCGTGAAGACTGGTGCACCGGCTGGTACTTCGTGGACGACGTGGACGATGTTTTTGCCGTTGCCCGTGCTTCGGTAGAGGGATAGGAGCTCGGCGATTACTTTGCGAGTTTCGTTGACAAGTTCGACTTGGAGATGACCGGTTGCATATTCATTTTGAGCATCGATTATGATTAGGGTTGAGTCTTTGGTAGACGCTGTGGAGGGGGGAAGACCGATTAGGTCGCGGAAGGATTGGACGTTGGTCATGATGAGTTAAGTGGAATTGTTCCTGGGTTTTCTTTCAAGTTCTCAATTGATAATTTTATTCTCAAGTTAAATGCGGAGTTATAAATCCTGGATTCAACGAGGTTTAAATAGGAATCGGTCGCTCATCTCCTGGTGACCTCGGGATCAGCTCATAACTTCTCAACTGTGGAGTAGTCATTGCAGCTGCGCTAACCACAATTGGGAGCATATTCCGCCAAGAAATGGATTATTCATCGAGCTGGATTGTTTGAAATGACGCCACAGCCATCAGGCATTCGGATTGAACACCGCCTCTCTCAGACCAGACACAACGCAGAATGGCGTGGAGGCCACAAGTATGCACGCAGTGAGTGTGCATGATGCAGTTTCTCCACAACAGAAATGAAGCACAAAAAACGGACCGTCTGCAATACCTGTCGGCGTCGTAAATTGGGGGTATGAAGCGGAACCCGCAACTCCAACGTACCCACCATATACTGACTCTACGCTTCAATAGTGTGATGGAAAATTGCCGGGGTGTAGTCAATGCTCGCTATCCGGGTATACCTGTGATGGGTATGCGACAAGCTGGACATTCATTCAGCAGGGCTCAGGCTCTTTCGACCAAAATCCAAATAATGGAAAGCATCATGAACAACTTGCAGCCCCGGTACAAATAAAACGCCGCGATAATTCTCCACGTTTAATCAAAGTGATTCCGGAGTCCCCGGTAGCTCACTTCACTCCAAGCCTGCAACAAGAAATATCATTCTCGCCAACCATTCACCACCTCTTAACTGTCATCGTGGAAAGCTATCTCCCCGAGAGTGAGAGAAACCCAAGCACCGTCGCTGTCGCCACTGGCCACAGCCGCCAACATCCACGAATCTGCGGTACCTGGGTTGAAGTATTATACGAGCTTCCCTGTCTCGCACATACCAACTCCCTTCTCTCAAAAGCAGTAACTGCCCTCGTTGCGGCAGTCTTGACGTCGGTGTGTATCTCCCGTCAAAGTATTTCAGAGCCATATCTTCTCGCCATCCGGTCTCTTCGAAAAACGCTTGAGAATGGGGTTGGTAGGACACAGGAGCTCATTCCTGCTGTTATGTGTCTTATCTTGGTCGAGGTGTGTATTCCCAGCCTATTCTGCATTTCATTAGTTGCCGAGGCTTTGTTAACGATGAAAGGTCATGATCCCAAACGCGAGTGTCGCCCTTGACGCCCATTTAAATGCCGTGGGGGCATTCTTCCATTCCGCTGGGCCAGAAGCGTGTAGGACGGGACTTCTGCATAGACTGTTTGTTGGATTCCGACCATTAATGGTATTCACTCATCCCAAGTAACGCGATGAATTGAATCTCTTGCTGACCCAGTCAATTCAATTCTCCTAGATTATACATGCCATTCAAACTCGTCAACCAACTTTCCTCAGCCTTCCGGCCTGGAACGATATTCCATTTTCCGATATCGCACCTTCTATTATGCAGGCCTTTTTCAACGAGTTTGTTCATCTGTCATCTTTACTCTGTCAAATGGATGGTCTGGGTCTTGCGGTGGACTCTCAACCAACCATCCAGTCCGAGATTGAGCAGCAGGTACTACTATCCCTTTTCGCAGATCTTTCTGCGCGTCTGGATCATTGGGAGTATACTTTGACTACCTCCTCTTTCTCATATGGGCGATATCACCACCACTCCCACGAAGCCATCGATGACGATGACCATCGACCCATCTCTTACCCCAACGTGACAATGGCAAATATCTTCACGCACCTGTGGGCCTTCCAAATCATCACTCTTCGAGAGATGACTATTCTCATCACCGCCCTCTCCGGAACGATATCGCTATCGCCGTCTCCGTCTCCGTCGTCCCCATCGTCACCGGAAGACTGTGCAGCAGTCCTCGCCAGAAATATTTCTCTGAGTATGGACTATCTCTTGAAAGAAGATATGGGTCTTTTCGGCCCGGCTTCATCATACTTCCCTCTCCGGGTGGCTTGGGAAGTTCTCAAAGGGGGCGGTGATCAATTTGATGGTGCTCGTGTGAAACGGAGTGTCGATCGACTCGTTACAAGAGGGCTTTTGTCTGCGCCGACTCTTGTCTTTGGTCCTGAACTTGAATTGCATTAAAGACTATTCAGGATGATTTTGTCAGACAGATATTGATATTGATATTAATAGATTCCCTGTACCCAGTTCTATTCCACATAAAGCATCAAATCAAATAGCCACCCACACATCCCATTTCATTTCATCCCATCCATATCATTCCTTGCTATTGCTATGCCAGTCATTCCGAATGCTCGTCTCCATCAACACCCCCCACCTCACCCAACTCCCTCTCCAAAACCTCCCTAGCAACACTCTCCCCAGGAACCAAACCCCCATAAAACCAACTCGGCAAAACCCGCAAACAATTCGCATGATCGACCGCGAATGCCGGATCAGCCCACCCGTTCGATCGACAGTGTGTAACGGCGAGACGGAGAAGGGATCGACCGACGCCGTTTCCGCGGTATGCTTGTTTAACTGTCCATGCGCGGATGAGGGGGATCTTCTTGGTTGACGTTGATGGTGGTGCGGGATAGACGCGCAATACGAGCGTTCCGACGATCGTGTCTTTCCATCGGCTTACGAAGATGATGTTCACTTCTTGATCTTCATCTTCGCCTTCGCCTTCGGGTTCCTTCTCATCCCCATTTCCATTTCCCCCATATAACCACCCCCACCCATATCACCCGCCGCATCAAGATACCCCGCCGTAATCAACTCCACGCTCTTCAGCGCCGCGGCAATGATAGCGAGACCCGTGAACGCAGCTGAGACACGGTCTAGTCGGTAAAATTCTGTGACGAGGGCGTGTGGGATTATTAGGCCCAGCACGGTGGCGAGGAAGGGGGTGCTGTGGATTAGGGCGCGGCTGGTTGTTTGGCGTTGTTCGGCTATGGAGGTTGATATTAGGTTTAGGGCGGTTGTTAGATCTTTTGCGGTGGTTGTGGTGGTCGTTGTTAGGGTTGGTTGAGTCAGTGGTGGCTCAGGTTCTTCTTTGTCTTTGGGGTCGGACATTGAGATTGAGTCGGGGGTGGTTGTGGTGGTGGTGGTTCGTGTAGATGTGGGTGAAGGTGAAGGTGAAGAAGGAGGAGAAGGGGAGGAACTCCATCGTGAGTCCAGTTGGGTCAAGTCCATAGTGAATGGTAGTAGTGAATGAGGAGTCATTCAAGTGAAGTATTATTAGAGTAAGAATAGTAGACTAAGAATAGTAGACTAAGAATAGTAGACTAAGAATAGTAGACTAAGAATAATAGACTAAAAGATTATTAGAATGCAATTAATAATATCTACATCTACATCTACATCTATATCTACATCTACAGTACCGGATGTAAGTGTCAAGGTCGAGTCATCCCTCGCCCATGGATTAACTTGAACTCGTGACGAAGAGATTGACTGGGTCATATGAATAATGCTAGTATTCTAATATTCTAGTTAACTAACTGTATTCTAGTATTCTCCAGAGTAGCACTCTCAGGTATCATCGGTGCAACCCCGGCCATTTGGATATCAAAGCCGAGTCTGACAGAGTCACAGACTCTCTTACTCTGGTGTACCAGTACAGACAGCATAGATAGTTAGATAATAATAATAGAGAAATCGCAAACTTTTCAACTCGATTAAATCAAGCAATGAAACACATAAGAAAATCCATTATTTGCCGCCTCTCGGCATCCTCCATCTCCATTCCATTTCATGACAGCAAACCAAAGCAAAGAAAGCGAGAAAGAGCAGAGAAAGCTCACGCCGCCTCAACTCGAGTCAAAACATTCTCATCTCCATTCTGAGCCCGACTCCCATCTACCGTATTCAGATTGAAATTCACATTCACATTCCCCTTCTCCGCATCCTCATTCCTCGCACCGTCCTGTACACCGGCGACCTGAGGTCGTGAAAGAGGGTGAATCTCCCCAGACAACTCCTCCAACGTCTTCCGCTTCGTTTCAGGAATCAACAACGAAGTAAAGATCCCGCAAAACATAAACAGCGCAAAGATCTGCATAACATGATTCAACCACGGCGAATCAGAAGAGTCCTTCTTCGCACCGCGATGCACGAGCGGCCCAAACACACACTGCGCAATAATAGCGCCAACTTTTCCCGCCGCAGCACTGAACCCGTGAGATGTTGAACGGTATCTGGTTGGGAAACATTCGCCCGGAACAATGAAAGTGGTCGCGTTGGGTCCGAAATTGAAGAAGAATTGCGCGATCACGTAGAGGCCCAGCAGGCCGTTGTGGGAATGTCGCAGTTTTTTGAACCCGAAGGCGATGGCGGTGAAGAGGATGGTTAGAATTGCGAAGCCGCCGATTTGGATTGGTTTGCGTCCGATTGTGTCGACGGTTGCGACGGTTACCCAGTATCCTGGGATGGCGCCGGCGCAGATGAGGATCAGATTGCCGACGGCGTTTCGGTAGAAGATTTGGTAGACGTTCTTCCCGCCTGTCCAGCCGATGGCGCCGAGGATGATCGAGTTGTTGAGGCCGAGACCGTAAAATGCTGCGAGAGGGGAGATTAGCATATTCCTGGTAAGCAGAAGCAGAAGTAACAGCCAGGAAGTAGTGTCACATGAAGGGTGAGTGTAACGTACCGACATCCAGGAAAAACCAGGAACCAGCAGTCCCCAGGAGAGTCCGGCCATTCTTCCAGTTCCAGTAATGGAGTGCAAAGTCCTTCCAGCTCGCCTTTGTGATAGCCTCAATGCGGTCGTTGCTCTGGACTTGGATACGCTGCATCTCATCCGGGTTACCCTCACGGAAGCCCTTGATATAGGCCTGAATATCGGCTTCTGCCTTGACAGGGTCACGCGAAACCTCCAGCGTGTAACGAGGAGATTCGGGGATAGTGAGTCGGAAGTACAGAGCGATCAATCCGGGAACTGCTCCCATGCCAATGATGGTACGCCACATCTTGTCGACGGCGAGTAGACAGACCCCCGAGCAGTGTGCGACGTCCTTGGCGGATTCTAGGGACTTCTGAAAGCCGGCGGTCACAATGAGGGCAATGATAGCCGCGGCGAACTGGCCGATGCCCTGCATGGCGAAGACAGAACCCATCATGGCGCCACGCCATTTGGTATTGGCGAATCTGCACCGTCAGTGGGAATGAGAAATGGGAAGACAAATGGAAATCAACTTACTCGGACGTAATGATGGAGGAAAGAGGGTAGTCTCCCCCAATTCCAATGCCCATGATGACTCGCCAGAAGATGAGAACTCCGGTGATGGAGACAGCTGGGGAGGCAGCCGAAAGGGACTGGGCCAGAGTCGCAAAGATGATGATCATCAACTCGATGCCGTACATGCGCTTGCGGCCATAACGATCGGCAAGATAGCCAAAGAGCAACTGACCGATGACGGTGCCACCGGAAGTCGAGACTTTGAGGGCTGTGTCGGAGTTGGTTGGAAGTTTACCGGGATTGTGCTTTGCATCCTGCCAGTAGACCACGCCGAGCATGCTCACGCAGAGGTTAATGGCGAAGATATCGTAGGCATCGGTGAAGAAACCCACGCCGGCGACCACGACGGCGCGTAAATGATGCCAGCCGGACCGAGCATTTTCGATGCGCTCAAAGGCCAGACGACGATGTTCGTCGGGGTCGAAAGGAGGAGAGGCCTGAGAGATATCGGGTTCGGAGAGAACGGTCTGCATGTTGGATGAGAGAAATGGGAATGGGAATGGGAATGGGAAGAGATGGATGGATGGAGAGAGAGAGGTGGTGAGGAGGAGAGGAGGAGAAGAGTATAGTCAGACATGTGAGTAAACAGAAGAAGTGAAGGAGGACGAAGAAGAAGAAGAGAAAAGGAAGAGAAAGAAGAGACCAACCAGAAGAGGAGGAGGAGGCACATGACATGAAGGTGGTAGAAAGGCAGGCACGAGGGAGGGAGGGTTCGTACCTGCCTTGAGTTTGAGGGATAACACTGGCATAAACATGACATAACTATACAGCATGCATAGCATAGCATAGACAGCATAACACAGTATAGTATAAGGTAGTATAGTATAGATAGTATAGCATACTAGTAGTAGTAGAAGGCATGGTATAGGGCTAGTAGTATACTAGTACTATAAGTAGAAGAGGATGACTCAGACAGTTCTGCAGTAGTACACTTGGGGAGCATCATTATTCTATTCTATTGGTACCAGTATTGATACTGTAAGGTCAGAACTAGTACTCCCCCCTGGGCATATTCCATACTCTATTCAAATGGCAAAGAACACTGGCACATGATGTATCCTCAACATCACCGTGGCGGTGGCGGAGAAGCACCCGCAAAGTATAAGTAACCACCGGGGGAACCACCACAACCCTCGATCTCTCGCTCTACAAAAATCATAAAACAAAAAAAAGGGGAGATCCGGTATTCATATACTTCATATTCTTATTCATATACATCAAACCAGAAATCTAGATCCCTCTCAGTGTCAACTGCAACAGAGAAGAACACATCACGAACGTCCTATCCAAAGTTGCCATGCCCGGCCAGGGCCAGCCGGAGTGAGTTTTATTCAGCAGTGATCTAATACGAGGGGTCTATTATGCATTCAGTAAAGGCTAGAGCTAACATACCACAGAGAAGAGGGCCCCAGCCAGGCTCATCATTGCTCCCATCAGCATAAGCTGATGGATGTTGAGCCGCAGATCAAGTAAGTTCACCGACATACTACTAGTAGTACGTTACCAGTATAATATCTGGAGCCTGCTAACACTCCTAGGACCATGCATGCCTCCTGTGTGCACGGAGATACGCAACCGCGTCACAGTCAGAACCAGAGCCAAGGTCAGAGTCCCAGTCACTTCGAGATGGAGGGCGACCTGATTGATCTGGATGATTAAAAGAGCAAGCAAGGCAAGCTCAGTTTAAAGTCGATTTACTTTAGTTCCCGGTAGTTATTCAACCAATACGATCTTTATATTAAATATCAACAAACTTGAACTTAGACTGTCTATTAGGCATCCCGACAGCGTTCAGTCTCATTAGAAATTACTCGCAGGTACTAAGCAGTACTTGCAGTACTACCAGTGCCTACTACCAGTATTATTAGGTATATCCGTTTCGACCGTGAGTATCATACCATCACTGCACACAGCCCACTCAGTGCACTCACGCATATCCCCGCTTCATCTTCCACCGCATAATGAAGGTCGCCACCGGGTAAAACGCCAACGACACGGCAACCCATATAAATAGCACCGCAAAGTCGAGTCCAATCCGCGAATGCGTGTCGAAAAGAATAGTCCGTAACGCTTCGACAACTATCAGGCGAAAAGTTAGCCACAATTCGCCACAATCTCACCATTGGCAGACAACAAATCGAATCAATCGCTCGCCGCTCGAGGAAAACTTACTCCGATGCAAAGGCCAAGCATACCCCCAAGCATAAAATCCCGGTGCCAAATCCAGCGCATAAAACCCCGTCGCAACATTCGTAATCACCCAAAAGATCAGGAACAGCGAGCTCCACGGAAACCCGAGTACCATGGCCATATTCTCGCACGGGAATCCCAACGCCGCCATCCCGACCCAATTGAGCATCCAGAATACCACGAATGAACCCTGGCCGTATGCGTTTGGATTGTTGGCGGATAATGTGTCCGGTGCGGTCTTGTTGCTGAAGGGGATTTGGAAGGCGAGTGAGACGAGGGAGTAGAAGAGGGATAGAAAGAAGTAGGCTGTTATGGCAGAGAGGATGCGCCAGGTTACCCAGTGGGGTACTTTGAGGATCGCGGTGGTGCTGGTCTCAGTGGAAGAAGACTCGGAGGACGAAGGAGAGGAGGTGGTGGGGGTTGGTTTCATGAACTGCGCGTGGATGCCCATGAGGAAGGGGAAGTTGAAGAAGGCGATTATTATTAGATAGATTAGTCCGATTGTGACGGCCGGTGCGGCTACGGCGGGGGTGAAGGGACGTAGATCGATATTTGTAAATCCAATCCCCGGATTGATGGCCTGTGGAGGTATCTGGGAGAGGTTCGTATTCGATATAGATCCCGATCTCGATGCAGAGGTCGAGGTGAGCTCACGGACCCACTGAGGGCCAAATTCCATAAGTATAGTGCTCTGGAAAACTGCGAGACCGGGCATAATATAGGTGAAGTATGCATTTTCATCTCGTGCGGAGATGATCACCGATTCGATCGCCCCAGTCGGGTCATATGTGCTGTTTCGCTCGGTGACTGCGGCGCGGAGCAAGGAGGTCGCATTGGGATTGATGATGACAGCTGCGTAGGCCTTTTCGTCGTAGACAGCTTGACGGACAGCCCAGGGATCGTGGTTGAAGTCAGCAGGCGACTTGATCTCATAACCTAAGTGCAGCCCTGTCGAGTGGATGATGCTCTTCGTGGCATTGGTGACGGCCGGTCCAACGATGGGATTTTCGGTGCGATAGGGATCGACAGTGCCGTCAAAATCTACCACATAGACTTTGAGAGCCGGATAATTTGCCTCTGTGCGATACTGCGAGCCCCAGAATAGGGAGAGCACGCCAAATATGAAGACGCAAAGGATGAAGACGGTACGCGTCCATTGGTAGAAGACGCGCCGGCGCACTTCGGTTAGAGCCGGGTCAAAGAAATCCCACCGGCGTGGGTTCATCCATCTCTGGTTTTTCCATCTTGTTTCACGGGGTGGTGAGTCTGTAAATTTCATTTGTATTGAAGGTTAAGTTTTCAAGTAGGACGAGTGACACTGTATGACGCTTCCGGCGGGTAATCCCAAAACGGCGAATTCCAACTCCGAGCAAGGATATGGTGGCTGGTTGGCCGGATAGATCCCTGATTAGCCAGTAGGAAGCAGGTTACAGGCCACAGACTGAAATGAACATGGTTAAAATCATAATGTTCCTGTTTTGATGTGCACTGCTGTGGTGCATGTCAGAATTATACGGTAGTATAGGTACTCCCGTCCCGCCCCTTGAAAGGGGGTTTCTCTCAGGGCTGGCAGAAAATGAAACAAGGATAAGCAAACAATCTCCTAATTCATTCTCAGGGACGAATGAGACATACAGTGTGCATCAGTATCATGGTAAAAATTGGGATCTTAATCACAGTCATATTTGGATGTTTAATCGAGCTACTATGATATTAGTGATGCAGATCCGCGCAACCCAAATTTAATCTCCCGCCCCTATGGCCTAATGGTTAAGGCGCCCACCTTCTAACTAACTAACTAACTAACTAATACGACGATGAGTGGGCGATTGCAAGCTCGACCCTTGCCAGGGGCTATTCTCCCGTTATGACATTCTTTTTCTCTCTCTTTTTTTTGGATTTTCTTCCTTCAAAGAGGAGAAGGAACATCTCTGCGGTAATTCATCACTAAAATAATCTCTGTGAATGATAATTATCGGAAAATAACCGCTGTGCTGTTACTTTCTTGCATAACTTGTGCCACACATCCGGTTTGCTTCTCACACCTACACTCTCTGTTTCATGATATGTGGAAGTTAAACATGATCTATTCTTTTGCCGTTTGTTCAAAATCAATAATTTATTGATGTTTGGCGCTCTAGACACCTATACTAGTGAACAAATTTCCTTCTGCACACCAAAACAATGTCTTAAGCCTCGGCATCAACACGACAAACGCGTTTTAGACTTCACATCACAACCCCCACAAACCAAATGAAAGATCACTCAAAAACTTCCGGGAACTACTTCGACATATTGCACGCACTGAATGTATCGAAATAGAAATACTGAGGGCATCCAGCACATCAAGAACAAAACATACACCAGTGAGAATTGAGGCCCCCTGAGAATTTGAGAACGGCGGCTAACAACTCGCCCCTCTTTTCAGCTTTCTGCATCTCTACTGCTTGCCAATAATACCGACGCAATAATTGCTTTTTGATATGCAACCCAGTTCACTACACACCGCAACATCGATTGACCGGCTTGGCTGTTCGAAATGGCCACCATCCTGATCATGGGATTGTTTCTTCACACTGCACTCGCTGCCATCCCTATCGATCCAAACTTGACAAAGCGTCTCTATGGCAGAGCTTCCGCTATATTCGGCGCTGGCGAGCACTCAGAACGAGCCATCGGATGACTTGATCGATTCCAGCCACCAACCCACTGCATACTCAGCCTCGGCCGACCGGTCGGACTACAGTCGCACGCCCCAAGAAGAACCTGTATCCCACGCCATCGAAGTGGACGACACAGATAACCCTCATGATGAGACACATGCTGGAAAATGGAAAAACTATGATTGGAATGGCTCCTGGGTGTGGGAAGTTGGAGCGGCGGCGTTAAGCGTCGCTGGCTTCGCCCTTTTGGTCGGCTTCCTTGTGAAGATCAGCAACACGCCTTATGACTCCTGGCGTTATACTGCGTCGCCAAATACTGTGGTTTCTATCCTTTCAACCATCACCATATCAGCTCTACTGGTTCCTGTTTCGTCCTGCCTGGGTCAACTCAAATGGAATCAGTATATCACCCCAAGTTCGGCTCCACTTTATCACATACAAGCTATCGACCAGGCTAGTCGTGGGCCTTGGGGCGCTTTAGATGTGCTTTGGAGAGGCATAAAGGATCTGAAAATGAATGTCTTGATACTTGCGGGAGCATTCATCACAATCCTGGCCCTAGCTGTGGATCCATTTGCGCAGCAAATTTTGACATTCTCTTTACGAACCGTTCGCGATGGAGATGGGACAGCATGGATTCAAACTTCCGGTAGCTATATTATGCCAGATGACGAGATGTACCTCGGCAATTCTTCCGCGTACACCAGCGGGAACTATCTCTCGTCATCCCTATTGTCTTCAATCTTGAGCGGGCTAGCAGACGACTACCTCTCTCAAACCACACTGCAGCTCGGGCAATTGTACTTATCCAAGCTTTGTCACATTAGGGGTCTGCAGCCATTGCGAGGATGTCACCGACCGAACGATCCAAAGTTGCCAAGCGCATACTAGGTCCTACACACATCCTAGCAAGAGTCCCCTCAATGACTGCACATACATATCCCCGAATGGTTTTTCGACCCGGCTGCATTCCAGCCACAACCAGTGGGAGAATTCTCCGGATACGATATATTCGGGGGATCCTGAGTGGGATCCGAAGATGATAGAGATCCGCCGGATCTCGTAGTCAGCTATGTTGCAGACTTATGGGCCATTCAGCTGCTGACGACCGAAACAATATTTGGCATACAAAGTCCTATTGTATCCTTTGCTGCGGCAAACCAATACCAAGAGATCCTTTATCTTCTAGCCAACCAGACAAAACCTCCCCCAAAACCATCTTTCACGGAATGCGCTGTCTATTTCTGTGAAAAAGAGTTTTCGTCCAGCACATACTCTGCCACAGATGTGTCTGGGGATTTCCTCAACATAGCTCGGACACAACAGCTCATCATTAATTTCACTGACCTTCCGGAGCAAATATTGGATATAGATCTTTATCCTCCTGCTCATCACCTTTTGCTTGCAGACCTAACACTATACCTGATTGAACCAAACGTTTGTTTACCTCTCAGGCATACTCTGTCCAATATATTCAATTCCACACCATCTGATTCTGGACAGGACAGCCCTCAGCCAGGCTCTCTGAGTTTGACAGCTCTTTTACGCAATGGCGATCTCGACGCGCTACTCCAGGGCGTATCCACTAGTCTCACCAACAATTTACGGGCTAATCCGGGACTTGCAAACAAAGTTTATGGGTCGCCTTATCAAATTGAGGCCTATATCCATGTTCGTTGGCCCTGGATAATTTTCCCAGCTTGCGTCGTCCTGGACTCGGTCATTTTACTTTTATCTTCTGCTATAGTGAATAAGCGACAGGATAATATGCTGTGGAAATCCTCAGTGCTACCTTTACTTATGAGTGGCCTTGAACTTGCCCCTGGACATAAGATATGGAATCTGCGGAGCATGGACGAGATGCAACGGATCTCCGAAAATATCCATGCAACAATGCACCGGGAGGAAGGCCGCCCTGTATTTACTGAGGGGTAAATCCAAATTCATTGTTTCAAAGCTTCAGGAGGGCACATGTGCACAAATCATTTCAAATATCCCAGTTTGGAATATCTCCTCAAGGGGCCTGGTCATCTTCGCCTCATTTTCGCCACCTTTCTAAAGAAGTCAAGTCGATCTAGCTGCAGCTGGTCCATATATTCCACTACAGAGCTGCTTATAATCATATGAAATCACTCCGAGTCCGAGAAACAAATATGTGAAGCGAACCACCCACTTCCAGGGTCTTGAAATCTGCATTACAACCTCTCTGCAGTATACTCCGTCCGACGGAATCCGCCCCCGCCGGGCTGATCCTTGCCATATGAAGCTTGAAGGAATAAACCGATCGGGGAACTCCTTCAATGCACTCGCCGTTTACAAGGGATCCTAGTGGGTAGACTTGTCACTCTCCTTTGACGGGGCGAATTGGTTGAAACAGGGCGAAACGCAATCTACAGCAAATTACAGGGCCAGATCGGTGATCATCAATCACCGATCAGCAATCTATAATACGAATTGTCTAGACGGGCTACATGTGGGTCTCATAATTTTAATCATAATCATTTCATATTGATCTTCATATTGATCTTCATATTCATATCCTCTAGGGTATCATTATCTATTGCAGTAGTGCAAATCGAATCCAGTTCGTTCGCGTATTCTATGTATTGACAAAACCAAGTTAAATGAAAGTAACTCGAGAACTTCAAATTCAACGACCGAAAACGCCTTTCCTCCAGTGCCAGCCTGGATTTCCTTCCAAGTTTATCCCAGTCTGCTTATTCAAGATTTCGCTTGATTCTCAGCTCTCGGCCCTCGTCGCAGGTCACTTGGTACGACCCAATGCGTCGGGTTGTGGCCTGGCAGGACTCAGCGCCCGCCGACAGATCGACGATTACGCCAGAGGTCTCGCTCTTTTCGCACATGGTGTTCTCGAAGAATTCCACCTGGCAGCCCGGGGCGATTGTGTTCAAGCGGTATGCGGATGCCATGGTGTTCAGGTCGGCGCGGCAGCCGGTGCTACCCATGCCGGAGTGAATGTCGTTGCTGACCTCGCCGTCGCATTGTGTGCTGGGGTACAGGTCGAAGGACCACTGGATGCCGCGCTTCATGAAGGGGAAGGCGATGGCCATGTTGACCAGGAAAAGGGTGGTGAGGAGGCGGATAGCGAAAGACATTTTGTAGAGGTGCGAGTAGAACGAGGGTAGTATTTGCAGCGAATGCAGTGAGTGTGCAACGAAAGATACCTCACGATCTGAATACAAGTTAGCACCGAAGAAATGCTTGAATTTGGCATGGGCGGGTGGGTACATACCGTGCTGGTGCACTGGAGTGTCAAAGAGTGAACTGGTTGAGGATGGTTGAAGGAATCAATCTGGCGATTCAGGGTCTTAAGGATAATTCAAGATAATTCAAGATAAGTGGATTCACCCGGCGGATGACGGGCGAAAGTCTCCATTTTAATAACATTGGCTTGTCAATCCCTAACAGTGTGAAAAAGCCCCCGCCACCCGTTTGTTTCAGCGCTGATCAGTTCCTGCACTCCACGGCGACGTATACTCCGGCGCCACAGCGCTTGGACGCACATACCAAGTAGGTATCCGGACTCCGTAACCACGAGACTTTTGATGAAAATAATTCTCATATTTACTTCGGAGTAGGTATTGTAGTATTTTCTTAATTTCTCCCCCTTTCTTTTCCAATCATTAGATCGAAAAACGGAGTCCGCCGCGATGGCCTCATTCCGGCGGGCGCAGATCTTCCTCGCAGATGGAAAGATGTGGGGACTCTTACGTCGCCAGGGACGCGTAATTCCAGAGACACATGTACCCCTCGAGCCTGCACACTGGTTCAGGGTCCAAGTCGTATCTATTATTATTACACCTACGATGGTGTCTAGGATTCGAGTATAGTATTCGTATACTCGTACTCCGTACTTCTTATGGAATGCAAGAGGCAAATCCTGATGCTAAGAATTTTAGTTTCTGCTTGTCTAAGAGTTGTTTAAAGTGGCTGCTGACTGTACAGAGTACATAGGGAGCATTACTATTTTCATCCACTTCGCCACTGATTTTGCAGTACCTGCATATCTCAGCTGGTCGGCCTCTTCGATCTCAGGTTCAGTTGTCTCGGTCGATTAGTCGCCTGGCCGCCTGGTCGGCTATGTCTTTACTCATATGCTCACCTGCTGGGTGACCACATCGTCATGGCAAGGAATTTCCGCAGCGCATTCCTATCTATAGAACAAATTCGTGTCTCGTGTGCGCAATGTACAATGTACAATGTAGAGTGCAGAGTGTAGAATGTGCGCTCAACCACGCTAGCAACCACACGATTTCTTCTGCGGATCCAAGTATTCTGCCCTACAAGCCATGGGAATATTCGACGATCGTCGCAGAAAAGTTCTGCGCCGGTGACGATCGATTCGGGTTCCGCCGGTCTTTAACAAGTACTCGCACTCCGTACTGCTTTGGGGGCATAAGCCCCCCTGGTTTCATAAAACCTGTGGTTCTTTTGCGAAACACCTCCTGCAGATTCGTCATCCTGGGGTAAATTTCCATTTGATCATTAGCGACTCAACTCACCATCACCTTAGCCGTCACTTAGAGAATATTGAAATGTGGGATGCGGGACCAGTCTCGTTCTGCTCGGCTTCCCGGGTCCACTCGGCTGTCTCCCCACTGGAGACTCGCCAAGATCCAACATTTTTGACGGGGTTGGGGCGCCAGCCTCCAATACGTCATTCTGTGCAGCAAATGGCAATATCAGTGTGCAGATGGTGAAATCACACCAGCCTTCACCCCCTCATTAAGAGTCATTGAGAGGGGTTGGTGATTTATTTTATCCGGTCGCATACGGTCGCATTTGTACGGAGATGCAGAGGATAGATTAGATGCACCTTAGGTGCTATGTCCTTGTACAGCCACTCTTTTGTTATGTGTACGAGTATGCATCGCTCTCCCGCTGGTCAATCTGAGCAGATGTGGATGTTTTTTCCAGAACAGTCCGGCTTTTCTACCGACGCTCCACTGCTCCACGGCTGATCTCTCGCTTAGCAGACATGACCTCATGCCACGAGAACCAGGGAACGTCTTGATATAAGTGCTCCATAATACTCCATAGCTCTGTACTCCGCTGGCAAAGGTGTATGTACGGGGTACTCCGTACTAGTTAGTTTGTTTACTACCTCCAACCCTACCCACGACTTAAGACATCCCAATTGAAAGACAAAAGCACCAACCTCAGTCGCCTGCAAGAGTCAGGGATATTATCACCAATCTTAAACCTTCCAAGCCTGCACCATACAGAGTAGAGATAATTGAATTCGGTTTTATTTCAGGGGTTTCCTATGGAGATGGCCTGCAACATCCAAAATGTCCTCCCTTGACGAGTCATGTCCCTCAATCGACAGATCATTTTGCGCCCAACCTCTTAGCGCAGCCGACCTCCCTCCGCCTTCGGCCAAACAAACCCACAACCACACGATCCAAGGGAGAAACCCCAGGCCCAAGCCCCGTATAGAGTTACGGGAGGGAAGACGAAGCGCCGCGCCAAAACGGTCGACAACTATGAGTAGCAAATAGTATGGAACTCTTCTGGTCCGTCCGAAGATGGCGGTGCGATGCGATACGATGGAATACTCAGGCTGACCTGACAGGAGCAGATAATGGCTCCCCCTCATCTGCCCAACGAGATCATATTGATGATCGCGCAGTATCTCACGCCTCGCGGTGTTGCGAATCTGATGCTCGGTAATTGGGAATTGTATCATCTTCTCCGGGGTGGCGTTATATTTGATCGGACGCTGGGCTCTTCGAGGAACGGGGCTATCCTATGGGCGTGTCAACATGACCGCAAAGATGTTGTTCTTGCGATGCTGCACCGACAGGGCGAATTCGGATATCGGGACTGGCAAGGATTCGACATTGTCAGTGAGACACCGAGTTCCGAGTTGCACTTACCGTTGAGGTTTGCGGCTTTCTATGGACATGTGGAAATCATAAAGATCTTGCTCGATTGGAATATCAACACCATCCGGGAAGATCTGCGTGCCCTGCCCGCCGCAGTAAGTGGTCAGCATTTGGATGCCGTCAAGGTTCTCCTCGAATATTCGGCAAAGGTGCCGGGTGATAGTCCCGAAACATCTCCCTTTGAAGATGATTACATACTAGAAGAGAGTCCTCCGGTCTCAGAGGCTTCTTTCACCCCGGCCCACCGCCACCGAAGGTTCCTGAACCAGGCGTTCGTTGACGCTATCAGACATGGGCATGATGAGATCGTAGAGGTCCTGGTGGCCGACGGTCGCGCTCAGATCAGCCTCACAGAGGCTGCACGTCTTGGGAATGAACGGTTCATGAAGCTTAGCTGTGCTAGCAAGCCCCCCTAATACTCTAGGTGAGGGCAGAATGTCACCGTTGGGGGTGGCTGCAGAGGCAGGGCACGAAGGTGCGTTGCAGATTCTCTTTGAGGCGGGCTGGGACGTGAATCTTCGTGATGGAAATGGCAGAACACCACTTTTCATCGCTGCTGCTTCTGGCCAGGAGGCGATTGCGAGGATGTTGCTTGGGAGGAAAGATATCAATGCCGATCTCGCAAACAACCAAGGACACACGCCACTTCTTGAAGCCTCACGGAAGGGGCATGTGGCCATCATCGAGCAGCTTTTGGCAGCTGAGAACGTGAATGTGAACCCAAGCACTTCATCCGGCCAATCGGCATTGTCATTTGTGGCTAGTCAGGGCATCGAAAACGCAGTGCGTTTGTTTCTTTCTGCGGGTGCCCATCCTGATACCCGCGACCATATTGGACGCAGCCCATTATCTCTCGCCGCCGGGGCTGGATTCCCGGCCATTGTAGAGCTGTTGCTTGCAGTGGATGGCGTGGATCCAGATTCAAAATGTAAACAAAGCCAGACGCCGCTTGCATACTCCGTCCTTTCGGGTCGCTTCCCAGGAAGAGTCAACGGCGAAAAGACCAACACCACGGCCGACCGAGATGAGCAGCAGATGTTGGATATTCTTCGGGGGTCGATAGAGGAACGCATGGCTTGTTTGGGGGTTGAAGAGGAGGCCCTGGGAAATGGTGTTGCGCTGTCAATCATGAACCTGCTGCTCGAGGATAACCGGGTTGATCCTAATTCGCGAGATGCCAAAGGCAGGTCAGTATTATGTTTAGCAATATTGAGGGGTGAGCTTGCAGCAGTGCGACTTCTCGTGTCTTCGAAGAAGATCGATTTGAAGAGCAAGATTTACCGAAATCTGACACCAGTTGACTTGGTCAAAGAGAAGTATAGGAGGAAGCGCTTCAGTGAGTCGCGGTTTACCAGTGACAAGAGCACTTGAATTTTCTGATGGGCTTATATTCCGGATCGTGTTCACAATTAGAACTTACTCAAACAAAAAATAATCATTATTCAAAGACACCCATCAAATTATAGACTCCCTACTTAGATATGCAGAAAGATAGAGGCAAGGGTAACTTTTCCCGTGCAATAGGAAGAGCGAAAAGACCCGATCCGCCAATCAAATACCAGCGTGGCTTTCTCGCTGTATTTTGAAAATATTCCAACGGAGCGCTAGAAAAGTCTCTTCTTTTCTATCTGAATATTTCAAATCCATATTGCACACACTGTGGAGTTAAGAATTCAAAACGGTATAATTTCCACAGACGCATAACTATTAGGCTGATGTAGAAATTGTGATTGGCCCGGCCGTGACCAAATATCACTTACGCCATCTAAGTTGATTACAGAACTGCGCTCCTATCATGGGTGCAAGTAGGGCTTCTCATGTTGAATACATTTTCTCGAACATTAAATAATAGCCATTGAACAATCTGCATCCCGAATAACCCCATTAGTTCTTCAACAGATCGGAATGTTCAACTATAGTACAAATAGGGATGCTCTTTGGCGAACTGGGACTCGCTATATTTGTAGCGAACAATTCCGAGAAGTTTGGAGTTGGCTCCATAGTAGGTGTCCCAGTCACGACCACTTTCGACAGTCTTTTGATGCTGCCATGATTTGAGCTGCGAGTTTGTACACCACCGAATCTCTTTAAAAGGCAGACTTTGAGCGTTAGAATCAAGCACCACACATTTCTGAAAGCAACCGCTATAGCTAAAGCAACGAAGCCAAGCATTATCCAAGTTCTGTAAACAGGGGTCTGTAATCGTATCATCCCCATCGGAAAGTGATACCAAGCTCTTGGCCTGGGGGAGGAAGCTTGGTGGGTCGGGAACACAATACCCAGATTTTATCAGCCCAGGAGTTGACCTCGATGATCGCCACTTCTGAAGTTTCACTCCAGTGTACCGACAATGATAGTCAATTGGGCACGAAGTTCCTTCGTACCCAGTTATCTCGCTACAGTAGCTAACGCATTGCTTTTGATGTTTGCTTCGGGACCCATGATAAACCGGTACGTCTTCGCACAGCATACTACCACTGCCGCATTCACAAGGCTTCTCGCAGGGGTTTCCTTCCAGTCCTTCTAATGGACGTTCGTAGCCATCAAGAATATCATTGAGGGGATCATCGAGATGATTCTGCTCGGATGTGCCTTCCTCTTCTTTTGCTTGATACAACAGTTGGTTGTTCTTAGCGGCTTTAACCTCGTATATCGTCGGGTAATGGCTTGAAGATGTGGAGTTGGTCATTCTTTTAACAACGCAGAGAGTGTCATTGTGCCACGCTGCTTCAGCAGCATAGCTCCAAAGATTCGTAAGATTGTACCAGGTATTAGGCGTGAAAAAGATCCTACAATCGGCAGCTTCGAAGCGGAATTGCAAGGGGGTATTTGAAGAATCGTTGCGGCGGATCTGATCTCGAAGGTTGACGCTTGCTCGTGAGATAAAGAACCCAAGTGTACGGCCAAGAGGAAGAGCACCTGTAGTGTTCTCGATTGAACGTGCGGCGATAAGATCGTTATCCAGTCTCCGAAGGTCGTAGAACGCGGAGCCGCGAGTTCCACTAGGAGCTTGCATCAATGTATAATCAGGCCTACCACCCACCACAACGGTTCGCACTCCAGCTTCATAGTGCATTAACTCCATGAATAATGCACATGCCGAAGAGCAAAGGCCATCACTGAGAACTATAATGTCCTCAGAATTATACGGCTGGCCCCGGGATCCATCAACATTGTCGATACGGATGTTGGCTGCTTCTTCTGTGAACGTGATGTCTGAAATATTGTACCGCTCCACTTTGGTATAATTGTCGCCCGCATAAGTGTGAGGAGAGTGGAAGTATTCATCCCATCTTGCAAAGTCTAGTCCCGTATCCGCATTCAGCTTTGTGGATATGACCCATTCATTGGTGTAGTAATGGTCGTAGCCGCGCAGGTTTCGATTGAGCCCACTCCAGTAAGAAGTCAACGTATTCCCTAGGTCATCTGCCATTGGGTGTGCGCGCCTGCGACTTCCTGTAAATGGATCAATAGAAGGAAAAAACTTTAAATATTAGTTAGAATCGAAGTTACAATATCAGGACAAAGCAGAGAAGAAAAGACTCACAAGTTTGAAAACTTCAATTGCCAAAAATGGTTGTCCTCCCTTATTTTGCTGCACATCAAGAACAACCTTCTTCAGACCAGCATCTTTACTGTGCTGAAGGAAAGCCTTAATTGTGTCAATAAATTCCTGGATCGTATCACCGTATGACGAAAAGCCAGGGATACTTAGAACGGCGATCGAGCATTCGTTCAGAAAGAAAGCCCGTGGCAATCCTTCCTCGTTCGAGAGACTAGGTGATATAGCTTCGGGAGTCGGATATGCTGCGTCCCACGTGGGCTTTGTAGATGGTTCTGGAGTTGGGGATACCATTGATTCCGACGAGGCCGCCGTCATTGGTGGAAAGTCGTCAGAGGTGTCTTGGAATGATGCTGGATAGAGGCCTAAGACAAAAAAGTTGTAGAAATCTCCACTTGTCTGTAAAGGCCCTGTGTTTGGGGGCCCTAGATATAGAGCTAACCAAGGATCTGGTCCTATTACAGTACCATCCTCAAGAGTGATGGTAATAGTTTCACCTGGGTATGAGGTCGCACCTCCAAAGAACACCTCCAATAACCCCTGGCTATCCAGTACACCGCTTCGCATCAGCATATTCCAATCTGCGTGTGGCTCAAGCTTGCTGAGGGAATTGAAAGAGGCGAATCTGGTGAGGTACTCGACTGCTTCTTCGCCGTTTATAGTCTTAATAGGCGAAGGTCTATGATTGAGATGCTCCCATCCACTGGCAGGTAACTCATCTGCAGTAAAATAGTTATGCATTAGAAAATGTGCCAAATTTTCCACTGCCCTGTACTCAAGCTGAGTACTGGTAACTTACTGGCTAGATATAATTTCGGCAACTCGATTCCATCTGAAGACAAAGAGACGATATCATAAGGAGCCCCATAGACAAATGTTGAGAGTATTCCTCCATTTATCTTCAGATGGTCGTCATGAGCAGCGTTTATCAGCCTAGATAGGGCCGTCTCGAAATCGTATTGGCTGTTGAAATTGCCCCCGTCGATGTCGCGCGTGATCTGTGCCAATCCAGCTACCAGATCTACTGCAGGCTGCATGTAGTCCGGAGGAGGACTTGCTAGATACGCAAGGGTGCTATGAAACTGGATCGTATCATTCATGTAACGTATGAGCTGACTCGCAACTTCTGGGTGAAAAGGCACGCTTCGTAAGCAATCGTACGCCTGGACCGCGTCGACGATGTTGTATTCTTGAATGGGATTTATATTAGTTGAAGATATCAAGGACCTAGGGATGCAAACAAACTGACGCTTATTTATAATACTCCCGCACAGAGTTGATATGGAAGTTGGAGCATCTGTCGTACTGGTAGGAGTTCCTGATGGCTGCGGTGATGCTACCACAAGAGCTGGCAGCAGGATAAGAAGAAGCCCGAAGGCTAAAGCTTCAAGCATTTCAGTGTTATCCTGAATAAAGTTTCAAGGTACTGGAATTATGAAAACACGGGGTATGGTAATCGAGGAGATTATTTCCAGAACATGCGTGGATCAATGCTTTTATAATAGAGATTCCCAGACTGTCCGAAGAAGCCTTCCCCTGGATTCTTCCAGAGCCTGGGTTTTTTTCCGGTTGGCTTAGCTACTAGCAAGTAGTACATCCTGGGGGGATGAGATCGCCTCACTGACCTGGACTAAAATTAGGGGGTGGAAATAAACCATAAAAATCAATAAGATGGGGCACTTGGTGCCTAGACAACACGATTGTGCCTCATACCAATTTCGCGGGGACTCCACATAGCATGCATATCTCTTAGGATGTTACACTTCAGATGAGGCTCAGCTTTCTCAGCTCTCCTTGGCAGGGCTTTGAAATGTACTACTTTGTATGCCGATCTTGCCCAGGTGGGTGATGTTTGCTATCGCCCCCTCGACGCCAAGATAACCATACGATGCTGGGACTCACTGGGCATCCTTCCTACAACCCTCCCATTCCCTTCCGCTGCCTGCTCTTTTCCACCTCGTTGGATGTTATACGAAATAAATCCTATGCTTCACATCGCTCCAAGCAGTGACTATCGTAATGCTCCAGGGGTTTAAAATCAATGATACGCGCTGTGAAAGGGGAATACATACGGGCTGTCTAGCAAGTTCGTCATTGGTAGGAACAAAGTAGCGTATGTACTCCGCTCTCGGGTGTATTCCAATTTTCAGGGCGTTGCTGAGACCCTATCACCTCTCCTCTCCGTGCATACACGGAGTACGCCCAAGAGTGATCGACATGACGCATCATTTCACCTGGGCTAAAGAAGCAAATATGTTCCCTCTTCCCCCTTCCCCACTTGCAGAGCCACAATCCGCTGTCTCATACTCGGTTTTAGTATAAGCACTGCAAGCAATTCATTGCCGTGATACCTTTGACAGGACAAGACAATCATCATGGAGCCTCCCCCTGAGCTTTCCCGTGACGTCTACACGGTTGGCTGGGTTTGCGTTACTGAATCTGAGCTGCTGGCTGCTCGAGTTCTTCTTGACAAAAAACATACTCGTCCATCTGTCTCCACCGACGATATTTATCATGTTGGCCAAATGGGACTTCACAACGTTGTCATAGCACAACCGGTCTCCGTTGGCAAAGCTAGTGCTGCTGTCACTGCGGTGAACATGATTCGATCTTTCCAAAATATACGCTTCGTGCTGATGGTTGGAACGGGAGGCGGTGCTACTCATGCACCTCCCAGACCTGGCGAACTTCATCCACTCGATATCTTTTTGGGTGATGTCGTTGTCAGTACCTCGGGTCATGGTCATGGTGAGTGGGTATAGCCCTGCATGATTCAATAGCGGAGTTGATTCAACAAATTTTCTAAATTATTACTCATTAGGCGGGACTTTACAGTATGATATGGGCACACAGCACCCGGGTGGATACGAAATCAAATCACATCTTAACAAGCCTCTTGGCCTGCTTACGCAAGCTGCAAATTCGCTTCGAGTAGACCACGAACTTGGGGATGGGAATATGAAGCGCTACATATGCAAAGCGATGGAAAGCCTTCCGAGGTTTCAATTTCCGGGGAGAGATCTGGACCTCCTTTTCGAATCAAGATATTTGCACAAAGGCGAAAAGGGAAACTGCTTCGAATGTAACCCAGCAGGTCTAGTTAAGCGACTGAAACGTGATACCGTTCTGCCTTTGGTTCATTACGGGTTAATCGCAACAGCCGATACTCTAATGCGTGACGCAGAGTACCGAGATGCCATGAGAAAGTCTGACGGGGTACTTTGCTTTGAGATGGAGGCAGCTGGTCTGATGGATAGCATCCCTTGTATTATCATTCGAGGGATTTCAGATTACGCCGACAGCCACAAGAACTACCTGTGGCAGCCTTACGCTTCTTTGACCGCAGCGGCTTATGCGAAAGATCTTTTGGATTCCATTCCGGTTAAGGGAGTCGCAGAGGCTGAGAAAGCCAGCTTGATTCTAGAACGTATGTCAAATACTCGTTTAGCGCACCAGGAGGAAACTCGAAGGGTACAAAGTGCTTTGGGGGGCCATCGGCCTCGTCTGCTGGAACTTGAATATACTGACCAGGAGCATAGGGGTCAGCGGCGTAGGAGCAGATGTACAGGAGGTAAAGAGAGGAGTCACGGGGCTGCATACGAAATTTGACTCTAGTCAGCTCAATGATTTAATGAACTGGCTTGGGCCTCTTCAGTTCCTGTCTCAGCAAGAGATGATGTTAAAAAACCGTGCACCCACAGGAGAGTGGCTAGTAAAAACGGCAGCTTTCAAACGCTGGGTCAAGGGTACTAGCTGGCAGCTTCGGTGCCATGGCGAAGCAGGCATCGGTAAAGTGCGTCGTTCGTATGAAGCTTGATATACATTCCTCGTATCTTTGTTAATAATACTTCAGACTTTTCTATGCGCATTTGTCGTGGACTACCTTGCGAAAGTATGCCCAAGGGCCAATCAGTGGTCAAAGCAGCGACCGGTTATCTATCTCTATCTGAGCGACGAAAAAGAGGACCAGAAAGAGCAGAGCCCAGAGAATCTCCTGGGGAGTCTTATCAAACAATTGATTTTCTTCGAAAACGAGGATTATATACCGATTGAACTCAGAAAGCAGACTTTGAGGCAGCTTCCACGCCTATCTACAATGAAAAAAGCATTTGAAGAATTCCTGGAAAGACACGACAGAACATATCTCATCATTGACGGGCTCTCACATTGCCACACTGATGTCCAGAAATTCGTTGAAGAATATCTCCATGAGCTCATCAGAGAAGGAAAGCCACTATGCCTTCTAACTACATCTCATCATCATCGAAAAGTCCACAACATTATCACCTGCAACCGTTGTACGGCAAAGGATCTTGAGATCTATTTCAATTGCGGTTGCCAGGGCAAGAATTTTGATCTGTGTCAAGGATACAAAGACAATGGAGCCTCATGTCTAGATGATAGCCATATAGGCGATGAGAGGTATGACACAGTCCCCATATATGTGTTTCCTCGAGAGTTCGAGATTGCAAATTATTGTCGCCACAGACTAAGCTTGGCTTGTCGTGTCGACCGTAAAGAGGATTCGCGCAAATATGATGACCAATTTCATGAATCGGGCGTTATACGACATCTACGAAGAAATCCCGAATCACTGGACATTATCGCAAAGGAAATTGAATGTCGGGCGTGGGGAAATTTCCGCGTTGCGGAAGCATGGCTTGACGCCTTGATGGAAGTGATAACCGATCTGGAGCACATTGATGACTTATTGGAGGAGATGGCGTATGTTCCTCGGAAGAACCTCAACAATTACTTCAAGAAGCGTGTTGAGAACATGAAGCATTACAAGTTGCAAGATGAAAGCTCGCTGACTTTCAGGGTCATTTCACTGATTATGACCACCCTTCAGCCGATAAACATCATAGCCCTGCAACATGCACTTGCCCTTGAGAGTGACGCAGCTCGCATTGAAGATAGGAAATTGATCCCTCGAGAAAATATTCTCAGGGCCGCAAACGGCATGTTGAAAATCGACAAGGCTCAGGATAAGAAGTCATTCGTACGATTGATCCACGACTCTATGAGAGTGATTGAAGTCCCCGACCTGGATCCATCCTTCAAATATCCGCATACTAGGATGGCAAATCTTTGCCTGAAATATCTTGAACATGGAGACTACTCAGAACATTCCAATGACAATGCTAAATTTCCGTTCTCGGCATACGCTTTAGAGCATTGGGCAGATCATGTTCGGTTGGCCTGTTCCAGAGAAGATGATTCCATTACCAAGAGAATAGGAATCTTTTTGGCAAAACCTGGGAGAGTTCGCCAAATAGCACAAAGGACAAAGGAGTTGAAATCGAGAGAAGTCGATTCAAATGAGCTCTCCAAGTGGCTTTCCAACGTTACAAATCCCATTCATATTTGCGCTTGGTATGACTTGTCAGGTATGATCAAAAGGTTTGATGATGATGGGCGCAAACTCGATGTCCCGCTCGACCATGAAGGAAAGCGAACTCCTCTCCAATACGCATGTGTAAATTCTTGCTTGGAGACTGTGGAGACATTGTTGGACTTGAAAGTTCTGAAAAGTAACGAGGAGGCTCATAAGGCGATCTGGGTTGCGATCAACGGATACGGTTTATCTGACCCCAAACGCTGCTCGGAAGAAGAAGAAATGTGCCGAGTGAGAATAGTGGAGATGATTTTGAAGGATCGAGACCTCTCTTTCGATAGTGCTATATTCAACCAAGGTAGAACAGTTCTCATGCACACGGTAATGTTTGGTTTTCTCCAATTTGCAAGTCTGCTGTTGAATCCTGAGGCAAAGGTAGTACTCGACATGAACGTCCAAGATGAGAAAGGACGAACTGCATTATGGCATGCTGCTGAGAACCCCGGACTACCATTCGAGCCATACGCCCAACAATATAAAAGCCTGATCTGGCTGATGCTAGAATATGCCGGAACGGAGGTCGTGTATCTTTCTACAGGGCTCGCTGCTTTGGAAAATCCAGAAAAACACAAAAACACGACATTCATGGAAATTTTCAAAAATTTCCAGTTGAGGGCGAGACGGAAAAGAACATCGAGCTGGTGAATCTATTGGATCGATGTGATGTTGATTCAAGTTTGAGAGCATGACTACTAAAAGAACTCATATTCGAGCCTCACCCAGACCCGAGTATAGAGTAGCTTCGTTATATTATTTGCTTGAAGGCTTGCTATATACTTGTGCTTTAACCAAACAACATATGCACCCAGACTACGTTAGATTCTTCATTTCCAATATCGTTTTTCAAAATTCTAATACAATTTATCAGCATTGATCATACCCTCTATGAGTTCGCCAGCAACGACAAATCTAAATGCTCTGTCGGTTGGGAAATGCCGGCATCATTCATTTTCATACATAACAGTGAGACATGGGGTTGAGCTGTTGAGCTCCGCTTCAAGTTGAATACTACTAGTAGAGTACTACGAAGGACTTGGAATAATGAAGAGGAAGTGTAAGTATAAAGAATAAACATCAATGATCTTCTCTATATGGCATAAAAATATTCATAGTCGTCAACCGGCCCGGAACTGCGCTGAATCCAGGACCGTCTTTTTTAAGCTCTAATCTAAGCGAAAGCCTTAAGCTCGCCCTCCTTAACCTTACCAGCACCAACAAGACGCGAGCCCTCAGCAGACCAGGCAGACTTGACAGCAGCACCGTCCTTGCCAGCAATGGTCAGCTTCTCGGCCAGAACAGCGAGCTCATCGACGTCGATCTTGCCCATAATCAGCTCGACGTCACCCAGAACGGAGTCGACCTGGGAAGCGCTGGCCTCGCCGTCAGCGAAGTAGTTAACATCCTTGACGGAGCCCTTGAGCACACGCTTGTTCTTCTTGGCGGCGTTCTTAGCGGCCTCCTTGGCCTTCTTGTTCTTCTCGCGGTCAGCCTTGGCAGACTCCTCAGCGGCCTTCTTGGACTCCTCTGCCTCAACGCGGGCACGCTCCTTCTCCTCGGCGACGCGCTTGATCTCGTCTTCCTTGGCCTTGCGCTTGGCGTCCTTGCCGGCACGGGCTTGTTGGCGGAACTTCTTGATACGCTCGTCACCGGCCATCACCTCGTCCAGCATCTCACGGAGACGGACATTGTCCTCTTGCTTGCGCTTGCGGCGGGCGTTGGCGTTCTTCTTCTCGGTGTGGCGCTTCTGGTCACGGCCCTCACCGTCATCGGGAATATCCTCGTCCAAGTACTCGAATGTACGCCAGCTGTCGAAGTTGTACCAGAAGTTGTAGAAGGACTCAACCTCCTCTTGGGTGCTGTCGTCATTACCAAGCTGGGGAACGGGCTGCTTGTTGGAGAAACGACCCTCGGCGTGGAAAACGGGAGCCCAGGCCTTGAAGTAGCCCTTGGCGAGCTGCTTCTTGGAGGGAGGGTCCATCTCGGCGGCCTCATCAACGGAGTCGAATTGGCGGCGGCGGACGGGGTCGAGCATCAGCTCGGTGGCCTTTTGGATGCACTTGAAGAAGTTGTCGTTCTCGTCACTCTTGCCAGAGGCGGCCTTCTTGTCGGGGTGGTGACGGAGGACCTTCTTGCGGTGAGCCTTCTTGATCTGCTCGGGGGTGGCGCGCCAGCGGTACTTGGTCAGACCGAGGACAGCGTAGTGATCCTGGCCCTTCCAGTCCTTGGCCTCACGGGTGAACATGGTGGGGTCTTCATCTTCGGAGATGTCCATGTTCTCCTCGTCTTCGGTCTTGGCGACGTTCTGCTTGGCCTGGATGCGCTCATCCTCGGAGAAGGTGCGGTTGTGGCGCTTCTATGAGGGTATTAGCAGATGTTATCATCATAATAGAAGAGATATATCAGTATAGGCATAGGCATATACATACACGGCGGGCGTGAGCGAGGAAGTGCGGGCCCACAGCCTCAATGTTGCGCTGAGTGGCAGCAGAGAGACCACCAACGGGCTTGAAGTCCTTCTCAGCGGACCAACCCGAAGGAAGGGCAGGGAGAGAAACGTTGACAACCTGAACGGGAGCCATTGTGAAGTAGAAAACGTGGATGGATGTTCAAGAGGAAGTCAAGTCAAGTTTTGGTGGGGAAAGGAAAAAAAGGAAGTTTTTCGGTTTTTTCTGCCACTCCTGCCCGCCCGGCACTTTCCCTTTCACTTCATCTACATTCATACTCTACTCCTACTCATTCATACTCATACTCATACTCATACTCATACTCATACTCATACTCATACTCAATTTATACACACTACTCTCACACACAATGGCTTCTCCCAGTCTCTCCGCGCTGAGCGCCTACCGCCAGATCATCCGGGCCACCCGCGTTGCTTTCCGAGGTACGCAGATTGAAGCCTCCGCTGAATCGGCGCAGCCAGTCTACACCTACACCTATATAAGATGCTTCCAATATTTGTATGAACCAATGCTAAGATGATTACCCCCTCACAGACGATCTCCCCGTCATGCTCGCCGCCCGCCAGGAAGCCCGCCGCAACTTCGACCAGAACCGCCGAGTCGGCATCGACAACGGCATGCAGATCAATCACGCCCTGGAGGTCGCAAATATCCTCCGACACAACCTGGTGCAGGGTGCACGGGAGGATGGCAATGAGGCTGCCAAGTGGGGTATGTATAACTGGCTCAAATGAATGCAATTTGGTCTATGCTGGGGTTACCTGGTAGATCGGATTGCATGATCTCGAAATGTTGACTAATGCGACTGGATTACTTTAGAACTTCGGATCCATGATGAGATTGAGCGAGGTGATAATGACTCGATCAAGATTGGTGGAAAGGATGTCAAGATCCACCAGGCTTGTTCGTCTTCGTCATGATCCGAGCTGGATCTTCACTACATCCATCCCATCCCATCCCATCCCATCGCATCACCATCGCATCTACAACTACATCGGCTTCTCTGCCGACTCGCATCTTTGCTCTGCTCTGCTCTACCTTACGGCTGGGTTCAAGCTGGCTCACACTGTGACTGTGTATTATAATATATACCCATCCCCATCTCACTTCTCTGTTCCGGCGTCTCGGGGTATTTTTGATTTGAATCTTCCCTTCCCTTCCTTTCCTTTCACATCTGCATAAAGAAATCCAACAACGCCCGCTTTGTACAAATCAATAGAACCGTGACAGAATAGATCCATATGCAACCGCCAATCCATGACTGCGAACCTGGGCACAAAAAAGAAAAAAGAAAAAGATATAATGTTTCAAGAAGATCGTAAAGTATTTTGTGTTTGGCTTCGGCGCTCGCCTCTCAATCGCCATTCAAACTGGCATACTGAACATCGCCCGAACCCGGTGGAGGTGCCACCACGTTACCCTGGGCTTTGCTCTGCTCAGCCGGCTCACCAGCAGCCGTCACGGCCTTCTTGCCAGCACCAGCAGTCTTGGGACCAGGTCCCGCGGCCTGTCTCCCCTCACGAGCATTCTTGATCCGTTCCTCGCGGTCCATATTATCAAGAGGCTTGGGCTTCCCCCAGCGAACCCGAAGCGGGCAGCCCTGGATAACAGCCTTGCCTTGACATTTGGCAGCCGCAGCCTCGGCGTCCGCGCGATTGACGTAGTTGATAAAAGCACAGTGTGATCGGTGCGAACAGACCAGCGAACGAAGCTGACCGAAATCTGTGAAAAAGAGACGCAGCGAGTGCTCGGGGAGATCGTCCTCTACTCCCGTCACGAAGAGTGAGGTCACGTTCTGATCGGCGGGAGGTCGAATGTCTTGCTCGGATGGTGGTAGCTGTGCCGTTCCTGGGAATGGTCGTCCACCTCGTCCACCACCTCCGCGTCCACCGCGTCCACCTGCGCCACCGCGACCCGGTAGGCGATTCCCACTGCGACTATCGCTTGTGCGGATCGGACCTGGTCCGTTGCCGTAGCGGCTGTGTGTTTGTGATTGTGTTTGCGATTGGGATGACTCGCCTTCCTCGACGGTCTCGGTGTCTGCGGAGGAGTCCTCGATACGGCGGGGTTTGCGGTAGTAAGGTTGACTGTTTGCTAAACGGCGGAGGAGCTCGCGCGCCTTGTCGTCGGTCTTTTCATATTCCTCGATGGCGCCGCGACCTTCTTCGATTTCCTTCTCGTGGTTCTGGGCGTAGAATTCGCGGTTGATGGAGCTTTCGGGGCCTGGGGCGACCATTTTCAGGGCGGCATCTCGGACGACGATGGGGAGGCCGAAGGATAGATCGAGCATGCAGCATTGGCAGCAGTTCTTGAGGCGGGCGCAGGTGAGGCAGATGTTGGTGCGCTTTTGGCGGGAGGTGCGGTCGGCTTTCCAGCGGAAGATGGTGAATGGACGAGTGCACTGGGAGTGTTAGTAGGGAGTTATATCATTATGGCTGGTGGGATATAGACTTACAATCTTGCATTCGGCGCCGTGGTCTTCCTTCAGCATCTGCACGTAGGGGTTTTCGGGCAGGCAGTTTTCGCAGACGGAAGGGAAGTCGGTGGATTCCCAGCCAGCGCGGTTGAGGTCATGCTTAATCTGAGGAGGCATGGCGGTGGTGAATGGGAGGAGGAGTGACAGTAGAAGTGTGAAGCAGAAGCAGGCTCAAGCCGTGTTGAACAGAGCAGCTTCAACTTTCTTTGCGGCTTGCAGGTGGATGACTAATGTGGCTGATCATCTGATGACTAATGACTAATGTGGCGAGTGTCCTGCCTTGTCTCGGAACATCCGAGCCGAGACCGAGAACACTATACAAAGAGTATACAATATATGGTATACAATATATGGTATATGGTATGCAGTATACTATATGCAGTGGAAGGAATAGTAGATTAGGGTAGATCAAAGTGCATTGTTATGCATATCAGAGTAAGGAAGAAGCAGTAATTCCCGTTGGCCTAACAACCTAAACTCTAGTATCTACGCCTCCTGGTCTGCACCTGACTAGTGTTTACTAGTAACTGGGGAGAATGCCCTTAGTAGATATCATTTTCATGCCCATGCTCATGCCCATGCTCATGCCCATCCTCATCCTCATCCTCATCATAGCCCTCTTCTTCACTTTCGTCTTGACTTCCACCTTCAACCTCTTCTCCTCTTAATAGGTCCAGTACTTCACCAATTCCCTCGAAAACACA